CAGGATACTTTGTGAAGCGAAAGAAAACAAAGTGTGATTATAATGTTAAGGAGAATTTCTTTATTTACTTGGTATTTTTTTTTAAAATAATAATAATAATAATAATAATTATCAGTAGTGTGAACATAAAGATATAGAAATATATTCCCCAAAGAAATATAAATGTTATCTAAAACAAGATAATACTCAAATGTATTCAGTGTTGGTACTATTCAATGTATCTATTAGATAATACCAATAGGTCCTTGATAGAAATATGCGATAAAAAATACGCAATAAAAATATGCGATAAAAAACATGGAGCTTTTACTGAAAACATGAAACTATTTAATTTTCATATGAATTTGTTTTGATTTATTCAAAATAGGCATTTTACGCCTTCCGTGCTGCGCCATCCCCATTTTTTTTCATACAAGAATCGATACAATTCTCAATTTCCTGTTATCCCTCCTCTTCCTCCTGGTTTCCTTTCGGTGGTCCTTGGTTTCCGACACGGTAAGAAAATTGTCTTTAAATGCCTATATCCTTCTATCCGTATAAGGTGCATACTGATATTTATTATGAAAACGCACCCCAGACACGGTTTCTAGCTAAGTTCCAAAAATGATGTCCAGTCTAATAGCAGGTAAAGTATTATACAGACACATACAAATTTTGACACGGTCAATATACTAACTACAGTACAGTGTTTTCTTGCGTATGTTTTTTTTTGTCTTCTATGCCCAGCTTCCATTCCACTGTAGCCACGGAGAGGTCCTTCACGTCAAGTTCATGTACCAGGTAAGTAAATACACACACACAGATGCTTTGACACGATCACCACACTAACTATGATTTGATGTTTTCTTTCTTTCATCACAGTGTCCAGTGTCCAGTGCCGTTTTGCTTTTAAGCACAAGTACTTTTTTAAACCCTACGCAGTTATCTGCTAGGTAAGCAAACACACACACGCTCTGACACGATCAATACACTAACTATGATTCGACATTTCTTTTATTTTATCACAGTGTCCAGTGTCCCGTCCCGTCTTGCTTTTTAGCACAAGTACTTTTCAAGCCCTCCGCTGCTGTTTACTAGGTAAGTAAACGCGTACATACACACATACTTTGACACGATCAACACGCTAACTATGATTTGATGTTTTCTTTTTTTCTATTGCAGTTTCTAGTTCTGTTTAGCTGTTAACCACCATTCTTTTGATGGTGCCTTCATACCATGTATGGTCCACTGAGTGGTAAGTCAATATATACATACTTTGACTCAATTAACATACTCACTTTATACTTTTATATTACTTTATTCTCTTGATAGTGTTCAAAGTATGCTTATGGAGAGGTGTACCGAGAACCAGCTCAGTATTTTACACCCTTCGCAGTTAACAGCTAGGTAAGTAAACGCGCACACGCGCACACACTTTGACACAATAAGTATATTAACCTTATACTCGATTTTTATTTATATCTCTACTCTTGGAGTGGTCACTGAGTACCTCGTATTCTATCGGTCACGATATATCAAAAGGAATATACGTAAACATTTTCATGCAAAATGTGTATATCATGGTCTTTAACAGTGAGTCTCCGGGCTCTTTTCCAACTCGCTCATTGTAGACGCCTTATTTATAAGGCTTGTCTTAATATGAGATGCTGGTTTTTTTATTGAACGCACTGCACTCTTTGGCGTCTAGTCATTGAGTTCGCTCAAGGTACCATGGCCTAAAATTGGTCCGTACTTTGAGCGATTCTACCTGCATTTACTGCAGTGGAAAAGAAACCAAAAGGGATTCCGTCTTGGACTTTATTGTTTGAGATGGAGAAGCTCCAATGTTTGAACCGGAGTAGTCTTTTGACTGCTCTGGATTGTGAACTAGTGAACTGCTTTTCCAGACATACCAACAAGTCAGTAGCCTTCACTCCCTGGAAAAGGTTACTGGAGGGTGCAATCCCCTCACCTTGTCTTGAGTTCTTGTCTTTGTGTTAAGTAGCTTCCGATGAGTCGGGTTGTTTTACAAACTCCCTAATCCTGGTGAAAAGTTTCATCGAAGGCTAAATATACTTATAAAAAACCAACTGAACACAAGTACCGTAAGGGAAAGTAGCTCTTAGTGTAGAGCATACTGGACGTTAAAGACCTTCCTGAGCCACTCATATGAAGGCGAAAGCCGGATGAAATCCACGTCAGTTTTTTCTGTGTTGTGCGGCACATAACATGGAGAAGACTGAGGAACGCAGAGGTAGCTTTATGCTATTTTCTTAGGACGTTGGATATTGGCTCTCCAGATTTTGTCCTTTGGGGCATGTCAAGATTGTCACAGAAAGGTGCAAGTATAAGGGTGTATCACCTGGATGCGTAGAGTTTTTTAAATTCGTTGAGCACCTGGACGTGAGGTAATACAGGTAGATTCCCAGCAGAATCGACAGATTACCCAGTACAATCGCCTGTATTTTACTGCTTCCTGTTGAAATGATCCCTGTGCTTTTCAAGTCCCTCATTGCTTAGACTTTGATACTTGTAACCCACGCTCTGGTAAACAGAACTGGACATGAGGGACGAACCCGAAGCAAAGTTAAGGTGCCTAAGTAAATGCTATGCTGTTCACTTGGGTGTCTCAGACACCTGTCCCGAGCAGTTTGGCATTAAAGCATTTCACCGATACTTTGCCGTCATGGTAAATTTGATGCCATGCCGAGTAGGCAGGAATGAAGGTTGTTGAGAAGCTTGGGTGTAAACTTGAGTGGATCGGCCTTCAAGCGCAGGTCTTGACAAAAAAATCTTTATTTTTACTTTTGGGATTTATCGGATATACTTTAAAAGTATATAAATTAATATTTTAATACGATATTCAGTATTAAAATCAGGTCGAATTTTCTTTTACAAGCAAGGTATGTATATGTATAGACACGTATCAACAATGGGCATCATACTTATTAAGTTCTAATAAATCAATAATACAACTTCTTTAGCATTCTTGGTTTAGCCGATCTTCTTTCACTTGACAACTCATGCCTGAAAACATATAAATACAAAGGTATAGTTTTTCTTTAAAGAAAATCAATAGTTTTATGACCTTTCATTAACCTTTCTCATCTCATGTATGCAATTAAGCATTGACATTCAATTAGGCATTGCCACGCAATTAGGCATTGACAAGCAATTAGGCATTAACATGCACTTAATATTATAAACACCAGTCCGAGTATTGTTTTATTCCATATAGGTAATAACCGCCACCTCGTTAAAAGTTTTTGAAGATTAACCTCTTTTTTCTTTTTCACTCTTCTGATGGAATATTCTTATGATATCTCCATAAAGCTAGAATCTGGACTACTTGGCAGCCTTACTATTACTATAAAATTATATCATTTCTTTCACTCTTATCCAACATTAAACTTTTGACAGGGATCATTATCTTCTTAGCAAATAGATTCGCTGTCTCTATCTTCATTGAGAGCTCACATAAATAGAAGAATCTTCATTAGTGCATTAATTAATTCCGTGTGTCTTCGAACTTCCAGCTGACCCAAACATATCATATCTTTCTAAATATTTTTTTGTATCAATTACGTAAACAGATTGCTCAAGTCGTGGCCGCAAGAAGAATATATTTCTTATAGCTAGTAAAGAAACCAATTGAAAAACACAAAGATTGTAACAATCAGCCCCTACAATATTCATCTATTTCTATTTCTCTCTCTTATTCATCATTAATTATCCAAAGAAGCATAGTTTATCCCAACAGCTTGGTAATAGCTTAGCAATGTCTTACTAATTATCAAAATATCCACATAAACATCGAAAGATTAAATCAATAAAGACCATCCTTACACAGCACTTTTTTTTTCTTTTTTATCTTTCTCGAGAGAACAAGCTGCTAGATGCCAAGATTTGGGCCAAGGATATGATAGAGGAGATCGATATCTATTCTCTTTTTTCTTTTAACCGTTTGGACCATTTCACCATATAACTCAATACTGCCTGTATCACCTTTTCAAATGTAAATAATAATGATTCAGAAATAAGATGAAATATGCCCAGATTGTAAAACTATGCTTCTCTCATAAAATATGTACTATTATAGCATTATCTGATAATATGTTAGATTCTCAATCCAAAGAACCTTACCTTATAGGGGTTTTCACCAGCTTTAGATGCTTGACTGTTGAATTTAGTGGTAGTTTAAGAACTATTCAATAACAAGCGATATCGAAAAAAAAAACTTTTGAATACCATTAATGTCTCTTGGTTGATATGTTTTCTCTCATATACGTCAAAATTCATATGTACAATACGCTTGATTAGAATACTCATAACTATAGTGCCCATGCCCAAATTCCCCACAAGTAAGCTGGACTTTTATAATTTTGTATTAAGATAGAAACTCTTACATAGATTGATTATGTCTTGTTCTGGACTTTGTACTTTATGTATTATTGATGGCAAAGTTCATATAAAAGCAAAATTTTGTAAATTTTGGCCAAGTCACGGCATTGGAATATCTAACCTTTTTTTTTTCGATGCTTGGATCCTCAATTTTCATTTTTTGGAGATTCATTACAGCCAATCATTTTTCGAATTAGACTACCGTCACATCCAACAGTCAAACCCTCAAAACTGTTGAAACCCCCTAATTTGTATATGAACTAATTTTGAGTTTTTTTTTAAAGAAAGGTGCTGTCAGTCATAAATTAGCCTGGTTGGATAAGTTCAAGATGAACTCGTTTTACCCTTTTTTGAACTTTTTTTTTTTGAACTTCTAGTCTGTCCACACTAACTATGATTTATGTAAACGATAAAGCTATTTAAACATATCTAATGACCAAATTTATTTGACTTGACCAGTATCCAATTATATATTTATACATGTGTATGGATCATGCTAGTGATTTTTCAATAAAAATAAAATATAAAACATATAAAGTCATTTTGAATAGGACAAGTTTACCGCCGTCACACTAAAAATCAAATTCCATTTCAAAATGAAACTTTCGTACCTTTCAAATAAAATCCATTGATAATCTGTTTAACTAATTAATAAACTACTAACACGCACATGAGAATAAACGATAACCGTGGCCAACGAGAACGCTTGGCGAGAGAAGTTCTCAAGAACCAATTAAACGTGGGCTCTACAAACAATTCCCAATGGAAAGCAACTGAATCACCTGTTGTCGCAGCCCTTACACCTGAACAAATGTATTCAAACTTTGAAGAATGGATTAAGATGTGCACAGACAATGTAAGGAATCATTCGTTTTGTTTTTTGAAGAATAAAAAAAAGGAGTTTCTCAAATCATTTATGCATTAGAAAATCAACGCGACAAATACATGGAACTTTGCATTGATCGATTACTTTCATGAAATGACATTTATTCGAGATGGCGATTCGATCAATTTTCAAAAAGCATCTTGCACACTTGATGGTTGTGTAAAGATTTACACCTCCAGAGTTGACTCAGTGGCAACAGAGACTGGAAAACTTCTGAGTGGATTAACAGATAGTGCCAGTAAGCAGTGAACTTTCAGCCAGATTGCTTTTTTTTATTTTATTTTTGCTTTTGTTTTTGGTGTTTGGTATTTATGTATATATCTTGACTCGCGGCTTGTATTTTAGGAAACACACCTGATGAAGGTGATGATATTCAGAGAGAAGAAGGAGGAGAGAAAAGAACTCGAAGACGGGTAGGCTTCTGCCTCGTCCCAAAAACCCACTCCTTGACTAATATGCATATATATCTATATTTATATATTTATATATATACGGATCTTATTTATATATTTATTTAGACAAATCGATCAGAGTCAACCCTCCTCAAAGACTTTTCTTCAATTGCGCTCAAGAAATTCGATCTTGATTTTTCAGTGGATCCTTTATTTAAAAAGACTTCGGCCGACTTTGATGAAGGTGGTGCAAGAGGATTACTACTTAATCACCTAGGAATCGATAGAAATTGCAAAATCATCTTTGATGCATCTGATGCAAGTGCGGATCAGGACCCTGAGAAAACAAGGGTAAAGACAGTTGAAGAAGTAGAGCCAGCGAAAACTATAGATGAAGATACTGTGATGGGGGAAGCCGACGTAGAAAAACCTGCTACTATTGTTGTTAACACAGATGAATCAGACGCACCCGACGACATGGTTGATATTTCACGGTTAAGAGGTTTGTTAGCTTTTTATTGAGTAATATGAACATCATCTGACCTGATTATCAATACCTATGACAACAATTGCTACTACAACTACAACAGCACGACTACCCTCAATGGATACATTAAACGAACTACAGATATGTCCTACATTACAAGGCTATGGATTCTTCTCAGAAACAAACGATAAGATTCCAAATCTGGATGACTACAACATAAACGAGCTTCCTCGTAACGCCGCTTTAGATATGCCATTAGAGCCAATCGAGGATGTGAATGCTAATCCAGCCAATGATGATGATATGGGGGATATGCTTGATATTGACTACGACTATGATATTATGGAAGATGGCGGAGAAGGGCTTGATATGGATCCATTTGAGATGGGTAACGATGAGCAGCCAGCACAAGATGAATCTATCGAGAAAGACAATGATAAACAGACCGATAAGGACGGGGCTCCTATCGACTTTTTAAATCAGAATTTTGGGATGGGCATGTTAGATAGCGAAGACAAAGATCTCTTTAGCTACTTTGATACGAGCTTAGCAAAGAATTGGGCTGGGCCAGAACATTGGAAGCTACGACGACCAGTGATACAAAGTAAGAATGGTACACATACATACAAATACAAAGCTTAACAAGTTCAATTTAGTTAAATCTGCCCAAGAAACTGGGTCAGCCGAAGGACAGCCAAAAAAGAAGCCAAAGGAAACCTTCCAGATAGATTTCTTCAGCGAAGACGACATAGACGAAGATACGCTGTTTGCTACAGACAAAAAGGCCAAGCTAACTATATCTGGCACAAAAGAATCAGTTGATATGCGACACCTTTTACCAGATGATATGCATTTCTCTTCTAAACAGTTGCTCAAGTTCTTTCTTAAACCAATGTTTACTGTAAGCGCGATGTCTGTAGTTGAATAGTATTATATATACATATAATTATGCTTAACTTACTACTGTTGTAAGGTTAATGCGCGCCAACGTAAACGCATAATCGACCAAGAGGATCTACAAGAGTCTACCCAACTTGGTACAGACAATGTTGCAGAACCTGATGTGCAGTACTGGGCGGATCAGGATGTTCCAGATATCGACTTTGACAATGGTGATGTCCCATCGGGAATACCCGAGGCCGATCAAAGTAAGTTGTTTAAATTAATAACTGGGGAATCCCATAAATTAAATTCTAACTCACCTTGTTTGTGTACAGCTCAAATGACAACCTTTGACGACGCAGCCTTTTATCAAGACACATTTTATGACACTGTTGCAGATATCGACGAATCAGAGTTATACGGCGATCAACTTATTACCAACCATCGATTGAAAAAAGCAAAACCACTTTATGTAAACTATGCAAGAACAGCAAAGAGGGTAGATGTCAAGAAGCTAAAAGATAATATCTGGAAAGCTCTCACAAAACCCAGTAAAGTAAGTTTATCTATTTCGACTATTTAAAAATATCCGGTACCGGAATAATATGATCATTAACATTGTATTGCATTCCAGGATATATCTGTTAGTGCTCCAGAAATCCCTGACACACTTCAAGAAGTCCGTCGTTTTACAGATGTCGTCCAGGATCTCAAAAAGATGTACACAGCCAAGACTATGAAAGATATATCTGTTCCTTTCTGTTTTATTTGCCTCCTTCATCTTGCCAACGAGAAAAATCTAACCATCTCAGGTTCAAAGAGAGGGAAAGGAACCCAAAATCAGGATAGCGACAATGACGACGATGACGATGGCTTTGTACTAGGTGAAGGCGACTGGATGAAAGACGAAGCACTCTTGAGTGAGGTGACGGTGTTCCAGAATCTGTAGCTGTAATTCCCTCCTTTCCCCCCTTGTATATTTCTGGTATCGGTACCTTTCTTGTTTCATGAAAGACTGGTTATTGAGCCGAGTAGATCTCATCTCATTTAGTATCATATAATTCTTGTTCACTCGTTTTCATTATTCATTCTCTTGATGGCCTTACAAAGGAGAAAAGACTGTCTAATTTCGAGAAAGACAGGCCGTCATGAGCAATTAAACCCATATGAAAAAAAGGCTTATATTCTTAAAATAGCCGAGAGACCGAGCTTCCGTTAGTGCAATCCAAACGGAAGATGTTGTCTTTTCATCCAAGAAAGGAAATTCCAAAGCACAACTCCCATTAAAGACCTTTGTAAAACCCCTTTAAATCATTACCATCATCATAATCTGGTCTGGCTCGCAGAATAAGATACTAAGTTGACTTTTATTACTTCTTTCACCCGTCTATCTGTCTTTTTATTATTTATTTAAAACAACAATATATATCCACACACGTACGCACATACATACAGACAGACATACACGAACGTGCTTTATTTAACTTTAAAAGATCTTCACATAGTCTTGTCTCATTTCTTTTCTTAAAAAAAAGAACTTCTTCTTTGAGACGTCAATTGTAACATGTCAGAATCCAACGCCACAAATGGTTCGATTGGTTATTCCTCTTACCAGCAAAAGTACCCATCTACAGCAGGATTTCCTGCTAATGACCTGGCCTCGATAATCCTGTTCTTTTCTATCATAGCTCTTCTTTTTGTATCTTTTGTATTCTACTTTTGGTTTACTCAATGGCACAAGATTCCTCCTCAACAAAGGCACGAAGAAGAGCTAGAGCATCAAAAAGAGGTCGATCTTCTAGTCGAGAATTTAAAGCAACAAGCAAAGACAACCTTTAAGATACCTTTCATCACCCTCATAATCGTATTATGGAAAAGTTCTCTATATTCAAGTCAGTTCTCCCCAGACGCACACACATTGACACTGTCAGAGCAGCAACAACAAGCTCCAATGTCTCACGAGTACCGCAAAGTGTTTTTTCATCGGTTCACACATTTATTCTCCATCATGTTTATGACAGCTATGGCAATTGCGTTAGCTATTCTCATTGGCACAGTAAGCACGCCTGTGGCCTCAAACACCTCCAGTGTACTACAGTCATGTCTATTTGTATTCGTGGTCTGCATCAACTTGTTTTTTATCACACGGCAGCGTTTCTACTACAAGGATCGCAAACAACTCTTTGGTGAAGACGATGCTCACATCAATGCCGTTTACAAGACCCAATTTAAAGACTGGAACCCCAAGATGTTATCAAACTGGATCCAGATTGCCATTCTCACAATCGAATTCTTTCAGTTGCTGACATTTCCACTACGAGATCTTATTACCGTAAATTCATTTGATGAAGGACACGGTGGTGAGCAAACCAAGTTTACTCATCTGGTGTCCCTTGTCATGAATGCAGGAGGATTTATGCCAGATATGAGAACTCCAACATGGTACACATATTCCGTCTGGACTGCTTTTGCCGCCACAATAGTAAGCTTCATTGTTGCAGTTGTGTTTCATTGCGTGAATCTTTGGCGGCCCTACAAACTTCCTACTCGATGGGTTCGGTGGTGCATTCCTGTGGCGGTAATTACACAACAAAATATATTATGTAAACAGGCGCACACCTTACTAACTTTTTTTTTTTTCAAATAAAAACTCTAATAGTCACTTCTTTATATACCAGTTCTTGTACGTATTCTTTACCATGAACATATATTTCAATAAAAATTCACACGGACTGATCTTTTCCATAGACAACATTTGTAAGTTCTGCCGCCTGTCAATCTCTCAATATACCCACACATGAATATTCAGAAAATCTTCGATGTCATTCCTCTCAAATATCGCAACAGCTCTATCTGTGGATGTCGCTTATTGGATATGTACTCGCATATCTCCTGATGACAGTCTTTCTTACAAGTTATGAAAGAATACCTCAACAAAACGAAATTGCTTTCAAATCTGTCAGTGTCGCTTTTATTAAAAATATGGGTAAATATAATATATAATACAATAAGTTTAATAGAATGTATAGACCTAATGGTATATTTTCCTTTGATTTTTTTTAATCTAAAAAAAAGGCCTTTTGCTTGCCATTGTTTTCCTCTTGGTCGAGTCTACAACAAACAAGAACAGAATGCGGGCTATCATGTCTATTACGATTCTTTTGACTATGATATGCTATAATATAAAATCAAAGCCTTGTTACGTTGATAAGGTAAATTAGGTCTGATATTGAACTCAAATAGCTTACACACTTTCCATCTAGATCAATTTCTTTCGAACAGCCTCTTTTAGTTGCATATTATGGGCCTCGGTCTTGGTGGCTATTCTCAGTGATACTAATGCAGCTCAAAGTCTTGGTCCTCTTGCTGTACTCTGTATTATTATTGGTGGATGGGCTATCATCATATTTCTTTTTCTTCTAATTTACATAATTTATTACAAGCAACCTGCCGAGTACACAGAAGATGACCGGATTGACTCCGGAATTATGGGAGTATGCGAAGAGGCTCCAATAGTTAATACAAACTGGACAGCCAAAGGAAAGCAGAGAATTTCAGAAAGAGAGTTGGAAGATACACTAAATCAGTATTATACTGGAGCAGCGACACGTATTCCAGTCAAAAACACATTAGAAGCTTTGCGAGAACAAAATGCTCCCCTTTCCTTTAAAGAAACAACTACCAGACATCATCAAGAGCCAGTGGAAGAGGAAGGATGGGTTGACTGGGCAACAAAACTGTGGCGAAGATAATACCTCATACAACTCATACTAATTTATAGACTTTTAAAACCTGCTTTATTTTCGTTACTTTACTTACAAATGTAAATTCAAATACTTCAAACATACACACTTCGTTATTACACGACTCTAATACATACACATATACATAGAACATACACACACACACATACATACATACATATATATATATACACCAATAAAAGAAACCAAATTATGGTAAGAATTGGAAGACATTTTTCTTATTCTTATTCTTATTCTTATTTTTTTTGGGTAATTTATACATTGTACAATAGTTTGTTTCTTTAAATAATAAGCAACTTTGTACTCTGATGATAAACGATGGAAATATACGTTTGGTAAAGTATCTAATAACCGAATGTTAAAGGTCAATATATATATATATATATATACATATACTAGAGTATTGTTTAAGTTAAAGGTTGGGTCTGACTGAATCTTGAAGTTGTGTTAATCAGTTTCAATTTGTATATATTTAATATTTTAAAAGTTCAAATGACACGACGGGAATACTATATTCCTGATGGAATTAATATAGGAATTTATTATTCCCTCCAATAAAGAAAGGGCTCATGCCAGCTTTACCAAAAAAAAACACAATACCTGGCCAGCAGTAACACAGTACTTTCTTCTGTAAAAACATTCGACCTAACGAAAAAGCAACGATACAAAGTTTAAGATTGAGCATGTCATGTGACACTTGAACACAGGCTATAAAAACTTGGGAAGAAAAAAAATACATTATTGTTTTTTTTTTTTACTCTTTTACTTTGCTTCGATAGTCAAAGATGTTTTGTCCAAGCATCCTTGGCGGCGAATGGAGATCTACGCTATCCATCCCTGCATATATTCTTCTCTTGATCACACCAGGAGCAGGATTGGCCTATATAGCTACAATCCCTACTACAACACTGTCAACATACAAAAAGCAGATATTGTCAATCCCTCTTCTTGTTGTTGATATTCTTACAACAGTACTGTTCAGGACTGACTTTATATGTAAGTTCATATATGAGTACACCTGGATGTATATAGGACTATGGATTAACTTTATCATGTATTGTCTACAACAATAGTAATTGACTTTATGATGCCTGCATGCACTTTTATTATATTCTGTCGTTTCTTGGAACTTATATGGACTGGCCCTTTAATATACGGTCGAGAGGCTTATACAACAAAAGGCTCTCTACACACTGAGTTTTGGAGCTGTATCAGATATTTTCCAAAGCCAGCAAAGAAACACGATGTATCTCTCAAGAAAAACCAAATTGAGTATGTCAAGGATAAGGTTAGTTGTGTGATCTCATTTTCTGAACGTATACAAGTACTAATAATCATCAAAACCAAAAAAGAAATTCTATAATATACTCCCAATGCTGATGTACTACATAGTTGGCTGGGATATCTTGGCGACATGGCTCACGACATTTACTAGAGATGATATCCACAATATAAATAGAGACAAGTCGCTTGTATCATTTATTGTGTACTACATAACTTTGGTTATTTTGAATAATGCTGGTAATGTAATTGGGTGCATTGGACAATTGATTTATGTACTCTATTATGAGGGGGGAACATATTCATCAGGCAAGTACAAGTGGATGTAATCTTGACATACAGAAGGAGAAGGAAAGTTAAGAATATCAATTTATAGGACAATGGCGAGATCTCATGAATAATCCAATGTTTTCTACTTCAATAAGTGATTATTGGACTCATCGCTGGCAACAGATCATGAGACCCACGTTCTTAGCTTTAGTGTACAGACCGGTCAGTTATTACTGCCAAAAACTGCTATCCAAGTACACACGCAATACAGCTATATACTCTCAGGGTCTCTCTGTACTTGCCGTCTTTACGCTCTCTGGAGCAATGCACGAATACATTGCGTTCTGCAACCTCGGGTGGCCTACTCACTCTAAAATTTTTCTTGGAGAGCAGCAACTATTGTTTATGCTGTACGCCCCGCTGATCATATTTGAGAAAGCGCTGAGAAGCATATCATACCGATGTTTACCACTATCTTTTATTAAGTCTTTCCCAGTACAGTGCATCCAGCGTCTCTGGGCCATGGTCATTTCCTACATAATCTTTTCACGAATTCTCGAAACCTTTACCTACAGTGGGTTCCGGTTCAGGCTTCCTTTCACAATTCTGGGTCCCCAAATCATCGAATTCTTACGACAGACCCCAGCCTTGCATGGACTGTGTGGAAGCTTACTGACAACCTTGTCTACATAGTGTCCAATTATATTATATAAGCCAGAATTTTGAGCTTAAACCCTTTAAATAGTGAGTGTATACTTTTTTTTATCAGAAAGTATTATGCGTGCAAATGCTGTTTGATATATTATACCTGTCTATATTCATTATTATATATGACTTAAGATTCAAAATAGGCTAGTCAATTACCACTTCATTTTTCTTAAAACAAGAAATATAACATTACATGTCTTGCATTAAAAAAATACTTGTGAATAAATACAAGAGTTTCATATAAAGAATTTTATAAAGTTAGCTTGAGAAATAACGTCGAATCCAAGCAATTTCTCTGGTTAACATTGAAAAAGATAAATGACAATATATATATGCACGTTACGTTGAATAGGTTACTGTTTTTCTTGTATTAACCAAGAAACAATCAAAATTGCTCATATTTGAAAGCCAAGATGGTATTTTTCGTTCCCCTTTGTCAGCAAATTATATTTGTGGCATAGTATCAAACCCCTTCAAACCTTTTACACATGCATATATTTAAAATTATATCTACCCAACTTTTGTAGGCGAATAAACATGCATTAGCCACAAATACAAGTCTATTTTGTGTGATAGTGTTTTTATACGGTGTTTCCGTAAATATGGTTGTAATCACCATCTATCCCCTTTTCTCCGCTAAAGAATAGTTTTACGGAAATTCATATAACCGATACAAGTTAATACCAATTAACGTTTTCTGACATGAGTACCCCTGAGGGATTGAACCCACAGGACAGGGCACACACGTTACGGCAAGGTAACCCACCTAACCGTGCCCAGTCTACAACACTACGTCCAAAGAACAAATCTTTGCACATCTTCACTGCTCCCAACTTTGACAAGAATATGATTGTGGATCTTGCATCCGCTGCATGGGCTAGTACCATCCATCCAATGAGTGTTTTGTTTAATCTCGGAAAACTCGTTCCCGCAAGGGACGTGGATGATGTTCTCTCTGACCGTGTAGGCCGGATGACCTCTCTCACTCTCCGTTATACTCGCTCAAAAGACCTTCTGGCGGAAGCCTTCTTTACTGACCCTTCCTCCCGCACCAAAGCAACGTCCGACGGGTTGACCTATCAGAACACCCGAATCATTGCTACACCAAGATTGCCTTCTAACAGCCACATTGTTAAGGTTAATCTTTACCGTATTAACGCCTGCGATCCTAGCACAGATCTACTCGAGCCCATCGAAAATGCATTCCGGCCTTTTGGCAAAATCGTTCAGCTGAGAGCTTATCTCTCACACCGTGGTACTTTCCGTGGCGAAGCCACTATCTATTTAGACACCTCTGGACAAGATGAAGTCCGCAGTCTCCCAAGCCGTCTCCACCTTGGTGGGTCTCTTTCCTGCCTTGCTGAGCTCCGCTCCACCGATATCACACCTGTGTGTGGATACTGCCGAGAGGAAGGGCATTATCTACGCTCCTGCACAAAACGTCCTCCCCGCGCACCTCGCTGCCAACGATGCGGTGTTCTTGGTCACGCCATAGACAGTCGCGAGTGCCCCACTCATCCAGACAATATCGAAGCCGAGCGGGCTATCCAAGAGCAGCAGCAGATTGCACTTGCCGATACTGCGTCCCTTCGAGCACACCAATACTCGGTCGCTATGATAGAGACACCCGTACCACCAGTCACTTCATCAACCTTGACTCCTACCCATGCTTCACCCATTCTCAACCCACCTGCTACACACACAATACGTCGCCGTTCCATATCAGTGATGAATACTCGCGCCATGACGACCAGAAACCGGACCCCACACAACGACAATCCCCCAATTCCATTTGATACAACTATGTATGACCCGACTGGCCGTGGGTTCAATGCCAGCAAGCACTCACCAGACGCCCGAGGCCTACATAGTCGCGATGATGGCATTAACCCAGCAATTTACACTGATGACGAACTTCGACAGTCTCTTTTTGAGGCCACTCTCCGGACTCGCGCCCAAGGTGCACTCCCGTATACTGATCTGGATGGCAACACACCTATGACTGATGGAACTGAAAAGTCTGACCGCTCAGGTCAGCCAAGTTCATAAATGACTGTACAACATCTTCGCATAGGAACCTTGAATGTTCGAGGTCTCCTCTCTACCATCAATAACCCGCAATCCCCAAAACTTCTTTTCATCCGACACCTTCGTACCCTTTCCCCTTCCCTTTCATTACTTGCTCTCCGAGAGACTCATTTACTCCCTATACATCACTCATCTATTCACCTTACATTCCAAGCACAGGCCAGCCTATGGACCCCACATTGCGGCCTCGTCTCTTTCGATCCCCTCCTCCAATTATCTCAACTGCATGTTTCTCCTGACAACCGTGCACTCGTTGTCAAGGTTACACATACCGACCATCGTGTTAATCCTTTTGTAGTTGTGGTTATTTATGCACCCAACATTCCTTCCCACCGGCGTACTTTCTTCTCCTCATTAGCACGCACTCTCCCTACTGTCATTCCTTCCCTGCCCGCCTTTATTCTGGGGGACTTTAACTGTGATCTTAGCCATCGTCGCAGCCATCCACCGGACTGGAAAGGATACATACAGGGTAATTGCGTGGATGCCATCACTAATTCTTCTTCACCCCCGTTACCCACTTTCCACAGCTCTCGCACCCGCACACGCATCGACTACATTTTCCGTCCACACAGCATTGTTACCGAACGCCCTGATGTAACATTTATCAATCCTTTATGGACTGACCACTGCCTTCTTGCGGTCTCCATTCCTTTCTCTCGCCCACCAGGTCCTGGAGTCTGGAGGTTTAATACGCAATATCTCCTGCATGATGAATTTGATGCTCTCATTACCGACTTTCTGGATAAGGCCGACTCTTTTCTCTCTCCTGACATGTCTCCCGGTTCTCGGTGGGATCATATTAAGCATGCTATCAAACAGCTCGCCCTAACGTACTTTAAACGAGTTCAACGTCAACTCCGAAATCAGGAACGCCATCTTCATTGTGCTCGAAATGAACTTGCAATTCATACTCGTTCTCCTCAACTTCTCCGCATTGAACATGAGCTCGCCACCATACAATTGTCTCGGGCCTCCACCTTGGCTGCCAGATCTGGTGCTAAATGGTGTGAAGCTGGCGAGACTTCTTCGAAATATTTCTTTCGTGTGCTCAAACAGCGAGCCTCTGCAAAAACTATCTCCTCTCTTGTCGACCCTGTCACTGGCGCGATCTACACCTCTCCCGCGGATTTGCTTGGCCATACTCGCTCTTTCTACCAATCTCTTTACTCGCCGGAACCCATTGACTATCCTGCTGCACACTCTCTTATCGACAAATTCCCACCTTCTGCCCGTCTGTCTTCCACTGACTCTGCCTACCTCATTGCTGATGTCACCTTGGATGACATTCTGTCTGTCCTTAAAGCCACCCCCATCAACTCTAGTCCTGGGATGGATGGTTTGCCCTACCCATTATAGGCTCGGCTCTTCTGTCACCCAACGGTCCAAAATCTTGCAGTTCAAGTCTATAATAATGCATTGCATGGTGTTTTTCCTCCATCTTGGCTGGAAACCGTACTTGTTCTCCTACCAAAAGCCGGCGACACTACCTCTCTCCGCAACTGGCGACCCATATCTCTTATAAACTGTGACGCCAAGTTGTTCACCAAAATGCTTACGTCCCGTTTACGATATGGTATCGACACACTCATAACACCATTCTAAACGGGTTTTATGGCAGATCGGTTTATTGCTGACAATGGTTTGCTGACACGCCTTGCCATGTCACATGCACAAATAACCCAAGACCCATGTGTTGCCCTTCTTTTGGATCAGGAGAAGGCCTATGACCGTGTCCACCCTGCGTATCTTCGTCTTGTCCTGGCCAGAGCCGGTTTCCCCACAATTTTTGTTGACTCCATCTGTGGTCTCTTCTTCTCTACTCAAATCCACGTGAATGTGAATGGGCACATATCTTCTTCTTTTCTACAAAGCCGGGGGCTACGTCAAGGTGATCCTCTCTCCCCCTTGCTGTTTAACCTGGCCTTCGAACCTTTGCTTAGATCCATTCTCGCTTCTCCTGCCATCCGTGGTTTCCGATTTCTGGTTCCGCCATCTCTCTCATCATCCTCTCCTGAGCTCTCACCACCTCCACTCAAACTTCTTGCTTATGCCGATGACCTTCTCGTCTTTCTTTCTCTGCCTGCCGAGATGAGTGGTCTACTCAACCTTTTGCGTATATTTGGCTTAGCCTCTAACGCGAAAGTCAATCTCCATAAGACAGTTGCTGTTGCTATGTCTGGACAATTTCATCCGGATTGGGGCCCTGTATTGGATGCTGCTGATATTCACAGTCGACATGACCGTCACTCCGCCACTGCCATCCGTTACCTAGGCTTCCCATTGAGCTCACATCCGTCCCAGCTTGAGACCTTCCGTGCGGCTTTACTGGTCAAGCTTAGGAACCATTGCACGCTACTTTCTCAAAGATGCTTGTCCGTTCGTGGTAAAAGTATTGTGGCAAACTCACTTCTTCTCAGCTCAGTATGGCATATGCTATACGTGACTCCTGCACCGCTATCTTTCTTTGCTGCCATTCGCACTCATATTCGCTCGTTCCTGCGACTGGGTTTCGGTAGCCCTGGCTGGCCGCTTCTCTGTCTGCCACGCAAATCAGGCGGTTCGGGCCTGATTGATCCTGATCATCAACAACGAGCTCTTCAATTGCGCTGGATTCTCCCTATCTTGCATTCTCACTCTTTTTCTTCTACTTCCTTTATATTGCCATACCTCGAATTTATACTTCCTCTAAACTTTCGCGCTCCTTCTGCCAGTATTGCACTTTTGTTTCCCTGTAGTAGTGCAACTTGCCCGACTTCACTTCTTCCACTGCATCGAGCTTGTACCTCACTTCTTCCAGCTTCTCTCCCATCCAACTTGCAATTGCCGCCAACTGTGGTCTAACACTTCCCATTAACTTCAATATGGATGAACGTGCCACCCTTTGTTGACTCTTCTCTGAACCTGAAAACAATTCTGGTTTCTGACGCATTTTCTCTGGAGACTGATGACCGTCTTGTCCGCAAGGTTTGTGGTACATTTTCTCGGGCACGTAATCGTATCGGTCATTTCTTCCAACAGATTGATTCTGGCAGGATGGTCCTCTGTCCTTGGTTTATCTCTTGCCTTGAACATCGACCTTCTACTGACACCCCTTCCCCCGATCTTTCCTCACTTCTTTCTTTGGTACGGTTGGACAACACTAGTTTGGGTAAAGCTAGCACCGGATCTCTTCGACGCCATCTTCGCCCGCAAGTGCCCTCATCTCTAAATTCGTCTGTCCAATGGCGTAAATTCTGGTCTGTCTCTATCCCCCACCACTGTCGCACAGTCTGGTGGAAAATGCTTTGGGATAGAACGCCAACCCGAAAACGTCTCAATCTATTTATACCTCGACGCTTCCCCAGCTCATCTTGCATCTTTTGTCAAGATGCTACTGAAGATCAGTATCACTTTTTCTTTGGCTGTTCTATCAAACGGCAGGTGTGGAACGTCATTCTCTCTCGCTTTTGCCCGGCCTGGAACCTTGCTGAAATCTGCCTTCTCCTTACCAGAGGCAGCTTCCCACCACGTTCCTCTCATCAAGGCCTTTGGATTATCCTTTCCGCTGTCACTGCTAAAGCGATTTGGAGTGCTCATTGGAAATTTGTTTTTGATGACCAACCCTTTCTGTCAGGTGTTGTGGCACAAAAAGCGTCCACTGTAATAGAAAAACACATCGGTACACTAGCTTAAGTATTTCCTGTCTAATTTCCTCTCCTGTTTCATTCCGTTTTTTTCTTATATTTTCGTATTTCCTCCCCCTTGTCTCTCTATCTCTTATCTGTTCAATTAAGTCCACTTTGATGGCATTTTAAAAGTTGCACGCAGAGCGTGACAGCAGATCAATAAAATACTAAAAAAAAATATGGTTGTAAGACACACTTTTATGGTACATTATGCTCTTACTCACTTTTTATTTTATAAGAAAGGTAACAAAATATCTGGGATTGAAGAGTATAATATGGTTTTGGCTGTGCATTGGATAATTTTGAAAAGGCAACCGTGAAATTCAATAAGCTTGTAAAGAGTTTATTATGAGTATTTTAATGTACTTATAGTGGGTTCCTATTCTCTTGTAAAAAATAAATAAATAAAAGGGTGGTTTATTTAGTATGAACAACCGAAAACAAAGACTAAATGAGATAAAAGAGAATTGAAGAATAAGTTTAAACTATACCGTATTATTCCGCTTATAGCTTAACCAAGACATCAGTTATAATTGATGCTGAGTTGTAATTATTGCTTTATACTCAAAGAGATGTCTATAGCATGGATAAGTTTAATAGAAGTGTATAGCTACTATCTTACCATATAGAATATATATATATATATATATATATATATATATATATCGTTGCCAGTGTGGTGTTTTCTATGGTCTACAGAAAAAGGTGTAGCTTTATGTGCTAAATTGAAATAGTCCTAGTTTTAATCACATTAATTGGGTTTCTTATGTCATGACTTGTGTAAGATCCAATTAACTGGTACTGATATTATTGCCAAGCAGTGTTGCTTTAGATACCATATGCTGTCAGCTCACTTGTCTAATTCTTTCTTTTTGTTTGTTTGTTTTTCCTATGTGGTTCTTACTGAGTATAGATGAGATATTATAAATTAATACGCTTGGAGAGTACGCCCTTTCCGACAATTGGAATTCTTGGTGGTCTATTTCAATATTGCCATTCATCTAATCTATACAAATAAAGACAGAAAAAGACGCGGAAGATCTAGAAAGCCGGGAAACAGATTCCAAGGACTGTATAGATCCTATAATTTAATATGCTTAGCCCTATATTTATATGTGTGCACATCATGTACGATGCTTGGTAACCAGAGGCGCGGCTATCATGATGATTGTCATGTCAAACTTTGTAATCATTCAGAAGGAGTAAAATTGGGTATCTTAATTGGATTGATCTTGATAAGATCTTTTGTATTAAAACTTTCTTATAATTCTTTTGGGATTCTATTTGTTACTGATAATAAGGATCCGATCTTCTCGATCTGATATCCTTTTGACAATAGTATTTCTCCTTTAACAATATGCCTTTTATCCTTTTTGTCTCCGGTGGAGATTACTCAGTAGAGCCCAATACCCACTGGGTTTAAATATACTAAAAAACACTTTCCAAAATAAGTAACCGTTACTCTGATGCTTTAGTCATGTAGTTTATAAGGCAAACCAAATAACCGAACCACGTCAAGAGTCTATAGCCAAAAAACCATTTGAATTAAATTTTGATAGTAGCTCTTCTAAAACTATATGCAAACACTTTGATTTATCTATCTATGATACAATATATCGTTTGGTATAAAATCATGATGACTTTTTTTATAAATATATATATATAGATGATCTCTCCGATATTCCTAATGTGTTCATGCTCTGAGAATGGATAAACGAGGGCCAATCTCATCGAAAATCAAAAAGATTGAATACCTAATATATATATATATATATGTATTCAATAACAAGATAGATTTAGCCATCATCTCTTAAAAAAGCAAATTATATCCAAAGTAGCTCACTACTGTATCCGTCCACCACTTTCCCACGTTCAGTTGGTGGGGTAAGTATTATATAAATATACATATGCATATGCATACACAAACATAAATACATATACATGTACGCTTGCACACGCGCGGGTGTGTGCGTGTGTGCGTGTGTATAGAAGTTAATATAGGGTTTGTGAGTGCTGGTGCGTCAGTTAGCCGCAGGATATGCACCATTTATAGGATGAAACCAGAAAGACAGGAACAAGAAGAATATTATATATATATAAAGATCATTTTAATCTTGATTCTGAGCCAGAATAATAATTAGAATTATAATAAATCAATTAATACCAAGGTTGTTATAAAAGGAGGGTTTATGGATCTAAAATTCCACTCTTTCTAGTACTCTTCCTTTACTCTTTTGCTCATTATTTGTGCATAATGTCCATTTTTCTCAAGCGCTTCGGTGTAGCTAGGTAAACTCATCCTAGCCTGTAGATGTTTACCAAGCAAATAGCATACTGATATATACGTGTCTATAGTATCTCTGCTCGTAAATTAGCAGGTGCTGCCACAATCAGCCGCGTTACAATGCCAGCCATGCTTCGTTACATGACAACAGGTAAATACTCTTTTATAAGAAGAACAGCTCATCGGGAATATACCGATGGATATTCTGCTAACACGAATATCTCTATTAAGCTGCCACTCAAACCGCCTCCAATCCTGATGAGCCCACCTTCTTAAAATCAGTCGAGCTATATTATGATCGTGCTGCGAAACTTAGTGGTGTTCCAGGAGGAACCTTGAGCCATCTTCGTGCTGTGGATGCTCTTCTGCGTGTCACATTTCCTATTGAGCTGGAAGATGGAAAATACGAAGTGATAGAAGGTAAGCAAGACACTGTGATTTGAAAAGTGTCCAAAACCCAGATTTTATATATCTGTATACTGATCTTTTGGTACAGCATATCGTGCTCAGCACTCGCGTCATAGATTGCCCGTCAAGGGAGGTATTCGTTATTCTGAGGAGGTAGACCTTCAGGAGGTTGAAGGTAAGAAAATGATCGTGATGATAAAATTTTGACTCATTATATATATATATATATAACCTATTTTTAAAGCTTTGGCCTCTTTGATGACTTATAAGTGTGCCGTTGTGGATGTGCCTTGTAAGTTACTTTAATAAAACCGTGAGAATGTGAAGCACATTTCCTAATATGTTTGTTTGCGTAGTCGGTGGCGCAAAAGGTGGCATTAAGATTGACCCCAAGAAGTATACCGTTGAGCAGCTTGAAAGAATCACCCGTCGTTATACGATGGAGCTTTGCCAAAAGAAGTTTATAGGTCCTGGGTATGTTAATACACATCCTTAATTACGCATTCTGACTGGTCTTTGCTTTAGTATTGATGTTCCTGCCCCTGACGTTGGTACTGGTCCCCGTGAGATGTCATGGATAATGGACACCTACAGACAGTTTAACGTGGACGATGTGAATGCAGCTGGCTGTGTTACCGGAAAGCCACTTTCCCAGGGTGGTGTGAGAGGTCGTACTGAGGCCACTGGTTTGGGAGTATATTATGGTCTTCGCGAGTTCCTGAGTTATCCCCAAGTACAAAAACGTACTGGTCTTAGTGGAAAGGTCAAAGATGTTAGTGTGATTGTCCAAGGTTTCGGAAATGTTGGATATTACGCTGCAAAATTCTTTGAGAACAATGGGTAAGCATATATACGCCGTATTATGGGGGAGTGTATGCGCGCGTGTATAAAATACGAGTGCTTGTGGACTATTTATCTAATACAGCCACTGTTGCAGTGCAAAAATCGTCGGTATTGGAGAGAGAGATTGTTCAATCTACGATCCTAATGGTCTCAATGTCGAGGAGCTCCAGAAGCACTACAAAGCCCATAGTAGTTTCCGCAACTTCTCTGCAACGTCCAAGATCCTTGAAGAACCCACCGAGATTCTTGAGCAGGAGTGTGATATTTTGATTCCTGCCGCTCTTGAGCGTCAGATCGGTCTTCGAAATGCTGACAAAATTAAGGCCAAGATTATCGGTGAGGGTGCCAATGGACCTGTTACTCCTGCTGCCCATGAATACCTTGAGAAGCGTGGTATTGTTGTCGTGCCTGATCTTTTGTTAAATGCTGGCGGTGTTACAGTTTCGTACTTTGAGTGGTTGAAGAACCTTTCCCACGTTCGATTTGGACGAATGAATAAGAAGTTTGATGAGAGCAGTCGTAGAAAACTTTTAGATCTTGTAGAGACCAATGCTGGTAGAGAACTAACAGAGTTAGAACGAAAGACTATTGTCCATGGTGCAGAAGAAGCTGACTTGATTTACTCTGGACTTGAAGATACAATGATTCAAGCTTGTCAAGGTAAGACAATATAACCTTCATTTTAGAAGTTCTGTAAATATTAAGTATACTTTTCAATAGAAACCAAGCAGACAGCAGAGCTGAAAAACGTAGACTATAGAACGGCTGCTTATATCAATGCTATCCAGAAGATTGCCGTTGTCTACAAGGACTCTGGAATGCTCTTCATGAAATAGATATTTTTCCTAAACCACTTATTTTCTTTTATCCTTCATCCTCTGTTCACCTTTTGTTAATAAATACGCGTTTGCTATCACGCCACTTCATATTCACACTCTGACGTCAACTTATTGCTGCGGGGAATCAATTAACATTGACATCCTGGATATGTTTTCTTTGTATATGTTTTAATTTATCCACCCTCCCCACTCATCATGTTGCGTTCTCTTGCCATCCCCGCCCGCGCTATTGCCTCGCGCTCTGTAATGGTCCGCAATGTTGTGGGTAAGACCAAAATATAAAGAGGATCGTTGCCAATCTTACTCATTAACTTGCAGTCGCCAAGCGTTTTTACTCCGGCCATGAAGATGAGACCTTTGAGGCTTACACCGAACGTTATGTCAAGTTCTTCGATGGTGTTGAGGACGTTTTTGAGCTCCAGCGTGGATTGAACAATGCATTTGCCTACGATCTTGTTCCCGCACCTTCTGTCATCGAGTCTGCTCTCAAGGCATCCCGTCGCGTGAACGACTATGCAACCGCCGTCCGCGTGTTTGAGGGCTTGAAGGAAAAGGTAGAGACTGAGAAGCAGTACGAGGAGTACCTTGCAGAGCTTGCTCCTATTAGACAGGAGTTGGGTGTTCTCACCAAGGAAGAGTTGGGCTTTTAAGGCCAACCAGAGGTAGTTGCTGCCACCTTTATAAACATCCCAATATTATACAATTTACTCTGAGCGGAAAACCAATCAGTCTTAATGAACCAAATTTTTTTTCCTTGCAAAAGCAAAAGCTTGAGATGTATGACTTTTATCATGGTGATGTGTAACTCTCAAACATGTGTATATAGTTATGCTAGAGTACTAGTATATTATTATTTTCTTGAAGCAACAAGTAAATCAGCTTTGCTTCAGGTGGTGATGATAATTAACAAACCGAAAAAAAAGTACCAAATTACAGGTACAAATTATTCAAAGCATTTTACAAATCAATCATTGCGCCAATGATTGGCTATGCATAACATTTACAAATAAATAACATGCCATTCCAAAACTCCATTGTGCACATGCCTATATTACTGGTAGATTGTTCTTATTAAGTTTAACAGGCACCCTGCAAGTTACTATATTTCTTTACTAGTTGTTTTGTACAGTTAATATGCTTACTGCTATGTGAGGAATATATCAACATCTTACAAATATCTGGTAAAAATACAACAAATTAAACACATATACATTGGTTAATACTTTGTAGCTGGGATTTTATGCAAGTCTTTGTAAAGAGGTGATGTTATTGTTCATACACACACAGGTGTAATACCAGATAATTCGTTTTTTTTTTAAAAAAAAAATATGAGTTGTTTTTTTTCAAATAGACTTGCCAGCAATTGATCAATTAAGGTACCTCGCATCACACATATACCCACCAGACCACCCAGATATCTATACCTTCTAAAGAGGTTTATATGGCCTTGGAATAATTCATATCAAAGAATTTTTCTTTTTATACCATAATCTTTATTACCCTTTTTGCTGAGACACAATTCTTTCCATCAAGAATTATGGCTCAAGTCGGAACCATCCAATTTTGAGTCAAGACTCACAGCGGAGTTTGGTGACGTATACTTTCTTCCTAAATAAGTCGTCGTTTATCTAGAGAGGTACACTGTCTTTCTTCCCTCATTACGATGCTTTCTAGACTTGGCTTAACAAGTGCACGGGCTGCGATTCAGCGACACACTATCCGTAATGCGGGCCAGCGTGTTTTCAGAAACGAACACGCCTTATTAACTCGACGCAAATATACTTCCGAAAAAGACAAGAAGCCAAAAACCGAAGATGGATTGCCTTTCAATATCCCAAAAGGGTTTGAGGATTTCTTTGGAAAGAAACCAGGAGGAAATAACAAGCGGCCAACTGAAGACCCGAAGAAACCTAACAAGGGAACAGGTGGTAGTGGTGGTAGCAAACCACCAGACTTTCAAATGAATACCCCCACAATAATGCTTACAGCAGCAGCAACCTACATGCTCTGGAAGGCTACCGCTCCGCCTGAAAATAGTCGTGAATTGACGTGGCAATCTTTCCGTTCACAGCTCATGGATAAAGGCATGGTCGACCGCCTGGATGTATTGAACCGTAGCCGTGTCCGTGTTCATCTCCGACCAGATGCTGGCTCTCTTGGCGTCTCGCCTAATACCGTGTTCTACTTTAGCATTGGTTCCGTAGACAGCTTTGAACACAACCTAGAAGAAGCCCAGAATCAACTCGGAATTCCAAGTGATGAACGTATTCCCGTTGCTTATCGTGATGAGGTCAGCCTGCTTAATACGCTACTCCATTTTGCACCCACCCTCTTGATTATCGGTGTCCTGTTCTATATGACCAAACGCGGCCCGGGTGGCGCACAAGGAGGTATATTTGGTGTCGGAAAGAGTAAAGCCAAGATGTTCAACCAAGAGACGGATGTTAAGATCAGTTTCAAGGATGTGGCTGGTGCGGACGAGGCCAAGGAAGAGATTATGGAATTTGTCAAGTTCTTGAAAAATCCTGCAATGTACGAACGACTTGGTGCAACCATTCCCAAAGGTGCAATCCTTTCTGGTCCTCCTGGTACTGGTAAGACCTTGCTGGCCAAGGCAACTGCGGGTGAGGCCGGTGTTCCTTTCTTCAGCGTTTCCGGTTCTGAGTTTGTTGAGATGTTTGTCGGTGTCGGCCCTTCGCGTGTTAGAGACCTGTTCGCGACTGCTAAGAAGAATGCCCCTTGCATCATATTTGTTGATGAGATTGATGCTATCGGAAAGGCACGTGGTAAAGGTGGGCAAATGGGAGGTAATGATGAGCGCGAGAGCACTCTTAACCAGCTACTGGTCGAGATGGATGGTTTCGACTCGAATGAGCATGTTGTGGTGTTGGCAGGCACCAATCGTCCAGACGTGCTCGATCCTGCTTTGATGCGACCTGGCCGTTTTGATCGTCACATTTCTATTGATCGTCCGGATATTTCTGGTCGTGCCCAAATCTTTAGAGTTCACCTTAAGCCAATCAAGACAAGTGAAGATGTAGAGAAGCTTTCCAAGAAATTAGCCGCCTTGACACCAGGTTTTGCAGGTGCTGATATTCACAATGTCTGTAATGAGGCCGCTCTTATTGCTGCTCGTTACCACAAGGATGAAGTGACTACATCTGATTTCGAACAAGCGATCGAACGTGTTATTGCCGGTTTAGAAAAGAAGTCGCGTGTGTTGTCGCCTGAAGAGAAGAAGACTGTGGCTTACCATGAAGCAGGTCATGCAGTGGCTGGATGGTACCTACAGTACGCAGATCCTCTCTTGAAGGTATCAATTATTCCTAGAGGTACAGCTGCATTAGGATATGCACAATACTTGCCCAAAGATCAGTATCTTTTCTCGACAAAGCAGCTTGCAGATCGTATGTGCATGACACTTGGTGGGCGTGTATCTGAGCAGATTTTCTTTGATACCATTACAACTGGAGCCAGTGACGATCTTCAAAAGGTTACCAAGATTGCATACGCTCAGGTGACAGCTTATGGCATGAACTCAAAGGTCGGACCATTGTCATTCCATGATCCATCGCAAGAACAGCAATTCCAGAAGCCTTATTCAGAACAGACCGGAGCATTAATAGACGAAGAAGCACGAAAGATTGTCTCGGCTGCATATGAGCGCACAGTTGAATTGCTGTCAGGAAAGAAAGATGAGGTCGAGAAAGTAGCCAATTTATTGCTTGAAAAAGAAGTACTTACACGAGAAGATATGGAGAACCTACTTGGAAAACGTCCCTTTAAAGAAGTAAACTCTGTATATGATGAATACGTTCGCCCAAAGAGGGTAAGTCTTTTGCAATACATAAGCATATATACTTGAAACTAATTTGATATATAGATTGAAGCCCCTCCACCTTTCCCTGAAGAAAAGGGAGAAAATGACGTGAATTAATAATAGCAAAACAAAACAAACCCTTTCAAACCCTCCCCACTCCCTCCTCCATCACCTCTATCAACTCTCTGTAATTTAAGTAAATAAAAGAATGAAAATATACTGTTTCCTATAGAAAAAAAACACGCAGATTTATAGTTTCAGTGTACTTTATTCATGAATTCACAATATAACCGAGAAAAGGATGAAAGGAAAGTATCGACATTTATGCGTGATAATTAGATTTTGGAAGGTACAATATTTAAGCTCTTTAGCCAATGAGCAAGAATACGGTTGCACTCTTCTGGTTTCTCCCAAAGGATCCAATGGCCAGCGTCTTTAACAAGATGTGTTTCTAAATTAGGAACATAGTTTTTCATGTTTGCAGCCATTGAAGGAGGTAAGGCGACATCACGCTCTGCGAGTACCATCAAGGACGGCTTTGTGATAATGGGATCTAATCCCTCGGATTCATCCCAATTTCTTAAGACTTGCTTGTACCAGTTCAAACCTCCACGTGAGCCGTGCTTTTTAACCATTTCAACATAATGATCCAACACCTATTGCAGGGTCTAGATTTGTATCAAAATGTTTTTTTTAATCTTATTATAAACCCTGGCTCACCTTCTGAGGAACCAAATCACTCTTTTTCACGGCTGGACGGCCTTCGACCAATTTTCCTGTTTTAAGGTCTAATAATTTCCGGCCTGATTGCTCATTAACGGTTCTAAACAAAGCGGTAAAGAATTCTCGAGGCTATCAAAGCAAAAGAAAATGTTAACCAGGTTTTGTGTTTTTATTTTATTTTACTTACGTAAGCGTTAATCTCTTGTTCGGCTTCGGGTGTGCAAAGATAGAGCTGGTATTTGAAATTGGGCAAGTTTTGGACGACTTGCTCAAGAGTCAGTCTGACGGGAGGTCTAGGACCGTAAGGAGTACAGAAACTTGCGATTGCCTTTACGCGCTCGGGATAGAACTGAGAGAAACGCCACACAACGAACCCTCCCCAGTCATGGCCAATTGTAGTGACGGTGGGGATCTCCAAGTGATCCAAGAGACCAACAATATCTTTGCATGCTGTTTTGAATCCGTACAGAGAAGGATCGGCTGGTGATTCCTAAAGACGGGTGTGCTATACGTTTAGTACGTATTCAAGGTAGAATAGAATGTATTACCGTTTCACCGAAGCCCCGAAGAGTAGGAACTACTACACGGTAGCCAAGATTTACAAGGAATCCAATCTGCTCTCTCCATCCTACACAGCGTCAATAAATAGGCATAAAATGTAGACTGTTTAATGTAATAAAATTTAATGTATTTACCAAGCCAGCTAAACAATTCAAGATTCATTAGCCATTAATTCATTATAAGTATTGTTATAATTTAATTAGCATATCTTACAGATCAGGCCAACCATGGATGAGAAGCAATACTTCCTTGGAAGAAGGGTTTTCATCAACATAATGCATTCTGATACCATTGGTATTGCAGAACTGGTTATTGCAGGTAGAAGGGTCGTACTTGTCTAACATATTAAGGAAAAGGAATAGCTGAAAAAGAAATCCAAAAACAGGATACTTTTTATATCTTTTTTTTTATATATATGTATATAAAACGAGAGCGGACAAAGGGTTATGCGTACTCTTTCTCAAACAGCGATAGTCACGTCATACAGGAGCACAGGTCTGTGTTCAAAGACATGACAGGTTTACCAGTGATTTCTGAAAACCATCACTTTGTCGTATATTTTAATTTGGATTTGATACTTTACTAGTTTGGTTATATTAGGGGGTTTTCACTGATTGCAATATTATATTTTATTTTTCCTGACATGCAAAAGCAATAATGATTGGCTAGTATAAATCTTACAGAAGATAAAGATATTATTAAGACATAGCTTGATTTTGTAAAGGTTTTTTTTTTCAACTTGCTTTTATGCCACATTGTTCGTATTTAAAACATTGCTATTAATGATTTATCTATAATATGAAATATCCGTGCTTTTACTTTTATACAGGATGTGCACAAAAAATTAGAAAGGGAGACTTAATGATAATTTTTAGTGCTGATTTCTTATTGGCTATTTATTAAATGTAAGGAAAATAAAATATAAATGCTATAGTTGATGAACCCCTATTATACTTGATTAAAATACATCCAGGATATCTTTCGTATTCTGAACGTAGATAGCTAAGGAAGTATTCATTAGACACCCCGTATTAAGTGCACATTATTATTAAGAGACTAGATCCTTAATAATATTTTAATGATTGCATTAATTTTGTACATATATTTACGACAAATGTTCTACTGTAGTACGAAGGAAAAAGTTAAATATGTTTGCACATAAATGTATATGAACTTGCAACGTACTCTGATCAGACAGTTAATTCTGCTTTATAATATTTAATTTGGCTTTGAGATAAAAATAGTTGATGCACCAACCTCAATAATTTGTTGAATCACATACACACTTTCCATATATTGTTTGGATTAAATGCCCGCTCTAATACCCAATCTTGCACATCAAGGTCTACTCTTCTTTATCCTGCTAGTAATTTCTAAACTGGGATACATTATCCAATACTTGCTTATGAATGCAAACAGTCTTTGACAATAATAGAAATCCACGCAAGCACTTAAAAATATGATTCAGTAATCGCTTATTTATATATGGTGTTAAGAACATTAGCAAGTATTGCGCAAAATATACTTAAGAATTATCTTTGAAAATACTTTTCAAACTACCTACATAATACACTCCGATTTTTCATAATCCAAGTACCATTTCCAATCTTCTAATACTCATTAATTACTTGCATAATATTGTCCAACCTCTTCTCTCTTGGCCACTTTCAAAGCAGAGACAGAGATTCTGTTCACGTACAGTTAATTTTATGATTTATTATGAACCACGTTGATTTAAAACAAGAGTAAGATTTTATGTATTTAAAGGAGAAGAAATAGTCTAATAAGGGCCGTAAATTTAATTACATTATATCTAAATCTCTGGTAATATAGTTTGAAGACAAAGACAACAAGATATCTTACACCCTTATACTTGCCTAAAAATTTAATATTGTACCTATAAGCAATTATATATATATATACACGACAGATGAATATTTTAATATATTCGAGAAATCCACATTTTAACTATTGAGAAATAATAGTATTTTACTATAATATCTACTTGTATACAAAAGACGAACGACAATAATTAAAGAAGTATCTTCTTTACGTCGTTTATTTTTTTTTAACCATAAGAGTTCAATAGCTTATCCAAAGAGGGATTTCCAGAGACTCTTTCCCTCTTGTGGAATTGAAGCAATCTTTTCTTTCAAAGATTTCTTTTCTTCGCGCACTTCATCCACTGTTCCATCTGGGTGTGTTATACGTTTGGTAATTACCGTGTGTCCATTTTGTCTAGTGGTTGTCTGAACCTCCTCTGATCCGTCTGGCAGATGTATGACACGTGTGGAAGAATACGAATACGAATAATTCTATATACACAAATATTGTTGCTTTGTAATTAAATATCATGATGCCACTTTTGTATTAAGTAACTTAATATTTACCGACGAGGGCTCTGGCTCTGTCATATCGGACGATCTTGTGGCTCCTAAATACATATAAATGTCAAGTTGATGAGTGTATGCATTATTTGATTTCAGAACCAATTGACGCTTACCAAGTTCATCTCTATCGTTTGATCTGCTGTAAATAGAAGAAAAGTCAACTTGCCGAGAATCTCTCTCATCAGAACCATGGACATTTGGAAAGAACAATTGGAAAAGGCTCGGTGGATTTAGTTCTGGAATATTGTCTTGTTGCTGTCCTTGAAAAATAGTAGCATTTCTGTCCTCTCGGTGGCCTTCCAACATATGCTGTAGTAAACCTACCAAACTAGGTATTTCTGGTTGTGGATGTAGATCTCTAGTAGCCAATTCTCGAGATTTATTATCGTCTTTTGAATAAGTCTCATTCTCGTCATTTCTAGTTTCCGAACCACCATTTTCTTTGTTCATGCGAGACTTGCGAGCTAGTTTTTTAAAATCTTCTCCTCCATTAACTTCGCCTATCATTGCTTCATTTGGCAATTCATTTTGTTGAACGTTTGGTACAAGGCCCTTGAAAAGCATAGATAGTGTTCCGTTGAGAACATTCTCAAATACGCCTTCGAGAATATCTAATTCATTCTCTGGATCATTAGGATTGTTAGGTGAATGTGGCATTGGCAAAGGTTAAAAAGAAAATATCTATGTCGGAGAGTTAATAACTTGGAGCGTGAAAAGACGTTGAATGCCAGAAAGGTGTCTTTTGCCATACTTTTGTGTAGAAAGCAATAAAAAAAACAAAGCCTTGAGAGTATGTATATAAAAGATCTTGAGTTAATGGGACTTTACAAAGTATTATACATAAGATGTACCCACTATATATGTGTGTATAGCATATTTTGCACAATATGAATCTATAGGCGGTTTCATCCGATTGACGTCAAAATGAATATAATGCATTGGTAATATTCTATCCAATGAAAAATTTTGAGTTTATACGCTTTGAGAACCCATCAATTCTTGCTTGACACTTGTAATCAATAATTAATTCATATATATCATTTCTTGAACAAATCTTTAGTATAATAAAATTAAAGTTTATTTATTTAATCTTTACACCAACGAGGAGATATTGAAACTTGAAATATATCCATATTTCTTGGTTGTATCTCACTATATACAACACTATACCATTTGTATCCAATATTGGACTTATAATTAAATATGCAGAAAAGTAAAATTTAGCAAAGTCTTTTAAAAATACTTCTTTTTCTACAGTCGGTCACAGAAGCCAACACTGATACTCAATATATTCGGGACTTTTAATATAGTTTACCCGTAATATTCTACACTGTTAATATGGTCTATGTGTATACCACGGGTACAAACCAGCAGATATTAAATCCCTTAATATTTCATTGAGCATAGAATTTTAATTCGGAACACTAGTATAGAAGGATAATGAGGTCATTAAGCTCCAACAGTATTATTATACACAGCTATACTTTATAAAAGACAAACTAAAGTAATTATGATATTTTCTCATGTTTTATTGGGAGTAAAAATGAACATCAGAAATAAACTTTGGAAATAGCGCTTCGAAATACACTAAAAAAATCCATAGAGTACAATTTTAAGTTGTTTAATGGATATTTGAAGAGTTTGAATAAAATACAGTTGTAAAGATGAATATTAATAGAACTCACCATTTCACGTAGATATTTGTTTTTATTATTAAAAGGTACAATTTGGTATAAAATCAAGTAACTTGGAAAAGCAAATCAGCAGCTATACAAATGTCACGTATAATCCACTCTTAATTTATATTAAGTGCCTACTCCACAGTTAACTATATATTTTTTACTAAGAGCAAGACATATACTTATTAATACTTTATATACTTCAAATCAAGAATAGCCCCATTTCTTACCTCGCTCAGTGATGCGGAATCCGTATGGCAAAGGCGCATCCACAAGCCCATAGTCTCTAAACCCTTCAAGATCGACCTTTATTGGATTACCATTGGTATCCAAAGCTGGGGAAATATCACAGCTCGAAAATAAACGTATGAATACTTCAAACATTTCCATTTCAGCCTAACAATAATAATATGGTTAGAGGTATTAAGTTTTAAGATTATTGCCGTGTACTTACCAGATGAATTCCTGGACAGATTCGTCTGTCAAATAAGCAAATCAGTTTATAGTTCGTAGCAATAGCTTAAAAAAATCTCTATTCTAGCCTATACCTTCCCCATCCAAAGTTGTATTGATCTCGTTCTAATATAGGACCATTAGCAGCAGATGATATTGTGGTGTATTTATCCATAAATCTCTCTGGAATGAACTTTTCGGGATCCTTGTATTTGTCGGAATTCATGTGCAAAGTCTTCATACTAACGATAAGCATTGCACCCTTAGGTATATGATATCCCTTAAAGTCAACTAAAATTCCATTCATGAGCTGATTCATGACTTGTGGCAAATGTAAAATGAAAACATGTCTGGATACTTACTGTCTTCACTTGCTTCATGAGGGAGACCAAATGTAGTTATGCTGCGGTATCGCAAACTTTCTTTTTGGGTTGAACACAAATATGGTAGCTTATGAGCTTCTGAAAACTCTGGAAGTCTTCCATATTCTGAAGTAAATGCATCTATCTCAGCCTGAATCTTGGTTTGTATTTCTGGATAGTTTAATGTGACTGCAATCAACCATGACATAGCTACTGCAGTAGTTTCTGAGCCGGCAATAACAATATCACCTAGATTATAAAAAAGGCATAAGCAAACCGACTGTCAAATCGAAGCAAAATAATATTTTAATAAACTTACTCATCATTATCATGATATCAAGATCATTCAAACTGTGCTTTGCGTCAGTTTCATACAAGCTTTTTACAAAGCAGTCAGAGGTTCCATTGCGCGCTTCTTTGATTAGTTCGTAAAAGAGTTTATCTCTATTCGCTCGCACAAACTGATCCATCTTTCTCTTTTTGTTTGATAGATTCAATATCCAAGAAAGATAAGGAAAGAATGATCCGGGATCATCCTCTATTCTCGCATAGATATTGTGCTGGTTGATGAAAGCAAACATGGACACCACTTCGGGATCTTCGATCGAATTGTACCTCTTGCCAAAGCATGTGCTCATTATTACATTAAAGGCGACAAGCTGAAGGTTCTTGAGCGAGTCGACACTTCCATCTTTCTTCGTGCTTTTAAGCATATAATCCACCATTATATCTGCCTCTTTCTGAAATACACCAGAAAGTCGTTTCACAGACGCAAAACTTAAAAGCCCCATAGCTAGGATATTCATGTTAACGAAAAGAAATTCATTTCTTTTTATCTGCCAAAGTCTCTACCTGTAGCTCGCGCCATTTTCCAGCTCTTTGTAGCTGATACAAAAACAACGCCCCTTATTGATATAAAGATGTAAAACTTTAGAGTGACTTGGATATAGTTGCTCTTAGACTCCTTACTTTCCACCTCGGCTGTAAATATCCATAAAATAAAAATGAGAAGGGCGTGCAGATGTGACACTCCCGCGAAGGGTAAATAATTCATGAGCCAGATGGGGGTTGCTAACGACTACCCATACTTGAGATCCAACTTGAAGTTGGATTATTGGGCCTAAGTACATATTTGAGTAGCTTTACAATCAGAACATGAAACACGGTTGACTTGTACGACTAACTATGATACATTACCTAGCTCCTTATGCCATTCATCTATTTGTTCAGCAGGTACTTTACCAAGTGAAAACATATGGCCTATATCTCGCATATTTAAGAGAACAATATCATTTAAAAGCGTTCGTACCAAATATTGGATAGTTTCTTTTTGGTGATGGGATATTATTCAAGCCTTTATGGCTAGTATTCTTTGAAAATAAGAAATAACACACAGAAGCAGCCACTGCAGAAGCAGCCACAATGGGACTAATGTGCCGGTAATTAATTGTAGGAAAGTTTTGCTGGATAGACATAAGACAAACGAAAGAAGTGATAATATGCAACCACATATTTTATTTCAATATTTATACTCTTCTTAGATTGTCCCACACACGTTGACAAAATGTACACTAAGAAGATTTATTTTAATTTTGCATGAACGTCCAACGGATCTGTATCTGATGATGAGCCTTAATCTCATGATATACAAGTATCTTTGTACACCAGTTATATTTTTACACATAAACTTCTTTTGCTATTTGGCCATAGTCAAGACTTCCTTATAAGATTATACAATAGTTTAACCGATATTTACAATATTATTATGCTAGCAAGACCCATATTACTATAATACAGCTACGACTATACTTATAGGTATATAGATTATTTTATTAAAGAAATATATACATATTACTAGAATTACAGATATGGTATAAAGTTTGCCACACGATGCTCGAATTTTAGATAATCCAAAAGGCTCCAAAAAATTGATACCCAGGGTAGCTATAAAGAATGATACAAAGTATTAAGATACAAAAGTATATATCTTTTTCTTTTCTCGTGCGACACTGTACAATAGACTCTTGTACCCATAATGGATCTCGGTCTTTTAAGATTCTGCCATTTTCTCTCATATCACCGATCGATGTGTTGCATAGGGGTGCACTGTATTCTTTTTAAAGGTAGATTTTTTACACTATGGCGTGTATCCATTATGCACTTCAGATCATTAACTCATACATATATATACATTATATTCACAAATATAGGTTAAAATATCAACCATACATGGCAGAGTTTCCAGAAAATAAAACGAAAAGAAGGATTGAGTATAGTAATTATGTAGGTCAATTTTTCCAAATATATCAAGTTCTTGGACACTTCCAATAAAAGATTTTCCTTGGAAACATTCAGAAATATAGAAAGTATATCTTTGAAAACAAAATTGCTCAAAAAACAGTAAATAAAGCTTTTATTTCAATGTATTATCTAATTGTTATTATTTCTTGGTTTTTTTTTGGGTTTCCTCTCCTTTCCTTTTCTGTTGTTATTAAATTAAAGCTACATCTTTAGAAATGAACTATAATCTCTAAAAACAAGAAAACACTCATTTCCCATATTACTGCCAATAACCTAAAGCTTTAAATAACATGAACAGCAAGATTGGTCACTCATTTATTAAACGACAAAGTGATCAATATTTCGAAAGATCCCTTTTTTTTTAGTAAACAAAAAAAAATTCAAGTAGAAATATAATCTGGTTATTGCTCTTTTGGAAAGGATGAAACATCTGACCAAGGTCTTAATATCCCAGCTCTGTTCCATTGGCTCTCTCTTGGCTGATTCCCAAGGGTACGTCTTTTTCGCTTGTCCTCTCAAAAGCGCTATGTAAATTAGCGTGTAGCTGTAGTGCTTTAAAAACCATCCCTGGTCAGAACACGCTCTACGACGTTTTATTACCCTTTTCTTTTCGCTTTTCCCTGAATTCGTCTATTCCTCCTCCTTTTGCGCTCTTTGGATGCACACCCCTTACTATCTGGAGCCCTCACTGGACCTTCATATTTGACGAGGTTCATCTTGTCCCATATTCTGTTATTGATACTCTTTGCAAGATCTTGATTTGAATTTGACAAGAACCTAGCCTAAATCCTCCCTTTTAATTGAGTGTACATGTTTTACTAAAAAAAAACAAAAGGTTCAAATACTAGAAAATCCTTGAAACAAATGCTGTCGTTATTCTCTCAATTCTCCACTTTTGAGTATCACAAGATCTTCCAAGCTTAATGCAATGCTTTCCACAAACAAACAAGCAAACAAGCAAGCAAACAAACAAACAAACAAAGAGGTTAACTTTTATAAAAAGCTTCTTTTGATAACAAAATTTTCTTGAACCCGACATCCTCATTTACTGCTCCAAGATATAATTGAATATAATACTTTTATACGCGTTCTTGTTTTAGAATTTACTAGACATTTGTGCTTTCAATTAATATCTGCAAGACAAGAAATAAGCAAAGATCTGGAATCAAGAACATAGGTAATTCAAAGTATAGATAAATACGTCAAATATTAGACTATGCCATAGAGTTGAACTCTATTTACCGACTACTTATATCTCTGGATTGTTATATATGGTTCCTTAATCCCCTACATCTGTCACCTCCTCCTTCTCCTGAATAGATTACTTTACATTATTTATAGTTTCTTGCCATTAGATTGTCTCCTTGCTGACAATTGACATGTTTTTTTATATGTGCTACTAAAACAACAAGTATTTGACATTTGAAAAACATGCTACTTACTAAAGTATATCTGCCACTCAATGTTCCTCTTAATATGTAATACAATGCAATAGAATATTTCTAGGCTGTACACTATTGTCGGTATCCTTTTGAAAGTATTGATATTGAGGTGGTACATACACTAAAAAAAATGAAGTACAATTCAGTAACATTATAGCTGATAAACACTTTTTCTTTTAAGGTAAAAATGAGAGACTGTATACGATATTACCGACTCTTTTTTTTTCCTAGTAAAATATACAGGCCACAAAACAAAATTGAGTTACGTAGAAGATACTTTGTGAGTTTTTAAGAAAAAAACCTACATTAATTTGGCAGGTTCATGCCAAGTAATCCTGTGGGAACATGTTGAATTATATATATAAATAAATACACTTGTGTCGAATAAATCACAGTCAGATTCCCTGATTTCTAGTCCCGAATAAACTACATATCAACTTCTTTATGCTATATCTTCTAAAGAACTCGACTGAATAAAGTGAAACTTTGTTTTGTTATAGATATAAGTATATATATTATAGAAATAAAAAATAAGATAGGGTCTAATATGTGGTGTGGTCACCAGGAGCTTCTATCACTGCCCGGACTCTATCTGGAATACTCGCTACAAGAGTACGAAGAAGCTCAGGATCACGTCTCTCCCCCTCCTGAAGAATGCAAGCCTTGAGCTCTTCAAAATTGTTTATAGAAACCTTTCTCTCTTGAACATTGGCTTTTAGGGCATGCCAGACGTGCTCGATCGGGCTCAAACCCGGGCTTTGCGATGACCAGTAGTCAAAGCGTTTAATTTCCCAGCGGTTTTTCTACCAGGTGATATAAGTCCCAGTATGGCAACTAGCACTATCTTCTTGAAATACAAACATAATGTCCTGCTCATCATTCAATTTCTTAAACCGGGGATTGAAGCCCTTAGGCAAATAATTGACATATGTTTCTTGGTCTATAAAGCCTTCGAGAAACGATAATGGTCCAAACCCACCAGCCTAGAAACACCCCCCACAACATCATTGGTCCTTTTCCATACTTCTCTGTTGTTAGTGTATGATGCTCCTGATGTTTCTCTCTCTTCGCTTACGAATTACGGCTGGATCATAATCATTGGGCCTTCAGCATAAACCTCGGCTAATCTGACCACACCACCATACTCTAGACCTCAGTCCCAAAGCTGGCTCTAGCTCTGGCCCAACGCAGCCGATTCTTCTTCTGTTCTCGGGTTAAGTTTGGCTTCGAAACAGGGGTGTAGGAACCAAAGCTTTTAGCCTGAAGATATTGGAGAACTGTGGCTCTACAGATGATAATACCAGCAGCTGCCATATTCCTTTGATGATATGCATAACCCTCGAAAGGGTTGTACCTCACGCTCAAGCAAAGAAATATGGTATCTTCAGGTGAAAAATCACATTTTATTATATGGTGCTGGCGATCTATAGATCATATAGCATCTCGGGTACAAAAAGAAAAGATAAAAGAAAAAAGAAAAAAGTCCCGAAGGATTACAAAAACAAAACAAATTGAAGGCTATGGTATGCTAAAAAAAAAGAGGTGAATTTCTGGGGATGTGCTGGTGTCTTATCTTGTTGAAAGGTATATAAACGAGAAAGTATATAAATACAGATAAATATAATATAGCTAATTATATGTGGGCTTGGTTTAATATAGGGATCCTTGCCGTGTATATACTTTACAAGTATTTTTATGTGTATTTAACGTATCAGATCTGGAAAATGACTTTTTGCATTCAGGACAATGATGGGGTCTCTCTTTGGTGTGTACACGCGAGTGTCTAGTAAGGTCATGGTTACGCTTAAAAATCTTAGTACATAACATATGTAAGCAAGGAAACGGGCCCTTGTTTGGTTTTCCAAGTAATTGAGAAGGTGGAGGTGGAAGTGAAGATGAAAGGACTTTGATATCTAGGACTTCTGTTTTAGAGCCTGGGCTGATCTCGTATCCGCTTTTGCCTTCGTCGGCGTTGCATTTGCATTTGAATTTGAATTTTCCTTTGCCTTTGTCTTCTTTACCATTAATAGGCACGCAAGCACAAGCGTCTTGAATGTTAGGCTGTTTATGTACTTTATTTTCTCCTTTTATGTGTTTACTTGTTGAAGGGATTTCCTTTTGGAACTTTGGGTAAGCCTCAGGGAAAAAATCGTTGCTTTTGCATGGTTGAGAGCTAGATACTGACTCGTTGGTTGGAGGTTGTTGGTGGTATTGCTGGTTCTGGGTGTTTTGAGGCATGGTTTCAAGTGTATATATTGAACTATGGCCGGTCAGAGCTATAGTAAGATCCTTTTCTGGATTCGCCATCCAAGAAGGAGGACATTTATACTCGGAAAAATCATGGGTTTTTAATGGATTGAGCTGTGTAGAATAACTCTGTGCTCCAGTTTGGTTGACTTGATAGACGGGGCAGTTGCTATTTTCATTTAACTTTGGGTTTGAGGTTGACTCTTTATAGAAATCATAGGTTTGGTTTTGAGGTTATGTCTGAATGTAAGCAAGGAGTGCATCTGTATCCATAGCTCCAGGTGGATGGTTATATGGAAGCTGGTTAAGAAACTCTTTTATAGGCGTTTTAATTTCCTCGTGATCATTTGAGATTTCATTACCTTCTGCTTCTGATGGAGGTTGAGAAAAACGGTAGTGTTTTATACATTGCGCATAGTCTCTGGGTGGCTCATTATAATGAGTAGAATTATCAGAGTAGTTGCTGGAATCAAGTGAACAAGATTGGTAAGGTACTGTTGGAGGATTTAATGTCGACAATTCCGGGTTTGGGGGGTCTTTGATATATTGATAACAGCCAATACAAGGACAATGTTCTAGCTTCTGTGTTTTCTCCCAGTTGTTTCTTGGTGGCTGTACTATATCATTTACCGTGCTTATGTATAAGGTCTGTGGATTTTGTCAGAGCTGTGTTCTCAAACTAGTTGGATATAAGTCATTGTCACTTTGTAAATACAAAATATAACATTCGGGAGAAAAATTCGTGCTAAAGTTTTGATTATTAGTGATCTGTCTGTTTGAGGCTTCTTATTAAAGACAATACAGAGATGATTCAATTATGTTAGCTATGTGGGAATAATGATATACTTTTACATTAATAACTTGCCCGCAAGTGAATAGTGCCCCATTCTGGTGTAGTAACGAAGAAAGAGAGGCCCAAATAAATCTTTTTATTTTTATTTTTATTTCTTGAGATACTTATATACTTTTAAAGCTATTAATAATTAATGATGATTTTATCGTTACTCGTCTTCGTTGTTGTTGGTTTTATCTACAGCAACCGTATAAGTATAATAATTATAATAATTATTAAAAAAAATACGGCTTACTGAAAAGGTAGTTCAACTCAACCCTATTCGTTTCCAGTTGTTAAATGTTCCATATAAACCATGTAGCTATACACCAATGTATCTTGCTATCCAGTACTCACACTACGAGTTTGCACATCTATAAAGCTATACTTGGTCTCATTTGTGACAATTATTTTTTTGCTAATATTTATAGCGAATAATACTGTGAATGATAAAATTACTTATAATGCTTCTATAGTAAAAAAAAATCAAAATCAAAATCTAAAATCTTGGGCGTTTATTTTATTTTCTGTTTTTTCTTTGATTTTTCTTGGTGTGTGTGTGTGAATATTTGCTTAAATACATATACTTGTATCATTTATAGTGTAATTAAGCTTCGCCTTCGTAAGCCTTATTTTTTTGAAATACTTATTACTTTATCACCTCTCTCTATCTTTCTCTTTCACTCTCGGTTAATTTTACTAAAGGTAACCATTAACAATATAGATCTGGGTTTGACATCAGTATGTAAGTATATTATAATATTGCACATAATAATAATATATATAAAAAAAGACAAGGATCAAATTAAGCGCTTGTACATCAAGGCGTTTTCTTTTATCTGTACTTCTTATGCTGGTCTATTAAGTACTATCATAGAGAATTGTTTTTCAATTGTTTATGAGACAGGTTAAAAAGGAAGACACTTCTCCTACACAGTTACGGCTGTAGTCTTTTTGAATAAATTTACTTGAAACTATAATAGCATTTATGGTCTATAAGTATCAAATCAAGCCCTAAATTATGTGTTACAGTCATATCCATCAAGTTCATGTTTAAGGTTACTTTTTGAGTGGTTAGATAAATCAATATAAAGCACTGTCTGTCTCACGGTCTGGCCATCTAGGCGTGGGCAGTCAGAATGGTGTACTCATTCACAGACTAATAGTATGCTGGCCTGAGCCGATAATTGTAGTTCGTAGCCGATACCGTACTTTGGCTATTCTCTGACTCGCTCTAAGGTACAGCTATCCTTCGCTTTTAAAGTCATTGTTACCACATTTTGCCCTCTTGCTCACAACTTTTAACACAACGGAATTTATCGGTTCTATTCTGAGTATTGGTAATAAACTTATTTCTTCTGAGCAGAATAAGGTAGGATAAAGTAGGATAAGGTAGGGCATATTATATAATGGCACATAATACACATTATCCCCGCCAATATTACCAGAATTGGGGTAGATTACATTCAGAGGTAACAGAATCCTTGGCTCGCAACCGATACCATTTTACTCGTTTTTTCTCATACGCCCGCTCACAAGGAAAATCTGGGCCGGTAGTATACAATACACATATATCACAGACCTTGATATAGTCTTGATGGATCTATCCCTTGCTAAATTATATTGCTCCACTCTCATCTGTAGGAAGAAAAGGCTTTCCTATATCCTTTGACAGTATCGTGATATGAGTAAACCATTTGTCTCTGTAGTTTTTCCGGAACTACAGTCCTCTCGTAGTAATAAATACAGTATATTGCCTATCATTATTTGTGATATGAATATATATTCCCCACGCACGCACGCACACACACACACTCTCTCTCTCTCTCTCTCTCTCTCTCTCTCTCTCTCTCTCTTGGTTTGGTAGCTTATTTATTCTGTCGCGGCATACAATCTGCCTTTCCTAGCCCTTTTGGTTCCTTCTTAACCTTTGCCAATTTTTATTATTTCATGTGGAAAATTACGCGTATGTGATGCTTTCATATATGACTATACTATCGAAAGTATATGTCTATGTCGTGAATGCAAACAAAGACGAGCCAGGTTCCTCGTATTCAATCTGTCTAAAATTCTAAATTACTGTCAAGTCTATCTATGTGAGTGATTTTTTATAGTCCTAGTTTTACTGCTAAAAAAAAAGAAGGGCAAGACATTGATTCGGTATTGACATCTTTACGTCCAATTCTTCGTTATTTCCGACGTTCTCATTCCTTTAGAATAACAGTCATACTCTAGACACATTAACTCTTTGCCCAAGTGATATGTGAACACTTGCGATATGCTATTTCTCGAATACTGCCTCCTTTGACACAAGGGTCACAAAGTATACGAGCAATGTTCTAACGGGTCAAATATTTTTCACCAAACATATACAAGCTGGAGGCTCTTGACGCACAGCAAGGTTTCAATTATTAGATAGAGACTATTTAGTTGTAAGATAAAACCTATCAAGGGCCTCACAATGTACTCTTTTTGGTAATTTTGGACGCTGAATCACCTACTCTGAGCATGTCCTCTCAAGGAGCCAATTTTATACCAAATCACAATTGGTGGTTTTTTGGGAAGCTATATACACTTTTCTAGTTTGATCAGCTTCTTTCCTCTTTTCCATTGATTCTCAAGGTTTTGAAAATCCTGGTATAAGCGTATACGCTGTTTTGGGATGAACATTAAGTTCCATCTGGGAAGCTCACTTTAAACAAAAGTTCTATGATGCTTTCTTTATCACCAACCAGATTAAAACCATTGTTACTCAAAAAAAATAGACGAATTGAGAGAGAGAGAGGGTTCTTTGGATCTTAAAGCCCGATTTTGTAACTGATTTGTATTGGGGGTATATAATACTCTCAAAGAAACTAAAAGTAACATAGAGTGTGACTCTTTGTAAAATGGCGGGCACACTGTATTTATTAATTATCCTAGAAAATAATACCAGAATACTCTTTTGAGTATATATATAAAGGTACTTTGAAAATATGTGTCCTTTAATTAATAAGCTACAAGAATAAGATTTAACAATATCCATGTTGCTGTGAAATTTATATATAATATCGTAACTATTAGAGGCAAGTAATATATTATGATATTATGTAATGAAAATATAAGTTCGCCATAAAGAGAGAGAGAGAAAGTACATACTATATTTCTAAATGTAGATGTTGAAGCTGCGAGGATGAGTACCACAACAACAAAACAGAATAGAGTAACCAAGCAATTTATCACTTTTATTGAAACAATTATAGATGATCATGACAACATATGTTTTTGAAACAAAGCTAGGAGTAGTAAAACAATAATAAAAAAGGTTTTTGCTTTGTTTGTCTTTTATTTTGAATGCTAGAAAGTAGGTATATCAGCTTTGGACTCTGCAGTTATTTTAAATTATTCTGTATTATAGAATCTTTCGATCCCTCCCCAACACTACTTTGGATCTTGCCGAACAATCCAAGTGTCCGGCACGGACATCACATCAACCATACTACTAATCATAATAATCTATTCATATCACGCCAGTAATATTCAATCAAATGGTTGGACAATACAATATAATTCATAAATGTACATAATATATATATATATATATATATATATATAAAGTAAAATGTATTATTACTATTATCATTGTTACTATTGTTATATGTATATGTTAATGATAATGATAATGATAATGATGATATAATCATATAGGCATATAAAAATGAGATAATAAAGCTTAAAATATACTTTCTCTATTCCTTGACAGCCAATCTAATGATTTGTCTTTAATACGTCTACGTTCTTCTGCTATTTCTGCTGCATTTGATCCCGATATACCATGAGCCTCAGAATAATCAATGATGCTATCGATAATGATCTTTCGTTTTCCAAAGAATTTTGATTCTGAAGTTGTTTTGCGCCATAAAGTTCCGCATTTGTCTTCCAGGCATGCTACTGATGGTCCGTTTTCTAAGCCTTCGCTCCATTCTCTCCAGAGATCTGTTACTGTTGATATATCACGGTTCATTCGGTATACGTGGGGATCTTCTCCGGGATATCCCGATAATGGTATTTGGGTCGGCCAGTATGTGTAGATGTCTGCTTCTGACTCTGAGCCTAACTCGAGATCGGATTCTGGTCGCGATTGGTGCCGCGACTGTATTCTGTGTGCCCCTAACGAGACTGTTTTTTGTGTGTCTCGCGGTTCGAGATGAGATTGGGTTTGTTGGTTGAATGCGAATAGAGGGGTTTGTGCTTGTGCAGGAGCGACTGATGAGTTTGTCGAATTAAAGCCTGTCTGGTTAGGCCAGGACATCTGGAGATTAAGAGTTGCTGCACCGGATGTTATGGCCGAGAAGTGGGACAACAGACTGTCCATTTTACTGATAGTCAACGACAGGGTGTTCTTGAGGGACCTGATTTCTTCTTTCAATTCAGGCACTACCTTTCTCAACATTTCATTTGTCTCCTGAATAGGCTCGTCATCCTGCACTACCCTTTTTGATATATAAAAAAAATAACAAGGGTTAATCGTACAAGGTAGGACAAATAGTGTCATTCTCTTACTGGTTCTGGTCTGGCTGTGGTGTATCAGCAAAAGACTGGCTTGATAGTGTAGGTGAATGGGATTTTTCGGTTAGATTCTCTCTTCGTTTTCGTTGGTCTTCGCGGCGCATATTACGCAAGAGTTGCTTTATGGCTGGGATCCGAGGGTGTGAATGAGAGTTTATGCCCTGCCGAACTTGTTTTTGGTAAAGATCGGTGATTGCTGCAACGTAGAGTTCCATAGTGGACGTCTTGATTTTACGATCCAATCCGACTGCCTTTCTACCACGACGACTCTGACGGTCTACAACCTAGGGATTAGAAGAAAGAGAAAGGATATTGAATAACTTGAGCAAGGGTTTTGTTGAGTGGATTCTTACGGCTTCGGATAGAAACATAAGAAGTTTTTCGCCACTGACGAGATAGCTTGCATCGTCAGTGAATCTTCCTTCGCACCATGTCTTGAATTCTCCTTGCTTGGATGCGTATGAGCGAGACGTGTTTACGGACCTATTTTCGTTTATAGATATTTCTGGTGACTGCTGTATTTGATTGTTCATGTTGAAGGTTTAAAGTAAAAAAAAAGAGATCCAACAATGACATTTAATATTTTTTTTTCTTTGGTTGGTTTTATGCAATACGATAATTTATTATCGGAGTATGAACTTATAATTTTGGGACTAAATAAAATGATTTCATTGGTTTTGGTGGATAAAATATTAAACATGTTATTGTTAGCAACAAGCGAATAGGCTGGCGTGGATTTTTCCAAAACGATCATGATGATTGTAATAATCATATATACATTTTTGATTTGTGAGGCGCACAAAATTACACACACACACACACACAAAACAAGGAGGGAAACAAGGAGGGAATGAGGGGAGTTTTATTATTATTGCTATTAGTTACTATATACATACAAAATGTATAAATGTACAGTTTATATATTATAAATATATAATTAATATATTTATCTATGTATTGGTCACCTCAGCTTAGATGATAACGCTTAACAACATGAATCAGGAAATTACTTACTTATCTAATTATAAATAATAAATAAATAAAATAATTAAAAATAATTAAAAATAATTAAAATTATTATTATTACTTATTATTTATTATTAACTTATTATATTTAATAATAATAATAATAATAAAATAATTAAATAAAAATGTCAATTCCAAATTGAGCTATTTCAGGAACCTCGGAAATTGAGCTTATTCAAAAAGGCTACAAAATTCATAAGCATCTGTTACTCTGTCTTATTTGGTAAACAAATATGTATAGAGTTGATTGTTATTTCTCGCATTTTGATAATGAAAGAATAAAATAAAGTAAAATAAAATATATAAAAACAAGGTTATGAAGAGAATGAAGGAATACTAGTTAATGTCTTGTCTCTGCTCGTTCGCCATCCCATAGTACCTGGCCAGAGAATTATGCCAAGAATAAGGCCTACAACAAGTATCACACACAGCAGAATAAACGCATTCCTACACCTGTACTTCCACATCATGTCCGCACGCTTGTCCACCGAAGTCTGACCAGCATGTGCAGTCGGCGTATGAACAGCCCCAAAGGCCCAGACAAGCGGACAGAAGAACCCAAGGATGAAATACAGAAATGACGGTCGACAGGGAAGTGACCATCTTCTACTCGGCCCTTGTGCAACATTCTCTGATAAATCTTCAGTAGACACCAGTACCTCGTCTTTCCATTTCCCAGCCCGGTCCCGCAAATGCTTCGGCCATTTCTCTGCTTTTATAAACCCTTTTACAGGGTGTCGTACAATATCATTCTCGTCCTTAAACCCTTGTTGTCGGATCAGATTGAGCAATTCCATCCTATCGACCTGTTTCTTCTCTTCAGAAGTCATCGGTCGGTATTCTGGCTCCTTGAAGAAAGTCGACGGACAAGGCAAGATCTCAATTTGATTATTCATCGTCTGTTTAAAAACAGCTGAGGTATGATTGCTATTATTATTATTATTATTATTGTTATTGTTGTTGTTGTTATTATGATGATGATGATGCTGGGTCACTTCAAACTCCAAATGTCCGATGCTAGGCAAGGTAGGCGTGGGTGCAGCAGAAAATATTCTAGAGCACGGCGCGACCCCACATTGATAGAACCCAGAGCTCGAAAGCCGTGTCTGTTCAGGAATCTGATCAATATTATCCGACGTCGTATGAACATAGAACCGACTGGTGCTTCTGCTCATCTGCTTGGATTTTGACTGGATGTCGAACGAGTATTGTGGATCAAAATAGGATTCCCATTGTTGATGTTCTTTTGTACTGTTGTGAGTCTGAAGAGGAAATATAATTGTCGAGCCTTGCAAGGAAATACTGCTGCCTGCCATATTGACAGATATCGGCGAAGACATAACATTGGCCCGACTGTTGTTAGACGTAGAGTAAGTAGATGGTCTGGTGTTATCAAGGTAGTTATTGTTGGATATCTGGACAGAATATGGTAGAGGTAACGGCTTTCTGTATCGTGCTTTGTCTACAGAAAATGACATATCAAGATGAATGTCTTGAGACTTTGGCATCTCTGCCTGGTTTTGGGGGACTGGGATGTTCATCGAAATAGACGCACACGCACGCATACACACACACACACACGCACACACACACACACTGGTGTAATTGTAGTGGTCAGGACAGAGCAGGGAGAAGAAGAAAAAGGGGGCATAGAATGCGAATTCTTGTTAGTTTTCTAATTTCGTTGATGTTCCCGTTGTGTTGGAAAGCTGTCCATAGAGGATTGACGCGTTCTCAGACCAATTACAGCTATTATTCCCCGGTAATTTATACCTCTTCTCTATCTCTCTCTCTCTTGCCTTTCTTTCTGGTTCAATTTTACTAGTGCACAATATATCTTTTCTATGATGCTTTGCTATTTTAATGAAATTGAGGCATTTTAGATTACTGCTATTATTATTATTATTGAGGATCTCATCCAAATAAGCAAGACACCTCAGAATATTCACTTTTGTTGTGGAAGTGGAAAGACGAATCATCTTAAATTTCAAGTAGAAAGATATCGTAATAAACTCGATCCAAATCCATCAAGATCTGTATGATTTTATTTTATTTATTTATTTTTTAACAAAAATGTCTTGACTTTCTATAGTGTCTAATCAGTCGACCGTTGGCTTAGGAGAATAAGTGGCAATTTAGTGTGTGTGTGTAAGGACTAAATAGATATATATCTGTCGTAAAATTATAAGCAAGTAGTTTCCTCAAGATATCATGTATCATCCTTAACTGCTCTGATAACCTTGCATCTATTTTAATACATATTTTTTTGGTCTCACTATATAATAAATATATTCCCAAGGCTTAAAGAGACAGACAGAAGAAAAACATATTTGAATCCTAGAGCATACATATTCTAATCTCCTTGGTTTGGTTTGCTTTGCTTTGATCTTATTGCCTTGTTGCCTTTCCTACCACTCCATAGTCCAACCTTGGCTTTGAATTCCGATTTCACTAAATTCGATTCTCACATGATGTGTTCAAAAAAAATCACCTTGAGTCCAATAAGACTATGTGTATGTGATATGTTGTATGGCTCTGTGCTGATCTGCTTTGGCAATATATTAAAGGCATTCACCATGCATATAATACCCACACACACACACACACACACATGTACACAAAAAAAGTAAAATAGAGTAAATTTGTATGTGGATTTCACACAAGCTCAACCTTGTATGTGACTCGTGAATTTAATGTCTTGCTTCTTTCTTTCTTCTAACCCAATAGCAAGGCAGAGTGCTTTTTTTCCCACGCGTTTAAGCATTTGTGTTTCTCGGTTTCCTTTTTGCAAACCCTTACCCCACTTACACTCTTCTCTCCTTCTTCCCCCTCTTTTTTTTTCTATTGTGTGTGTCAGAGTGCATCATGTTTACCCATTTGAGAGCTTGTAAGACTACTGTAGCATTGTCTACAAAGGTCTTACCGAACCGCTGGACCACGGCCACCCTTACTGTCACTCGTTCCTGGTACAGTACTTCAGTTGGTACGCAATTTAATTAATATATTCCCACGATCTGTTATATGCCCTGCTAACATCTTGATCTATAGAACGCAAATCTCTTTTTGATAAGATCTTGATCGCCAATAGGTGAGTTTAACTACACATCAGATCCCGATGATATATTCTCCAAACCGACAAAAAGAGAAGAATATGAAAGAAAAGGAGAGGAGGAATATATAGGATGTGATTGGCATTTTATTCATTGATATTGAATGGAAATATAGAGGTGAGATTGCTTGCCGTGTCATGCGTACAGCAAAGTCGCTTGGCATAAAGACCGTAGCAGTCTATAGTGACGCAGATGTGCATGCCCAGCATGTGAAGATGGTGAGTGGATGATATTATGGATGTTATATTAAGCATACCATGAATTAATTATGAATGTATGTGGTAAAATAAAATAATAATAAAAAAGGCCGATGAGGCATATTGGATTGGTCCGCCAGCATCGGCTGAGAGCTACCTTTCGATTGACAAGATCATTGAAGTGGCCAAGAAGAGTGGATCTCAGGTGGGTAATTTTTTTTCTGTTGGTGGTGAAATTAGAACAAGAATAAGAATAAGATATATGTATGTGTTTAACATAAATTGTAACAGCAGTAATAATGATCACTCGTTCAATTTAATCTCATGCCAACCTTTACTTAGGCTATTCATCCAGGCTATGGTTTCTTGTCAGAAAATGCCGACTTTTCTGACCGTGTAAAGGCAGAAAAACTTGCTTTTATTGGTCCTTCTGGTGATGCGATGCGTTCAATGGGATCAAAGAGGTGAGTAAGATAAGTGAGCCGTATATGGTGAAGCAAGAAAGAAAAAAGAAAATTGTACTCAACCTATGCTGTGTTTTCTGCCTTGGGATCCAGTGAATCAAAGTATATTATGGAGAGAGCTGGTGTTCCTGTGGTGCCTGGTTATCACGGAGACAACCAAGATGTCGCATTCTTAAAGGAACAGGCTTCTCTGATTGGCTACCCTGTGCTGATCAAGGCTATTAAGGGAGGAGGAGGAAAGGGTATGCGAATTGTTCGTACTCCGGATGAATTTGAACAGATGCTGTCTTCATCCAAGCAGGAGTCAATCAAGTCCTTTGGTGATGACAAGGTTTTGATCGAAAGATACCTCGAGCGCCCTCGCCATGTGGAAGTACAAGTTTTTGCAGATCAGCACAACAACGTGGTTCATTTGTTTGAGCGGGATTGCTCAGTCCAGCGTCGTCACCAGAAAGTCATTGAGGAGGCCCCTGCTCCCGGCCTGTCGGAAGAGATCCGTGCTGATTTGGGTGCAAAAGCAGTAGCTGCAGCCCGTGCAGTTGGTTATGAGAATGCAGGCACGGTCGAGTTCATTATGGACAACATTGACAAGAAATTCTACTTTATGGAAATGAACACCCGCCTCCAGGTTAGTTGTGCTCATCTTGGTTACATCTCATTTTGGCAGTTTGAAAACGAGACATAATTGCTGTTATTTTTAGGTTGAGCATCCTGTCACTGAAATGGTCACCAACACTGATTTGGTTCAGTGGCAGCTAGAAGTAAGATAAATAAAGGCGATCATCAATCCAACCTTTACACAAACCAAGAAGAAGTCAAAGAAGTTAAAGAAGAAGAGGAAGAAGCTTATGATTAAACATTTAGGTTGCGTCCGGTAACACACTTCCAATGTCTCAAAGTCAATTATCCTTGACTGGTCATGCATTTGAGGCACGCGTCTATGCTGAGAACCCAACAAAGTAGGCATAAAAAGAAGAAGAAGAAGAAGTAGTAGTAGTAAAAGAGGCTTAATTCCCTAAATAATATATATATAACGGTTTGTTTTATTTTATGTAGCAATTTCTTGCCAGATACAGGACCGCTTTTCAGTGTTCGCACCCCGCCTACTTCTGGAGATGTTCGATTAGAGACTGGGTTTATCGAAGGTGATCAGATCAGTGTATACTATGATCCAATGATCTCTAAGCTTGTCGTACGCGGTGATAATCGTGATGATGCTCTTCGCCGTTTCCGCCTTGCATTGGAGCAATATCAAGTAAAGCAATTAAACTAATGTCTCGAAAGATAAGCTAGATTATTGATACTAACTGCGGACAATTGATGTCGATAATCAATAAATAATAGGTTGTTGGACTAAATACCAATATTGACTTTTTGAGAAAGGTTGCCAGCCACCCTGCCTTTATCAAAGGAGAAGTAGAGACTGGCTTTATTCAGGTAAGCTTAATTAGATTAGCAGCAGATACAGCTATCGTCTAAATCTATATATATATAAAATGTATAACATTTGCATGGTATTAGGAATTCGAACAAGACTTATTGGGTGTACCTGTCCCGCCTAACCCTGTCACACTTGCCCTGGCTGCGGGTGTGATCCGACACCAAGAGGCCACAGCAATTAAACCGAGTGCCAAAGGTATAAATATACAATTATACAAGTCTTTTTTTTTATTATTATGATTATGATTATGATTATGATTATGATTATGATTATGATTATTATTATTATTCTACTTTATTTGATAAAACTAAAGAATACAAATGCAAGTATTCGAATGGTACTAATGATAAATTAATTCTATATCTTCTTCTTCTTCTTCTTCTTTAAAATAGATCCTTTTAGTCCTTGGTCTAATCTTCACAATGGCTTCCGTTTAAACACTAAAGATAGTTCCAAGACTGTATTCATTGTGGACAATGTAGAATACGATGTGCTTGTTACACCCAATTCGACCAACACACTGGATCTTGAGGTGCGCCAGAGCTCAGAAACACTCAAGATCTATTCAGATGTCGTTATTTCTCGGGACGTAGATGGCCAGTGGGTATCGAATATCGATAATAAATCAGTAAAATCCAATGTTGTTGTACACAATGACAAGGTTGCCGTGTTTAATGAGGTAATGTTGATAGGAAGGTTATGAGTTACATGTATTGTTAAGTGAGGCTGTAAGTGTACTCAATAATATATGTTTTATGTATCATATAAAAGTATGGTAGAACAGATGTACGATTGGCTGTCCCAGCATATGTTACAGGTGGTGAAGATGCAAATGGTGCAGCTGGTTCAGTCAAGACCCCCATGCCATGTAAGATCTCCCAAGTATTGGTCCAGGCTGGACAGAAGATTGAAAAAGATAGCGTTCTGGTGGTACTTGAGGCAATGAAGATGGAACATGTCATCAGGGCCCCAGCAGCAGGCGTAGTAGACCAAGTGTTGTACAGTGTGGGGGATTTAGTTGAAGAGAACAAGAGTCTGGTGACGTTTTGCGAATAAAATTATACAACACACAGACATGCGCACACACACAATATATATATATATATATATAATATATAATATAATATAAATAAAGTATAAAGTATAAAGTATAATACATCTATATATATAAAAGAGAGAGAGAGAGAGATTTGTAGAAAGTTAAAGATAGAGAAGCGCTCGGACACTCAAACAGATAGAGAATAGAGAAGACTTGGGTTCTAAAAGTAGTAAGGATATAAAATAAAAGAAAGAGACCTCTAATAAAAAGATTACCAGACCATCATATTGATGTTGCACTCAGCGGATCGTCTGCGAATGTTCATCTGTTTAATGATACACGGTGCAAATACAGCACAATAAAATCCAGATTGCAGGCACAAACATGTCGCGGTTATAAACCTTGGCGGTCATAAATTTATATATATATTTTATTTTTTATTTTAGAAGACAAAATTTTGCTACCTTATTACATATATAGATTAAAATATTACAATTTCATTGTCTTTTAGCCACATGAATCAGCTGTCTAGTACCATTACTACCATGGTAGCCGTCAAACTGACCAAAAAGGAGTCTTGGAGAAACCAAATAAAAAAAAAGAGGGGGAGTGAAAGAAAGAAATTGAGAAATAGAGAAAGAAATGAGAGAGCGGAAGAAGGAGTGTAGCTGTGCAACCGGTCATGCTTCCGCAGGGGTACCAAACTGTGAGTTGCGTTTAAGGTAGGAAGCAGTAGCACCGTAGCACTGAACCTCGTTCTTATCCAACGTGTCCGAGCTTGTCACCCACCCCCAATTCCTCTCCCCCCTCTCACTCTCTCTTTGTCTTTGAAAGCAATTACCAAAAAAAAAAAAAAAAAAAAACCCCCAATTAATATCAAATTATAAAAACCACACAAAAATTCTCTTCTGCTTTCTTTTCCATTTCATTATTCAATCATTCACAATGCTTACTGTCCAATTTGATTCCAAGAACACCTTTGTTGAGCCCCACTCCAATGTCGCCTTTGCTGACTTGCCGGTCAAGTCCAGCACCAAGAAGAACCAGGAGGAGGTGATTATCTGCTCTACATTAATCATACTGGATTGGCAATATTTACTCTTCATTAGATCCTTCTCGAGCCCTTTACCTATCTCTGCAACAACCCAGGAAAAGATGTTCGCGCAAAGATGATTGAGGCATTTGACTACTGGATTAATGTCCCCAAGGAATCCCTCAATGTCATCACCCGTGTCATTGAGATGCTCCACAGCGCCAGTCTCTTGTAAGCTTACAACATACGCCCTTTCCTGTTACATGTCTTCAATAAGCCCATTGACACTCCACACAAATAGGATTGACGATGTTGAGGATGGCTCTATCTTACGCCGTGGTGTTCCTGCCGCTCACCACTTGTACGGTATTCCCCAGACAATCAATTGCGCAAACTATGTCTATTTCTTGGCACTCTCGGAGCTTAACAAGCTTAACAACCCCAAGATGGTCATTATCTACACCGGTAAGTCCATGGCCTATGTCTATAAATCTCTTTTTCTTTCTTTTTAGATTACTGCTTCCAAAGCAAAATTTCTGATTGAGTTTTATTTTTATTTTCTTTGTGTGCCAGAGGAACTCGTGAATCTCCATCGGGGACAAGGTACGTGTAACCCATTTAGGCTCCTTCTAGACTACACAAATGGCAGGCTTCTGACAGTTTATTGTGTAACTAGGCATGGAACTATTCTGGAGAGATACTCTGACATGCCCTTCCGAAGAGGAATTCATTGAAATGGTCGACAACAGTAAGTTGTTTTTTTTCTTTTTTTCTTATTAAAAAAAAGTATCTCATCACAGCTCATCTTGACCAATTGATTATCTTATCAATCATCAGAAACCGGTGGTCTTTTGCGTTTGGCAGTAAAGCTGATGCAAGAAGCCAGCAATTCTGAGCGGTAAGTAGACCGAATATATAATATATCTTTGAATATTCAGACACACACACACATAGAAAAGTGCAAATTTTCTAATAGCGTTGTCTACCTTTAGTGATTACACTGGTCTTGTTGGAAAGATTGGTATTCATTTCCAGGTTAGAGATGATTACATGAACCTTCAATCAAAAACAGTAAGTATGACTTGTATAGTAAATCTTGAGTTTCTTATTTTTGCTTATCATGTTGTGTTTTCTGTCTTTAGTACGCTGACAACAAGGGCTTCTGCGAGGACCTTACCGAAGGCAAATTCTCTTTCCCAATCATCCATTCCATTCATGCCGACCCTAACAACCGCCAGCTCATCAACATCCTCAAACAAAAAAGCTCTTCAATCGAGCTGAAGCAGTTTGCTCTTCAGCTTCTCGAAAAGACCGATACCTTTAACTACTGCCGCAAATTCCTCACCAACATTGAGAAGGAGGCAGCAGACGAGATTGCCGAGTTGGGTGGCAATCCCAAGCTTGAGAAGATCATGTCTCTTCTGAGCATCAAGGAGCAGTAAAAGTCAAGAAGTACTGTTCTCCAGAAAAAAAATTTCCTCGTCATCAACATCCTTTCCATTATTCAATATTATTATCACCCCCTCTCCCCCACCACCACCCACCCACGAGAACCCAAACCTCCTTATTCGAATCTCATTCCATCTTTACCCCATTTTTCCATATCCTCATGAGCACATAGATACAAAACGAGACGGAGCATATTTTTTTAAAATACATTGCATTATCTTATGAAAACCAAATAAATAACGTATACAGAACACTTGGTGTGTAACATTGATTTGGAAGCTTTTTTAGTAAACTTGAAGGATTTTTTTTTGGGGGTGTCGAATTCCAAAAGTTTATTGCCAAACAACTTTCCTGTATGTTGGCTATTTCTAACCACCAAGTCTTCATATAGAAGAAATGGCAACAACCAAATAAAGAAACAAAGAAATAAATTGGTATTTTCTTTATTACAACCGTGTGTCTGTGTGTCTGTGTGTCTGTGTCTATGTGTCTATGTGTCTATGTGTGTGTGTGTGTGTGTGTGTGTGGACGTGCGTGAGTGAGTGCAAATATGATTCTTTGTTGTGGCTAGCTATCTTGTATCATGTCTGTACTTATTTTTGTCTTAATGATTCAGAAGTTTGGCTAAAGCTATTCCGAAAACATAGAAGGAACATTGACCACTCAGAGAGCATTCAAACGTCTGTGGTATCGGTTGGATGACTAAATCTCCGCCTAATTCCATTTCATTGTTCTACAGGGCACGAGTTTGATTCGCTGTGTTTCGCATAAAGGCCAAAAAGAGAGAAAGAGACGTGTAAAGAGCGCCTCATTCGTATCTACGTTTTGACCAAGTGTCAATAGGTCCCATTGAACTCAATTGAGTGTGAAGTGTAAGTTTTTTGAATTTTTTTTTTTTAAAAAAAATTCAAAGATATAGAACCGTACAATAAAGCGGGGAACAACCCAAAAAAAACATAATGTTTTCCAATGTCTTTAGCACCCATGATTCTTACTAATGATACCTTGATTGAACCCTTTGAATACTACATCACTATTAACTCGTAGAGACTACAAGCCATTGAGACATCTATTGTGACACCTATCTAAAATATATTGCTCAGCGTGAGCAATATGCACTTGAAAAAGGACATTCAGCACATGTTTAGTCTTTTTTTTTTCGGGCACACTAAGTCAGCGACCGAGACTCTATAAACGGATCATTTGCCAGGTAAGATAGTCAAGTAGAAACGCGAGTCTACGGTCAATTGGCTTACTTGTAGTATATAGCCACCTAACTAAATATCTGTTACACTAGTACAGCTCAAGTGACAGTAAATTTATAATTATTATCTTTACTATATTGCTATCTAAATGATACAACGTATTATTGCTTTTCGTTAATAAGTTATAATCTCTTTATTTAGATAAAGGCAGAAGAATAAGAAAAACGACTACGCATCCTACATTATCTCATGTTTACTCGTTATCAAGCTGGTGTAAGTAAGCCAAGAGATGAGATGAATTCAATTTTGCGCTACACAACCGACACAAATCAAGCTATTCCTTTATTTTCAACATACTGTAATACTTATTTCCATTAAAGAAGAAGAAGAAAAGAGGAAAGTAAATGACTTCTAGGGACCATAACACACTTTATATATCTTGCTGAAAATTTTCTTTTGTAACTTATTCTTGCTACGATAAGCGAATACTCTAAATGTACATGTTGGTTCAATAGGATCCAAAGTTTACTGTGCAAATTAACAGATCTTTCACAAGATAATTTACGCGCCTATTTAAACCAGAAATCTACACTCATAGCATCCAATAAAAAATAAATAACCAAAGAGTAGACTAGTATTTTTAGATGCTGAATTAAACCCATCATATTCGTTTACACATATCTATCGACTTGTATATAGAGTATTTGAATACCTGCTTTGAATTTTTTGTAGGTTTTTTCTTTTTTTTTTAATTAGAGATAATAGAATATAAATGTTACCTGCAAAACAAAAATAAAATAAAAAAAAGAACGTTTGATGTGCCAATGGTACATGGAAAAAACCCACGTTTTGTCAGGTTTGCAATACATTGCCATTTAAAGTAACTAAAATATAATTTTGGGAAAAGCTGTTAACATATTTAGATTCATGCCGGGAAATCAAATCTATCTTTTATATATATATATATCTCCATGGTTACAGGGTTGACAAATAATAATAAACAAAATAAATAATAAATGAATTGGAGCATAAAAGCATATATTAAACCGTAGATAGTTTATACAGTACTATATTATGGCAGAAAAAAAAGAAGGGATAAGAATAACGAATTATTATCATTTTTATATAATTTAGGGTGTATTATGTAATTATTCTCTATTAACCGTAGTCCATGGAGCTCGAGAAGAATTTAGTCTATTTTATAGCAGTACACGTTAAATAATCAAATAAAGATTTAATACAGCATTTATGCTTTTGATAACGGAATATGTTACAATTGATTGCACTATATGTATACCAATCTATTCCGAAACTGTTTCTTAGATTTGCTCAATATTTAAAGAAGATAATAAGAAAATAATGTTCTTTGATTAATATGTACACATATGTACATATACATAGAAGCGACCGTTGAGAATCCGATGTTATGTTACCCTGATTTTATTTTTGCTAATATTTATTGTCTTTAAGCTAAATTTGATCCGGTTTTATTTATTCTTTGGTTGATTTGTTCAATCATAACTGATATACCTAGATTTCAAATGCCTGCACTTTTATTTATATTTATTTTTTTATATCTCAAGATCCGTGCGACAAAGGCTGTACTCAGAATTGGAAAGTCTCGGTCTTATTCTAGTCTATTTAGTGTTTTGTGAATTGAGAAGCAATACAATTCAGAGCAGCAGTGATAATTAGGGCATTCCCAGAATAATGATAAGAATATATAGTGTATCGTAAATACTCAAAACAATAAAAGTCTATGTACCGAATGGATAATAATGATAATAATGATAATAATGCTGGCTAGAATATTATTAATAGCAGAAAATACCTGTAGTCATAGCAATAACCGTAGCCGTAGCCGTAGCCATAGCAATAGTCGTAGTCATGGCTATAATAGAATATTTTCCTCCCCCCATATTTTCAGGTCGATAATTGCTTCGGCTATTCATTAAGGCCTTTGTTGTACACATAATCTGAAAACCAAGAAAGGTACTTATCTAATATATATATATATATATATATCTTTATATATGAAAGGAACAAAGAAATGTTATATGTGATATAGCTTTATATTATTAACATATATCATATATAATGGGATGAATTATTAGTAATAATGAACAATAAAAAAAACAAGATTGAAAAACCAAAACCACATTAACCAGACAATGTATGGTACATCAGCCATTACAAAGAAAATGTAGGAGCTCTAATAGAGTAAAATGTCACAAAACCAAAAAAAAAAAAAAACTTTGTATGTGTTACAAACCCATAGTCCCACCGTTGTGTAGTCAAAGAAAAAAAATCTGTTTCTTAAAATATAATAAAGTAAAATAAAATAAGAAAGTTTTATAATACGCAGATCATTAAGAGATATAAGAGATAGAGATACAAGAGATACAAGATGTGTATAAATATAATACAATTTTTTCACTTCTCTTTATGTGAAAAGGAAGCAAGGATATCCTTAAGAATTGGCAGGTTACAGAGAATATTGTATCTGTGTTCGCAACAGCACGGGTTTCGTTTAAACAAAAACTTTAATAAAATAAAATAAAAAAAAGGTCTTTTTGATGGTACCTCTCACAAAGTCAAATTCCACAAAGTTTGCCATGAATTTTTTGTATTTATTTTGAAATAAAATTAATATATATAAAGTAGACGCAATGGTGTATTTGACATCTTCTTCTAAATTACAAGCACATGTGGGCTAGTAACATCTAGGATTAAATAGCTGTAGGAGTCTCCCCCTTGCTTTCTTGCTTTCTAGACTCCCCGCTTCACTCCCTAAAATAAACAAGAGTTACTCAAGCTGTCCATTAAAGAAAGCTACCAAAAAAAAACTTGCTGCGTAGAATAATAGACCTTCTTAAAAGAGCAAACATGAACATGAATACTATTCATGAGACCGTGAGAATGCTCATGATAAGATACTCTGCCATTAATAATAGAATATATTTTTATACGCTCACTATTAAACCTGATTTATGGCTTAATGGCAATAATGATTACAAAACAAGTCAAACTGTAATTTCTAAAGACCAAAAGTATGGAGTAAGGAATGGTTGGTTACTCGAGCGTACAGTACTCCCGTAACAGCACTACTTTAAAATTGAAACTAGAATTTGGGCCATGTTTACTAAATAACTATGGCCCGAATTTTCTTCTTGTTCTTTTCAGCCACATTTTTTTTTACAAAAGCAGGCTTCATAATATATATTATACTATACTATACTTAAGGTGTGTTTAACAGCTTAGATTACTATACCATTTTGTAGTGGGTACTAAATAAATGTATAAATTTACTGTGTTCTATATAATGGTATCCATTGATAAGGAATAAATACAATTGAAGTTAATATGTTTTCACTAATAGCCCATATTATTACTATCTTTCACATACTGGCAAATATAGTGTCATACACAAGCGAATCTATGAACATAATTAGACAAAACGTCTAAAAATATAGGTGAGATAAAATTATTATTTAAAGGACTTGCCAGTAAAAAAAAACTAAGATATCTCGCAAAAGAGAGAGAGAGAGCCCTGTTCTATATGACAATAATATTGATAGGTAAATAAAGTTAGGGAATAAAGGCTTTTTATACCAATAATACAGAAGAGAAAAATTTCACAAGCGATTGCTTTTCTTCTTCTTTCAATTTTATGAATATTTCTTGTATCATTAACATAACTTTGCCACAACCTTGGTAAGTAATTATAGTGTACAAATCAATTATGTCAAGAGTTAGTGTTGGGTGATTCACTAATTTTATAGGTTTGAATATTAAGAAACGTGTGGTAGCTTAATTTGCAAAAGTATTGGGTATTGTCCATCTAAAAACTTGATGATTCCAATATATAAGCATCTAATTCAAGCTTGAGTTCTTATATACTCAGATTATATATTTATCAGCTTTCTTCTTCTTCTTCTATGAATATACATATAAAAGCGAAAGGAAATACAAGGGTGCCGACCAGCTTTTTTATATATATTGATTATTATTGGTTAATGATTAAACCATAGAATTCTTGATTTTCAAACCTTTAAAACTGGTGAAACACCTTAATAGATCTTCTTTATTTGGAGTCATCGTTAGCTATCGATACCCCAATCTATCATCTGATTTTATACCAAGTATGCTATTCTTTTGTACTTGTCATGCGATCCATGGCTTCTTTAGCAGTAGACAGAAATGTGTTCCCATATGTCATAACTGCATTGATGACCTATCCAGAACAATGAGACTCAGAGAAACAATTCAAGCAAATAATGCTAGTACATTCATCTCAGGTTAGATTATCAACACTTCCCAAGAGCCCACTTTAAAAGGGTTAATATTATTGGCTCGAAGAGGAGTGTCTATATCCATAATTTTTTTTATTAGAAGAACATGAAATAATTCCTGGTCATTACAATGTTTTTGACCTTGGAAGAAAATTTCTGTTATACTGTACGGATAAGGACTCTACTGTGACCAGACCAAGACGCTACCTATACACAATCAGGTAACGTAAAGAAGAAGAAAAACTCAAGATTCTTAAGTTTTGTAGAACTATCTTTTTGTTAAGAAAATATTAAAATCAAACAACTTGATGTTCTTGCTGTTGAACAAGCCCTCTCAAAGACTTTTCCTTTCATTTTTTAATCAGATCAGAAAGTGAATTCATCCTCAGTTTCTTTTATGCAGATATCACAAGTCAAACTGGCTATAATCATTTATTCTGCAAGCTATACACCTATTCTAACATAAAGCAATTCCAAACCAACAAAAGCCTAACAGAAAATCTACACCTCAATCTTGTTTCAGATTTTGTCTTGGTCATGAGAAACTGGTCTGTATTTCACAATAGATACCACGAATTTAATCAAGAGTGTAGGAATAGGACATTTACTCTACAAACACAGATTTCATGTCATCTTGATCGACAGATTTTGTACGTTAAAAACACTTGTCTTTATGTTTCCAGCTATCTTTTGGAAAGTTTAGACAGGGTCCCAGGATAGATTTATGGTAAACCATTACATTTCTTGGATAATTCAGTGGATTTCTTTTTGTACTGGGTGGTAGTAAGAGAGGATTTCTTTATGTCTACTGTAGATATATAAATGTGCTAAAAAAACAGTATTAAAAATGTGGAATATTGTAAAGGTGCCTTCATTTTTGAATTATACTAGAAAAGAAATGAGAGAAATTAAAATTGAATTTTTTTTTAAAAGAACTGTTTAGCTAAAACACCACTCGAAACTTGTCCTTAAACTATCAAAAATATTTGCAAGTTTTTATTAAGTTCTCTATTTTTTTTTTCAAGCCAGCAAATATTGACTCCTAAACACTACAGATATTATAATAAGAAAATAAAATAAAATATTAAAAAAAGCTTGCGTCGTGAAACCTTTAAGGTGAGAATCTTGACTTATTTATTTTATTTTATTTTTACTAACCAAATAATAATAATAGGATTACTTTAACTACTATTTTTCATGTGATTTTCTTATATCCGCGCTCATCTTGTTTCTACCATGTCTGATACACTTGACATGTCTACTGCATCCTTGGTGTCTCAGCAATCCGAGCTGGACATTGACGATAGTGTAATTCACAGTAATCACTCAAGCTTTCAACAGAGCTATTCCCCTCCGTCACAGCCAACATCACCTCTTTCGGTTCTACCAGTCAGTCAGTATACCATAAACACCGCACGCCTTGAGCAACTTGCTGCTATGGATGGGTCAGTGTCTCTTGAGTCATTACCTCCTGCTCCTGTAGCAGCACCTCTTCCAATCCCAACCGCGCCGTCTTCTGCCTGGCCTACTTGGCGCACTGTTCTCAGTGCTATTGTAGACTTTATATTCCGAGACAACAATCTTCCATTGCTCATCAACTTAATCTACCATCTTGCGGCTGCTCGCGTATTGATCGGAAGCCCAACCAAGACTTCAAAGCGCTACCTGGTTACATTTAGAACCATTGTAGAGCCATCTAAAACCCTTGCGACAGATGCATTTCGTATGATTGGGGTTATGCATCTCGCATTTGGTTTGCTGGCTGGTCTGGCACTAAAAGAAAGAAAGGTGGCTTCGGAACGTTCGGCTCTGTTGGTACTTGCTTTAGTTTCTACTGGGCAGGCGTGGGCTCATGGGAGAGCTTATGCTGCTCAATCCAGACAATATACTTTTAAAGCACTGCAAGAAATCGGATTGTTGGATGCAGTGATAGTGATGGTTAGCAGTGTGGCGTGGACAAAGACAGTACGACGAACAGGCCGAGTATTTTAATTAGGATTTATTATTGGCAGTAATAATAATAATAAAAAAAGAACTTGTGATAAAACTCATATCTTGTCTTTGGGTCCCACGAGCCCCTTTTCTACATGATAATAAACGGTGGTGGAATCTGGAGAAACTATGGCCAACGTTATTTGCCTAAAGATACAGATGAAGAGATGGTGAGAAGGTGAGCATGAATAGTGTTGATAGTGTATAATACAAATATATATATATATGTATATTTACGTTGGAGGGGTGCCTTGAAGTGTATTTGATAATCCTGCTTCTGTAATGGAAACGAAAATCGTGGCTAGTCTGATTGAAATACTAATATTAATATTAATAATGATTATGATTTTATCTACTTCTTACCGTGCCACAGATAATTGGGTCTCCTGGTGAATTGGCAATATAATGTGTCTTTGATCCAACTAAAGGCTGTGATGAGTACACAGTACACATTTACAATAGTGCCTTTACCGGTGTTCCTGGCTCATGCGCTACTATAGCACATAGACTTAGACTGTCTACTTTCTCTATCTTGACCTGCTTCCATGTCTTTTCTAATGGTAGTATAAGCCAAACGCACGTGAATTCCTTTTCTGGCTAACATTACTTACCCAGAACTAGATCAAAATAGACTTGCTTAAGAAGTGGTGTTTGCTTTGGATATACATTTGCAAATGTAGAAAATGTATCTAACTAAGCACACTACATACATAAGTTTTTTTTAACACGAATTCTATACAAGACCATCATACCAGCATAGAAGAAATTATGAAAGAGAAAAATAGTCAAAAAGATCAAGTGGCGCCTACCCTATTTTTTTCTGGTTTGGTGAATGTGGCACCGAATAACCGTCACATGTGTGTCAAAATCTGCCTTAAAGAGGTTCTTGTGGAGAAGAGCAATTGTGTAGTATTTGTATAAAGTTTACAAGTAAAGAATCACAAAAAGCAGAAATTTGGCTTTGTTATTAATTAATAAATTAATCAAATAATTAATTGATCGATTAATTGATTTATGTTTTCAATAAAGAAAAAAATGTATTGATTATTATAATGTACAATAACTCCCAAGAGATGTCAAATTTTCTAGGTGAAATCAGGAATTCAAGCCAATATCTCAATCTCGAATAAACTTGCTTTCTACAGCTGTAAACACGTCAGTCAAACGAACATTTAGTATTATGTTTATAACCATCATATCTCTGAATAAGATGTGCTTGTTTGTATTATATTTGTGTTATGTAAAAGATGGTTATGTATTTGTATTTGTATAGTTTTAGTATTGTATGTATACAAGCGTGAATAAAAATCAGTCAATCTTGAAATTATGCTTTCTTATAGGTAAAGCATGTAATAATGGCTTTATTTGGATGTCAAAGAGTCAGGCAAAAAAAAAAGGCTGAAATAATTAATTGTTGAGATGCAATGCCTTCCAGGACGGAATTCAGAAATAAAGGAAGACATATAAATACAACGTTGTCTAACTATTTCCGCTCGACTTTGCTCATTTCAATTACTATTGTCGCTATGCGTCTCTACCTTGTTTCTCTTGCCCTTATTGTGGCTGTTCAATACACCTCTGCCGCATACACCCTTAATAAAGCATATATAAAATCCAATGATATTCCTTTCGCAGCAAACCCCGCATCATTACTAGTCCCCAATTTTGGCGAAAAGTTGTATGATGATCTTCGAAACATTGTCCAGAAACGAAGCTTTGGTGATTTCTTCAAGAGTCTTGTATATATAAACGAACCTTTCCAATTCGGATCGGCACCAATACCAGTACCAGCAAAAGCAGCAGCTGCAGCGGCGGCGGAACTTATCTCGGAATCCAAGGCACACAGGGGTATTATCGCGCAGGCCGTGGATTATAAGAATCTCCCGCTTGGGCCAGTGGCAAAGGGACTTATTGACAGTCAACCCGGTGCGATCTCTCGAATAGTTGCTCCCAAGATTAAAGAACTTCAGGCATCCCGTTCTTACAACGATCTCAAAAAGCGTGGCATGTTCGATTTTGATGATTTGCTAGACGATCTTCCCGTGTTAGAAATAGCGGCTGAAAATAGAGTCTCGGGTGAAGCCAGCATTGCCATGTCCTCTTCTGCACCAGAGATTGTGATGATGAGCCAGGAATCTATTATGGTAGAAAGTTATCCAGAAGAGCAAATGTACTTGGATGAGATATTTCCGGAAGATAACGAGTTGTTTGATGGTGAATTATGGGCAGAGAGAGTCATATTAGATGAAGAACAATAATTGCTGTAAATTTACTAAAAAACACACACACACACATACACCCTTTAAAATGAGGGAAACGTCTGAGATTATTCTGTGAATTCTCATTCTAATTTCTATAACCATCCCACTAATATCTTTGTCTATTCTTATGTTACCTTTTTGATCTACAATTTTTATATAGACAAATCAATAAAATCAAATGTTTTTTTTTTTTAATTTATTTTATTTTACTATTTATCGATTTGTTTTTAAACGAATATTTTTTGACCGTCTAATATGTACATGTATATTGTAGTGCTTAAAAATTTAATATAATAAGGGTATATAGCTCTTGTGTGCAAAACTGGCTAGCTATTACAATACTAGTAAAATAAAATCACTTGATTTTTAGAGATAAAGTAGTATATATATCAAAGAACAGTCTCTACAAATAATTCATATATATGTTGCTGCAATTGCCGAGAAATCTTGTATAGATTGTGGTTGACTATCGTCATCCGTAATGAATGAAAGAAAAGTGTGTTACATTCTATGGATAAAAGAAAATCGATTACCCAAACGGTAATAACAAAGATGTCGTCTGACAAATATGCCATTTTCCAAATCTAATCTAATTATATTTTCAATGTCTTTCTCATTTTTGGAATCACATGTCTTACATATTACAATTCATGTCGAGTCTTTTAGAGCTAAAGAAAAAAGCGGTAAACTTAGCACAATTTCTCTTTAAGAAAAAGAACAATCTTCTACAATCCATGAATCTTCGGGAATGTTGGTACTTGGACTTAGACCAATATTAATAGAAAGAAAGAAAAGGTATTACTTGAAACACTCTAACCAATATATCCTTTAAATTTTTCCATTGATATCCCCTGAAGATTCGTATGTTTATTGACTGCTGGCTAACCCAGAGTTCCAGTCTTATACTTGAAACACTCTAATATAACTTCTACTCACTTGTCGGTAATGTCGTAACAAGATACAAAATTATGCTAGGTTTTTGTTGTAACAGTGTCAAATGGGAGATTATATTTGACCTCCCCAAAATTTCAACTACATAAAAGAGTTGTGTTGGTTGAAAGTTCTCGACTTAATTGCTGATATTGTATAAGCGGAATTGGTATCTTGCTTAAGTTAGCAAAACTTCTTCACTGCGCTACTTTCAATTAATTGTATATAAAAGAGTTTTACGCAATAAAATATTATCTGTTGTAATTTCAAGGAAAAGCACGTTATCTTGATGAAATTGATAAATATAAAGACTTGTAAATAGAGCCAAGCTTTCTGTCTTTCTCTAAAAGATGCTTACTGACGTATTAAAAATCAGAGTAGTTTTTTTTTATATATTTATTTGCTATTATAGTTTAAAACGCAAAAAATACACCCCTAAGTATGTCTTTCTCTCTCTCTCTCGCTTGAAATGGGTATTACTAGTCATATATCCCTAAAAAATATTATCCCCATCTATGTTACTTTTGTATATAGAGCCAGTGGTTGCATACGAGTACTAGATGTGTGTGTATCATGAAACAGATACAATTATATTTTACTAGAAAATTACCTAGAGCCCAATTGTGCAATAAAAGATACAGGTAATACACCTCAATTAGTGGAGAAAAGTTGGGAGGTAATATAAATGCTTAAAAGTCCACTATATAGCAAAGAGTCGAAATGATCCATCACTCTTGGGATAGCCATTTAATGGAATTAATATTGAAAAATATAAATGATGACACTTAACACTGAAAAGGTTAACTCCGTATCAGCTCTATCAAATTGATAAGTTTAAGATTCCTATCTCATCGTAGTTGTACATAAACCTTGAAGAGATCATTAAAGGCCTCGCGAGCTATATCATAAGTGCATATATTATTTTCGTACAAAGGCAGATATATGCGACCAATTGACTGTAAGCCTTTTGATGCTTAATAACTAGGAGTTTGTGGTTTCAAGTTTCGATAAAGCAGAAGGAAATACCCTAAAGGTGCTTATTAATTAAAATAAAATAGAATAGAAAGCAATTGGCACTGCAGATAGGCACATAAATATTTCTGTTGACCAAAAGATCAGAAAAAGTCTATTGGTGTGAGGATGAAAGTAATCCTCCTGTGTAATTAACCTCTGAATATTACAACGAAATACAGAACCGTATTAAGTTTTATTAGAGTAGGTAGCAAGGTAAGAATGTTGGTGCGAAGAATATGAAGTTCTTTATTTGATCTTTCAAGTCAAGTGTGCTTTCCAGTTGGTGCAGAAATAAATGAATAGGCAAATAAATATATGTCTAAAATCCATCGAGTGGTTTCTCTCCCTTTCCGTCTGTCAATCTAATGTCAAGATCAAAATCAAAAAGTCATTAAAGGAAAGTTTCACATACATTGTTACTCCAGATTACATATGTTACATATTGATTAGAAGTAGATAATAGAGCGGAATATTTGCATATGTGGAAGACAAAAGAAAGCTAGAGACATCAATAACTGGGCAAGTAGACCCAGCTAATGTTTAGTGCAACAGTATTGAATGAGTCGGCATAATTTGGTATGTTTATGTACATAATTCAAGTTGTTATAGAATTATTCTTATAATACACTATATTCTATTCTATACCTCTTGATGAAACAAAAAGAAGTATGTATTTGAAGAAAAAGGTGCTTATCATCATGATACAAGAACGAGATGGGTTGATTTCAGGAGATCCATGACAGAATACGATCCCGTTGTGACTTGCTTAAATGAAACTACCCCACATTCCTTTTATTAGTAAAGGTGTGGTGTGGAATGAAGGGCAAAAAGAAAAATAAAGGCTGTAACAAATAGCTCAAAGTAAGAGATGGTATAAAAGCTTAATAGTTTTAATCTTTGAATTATCAAAGTCTAAATAAGTAAAATTAGTGAGAAACAACAGGAGATATTAAATAGGGACTTTTCCAGTCTAATAAATAATGCATGATAAAAAGAAAGTAAACAATAAATGTTATAACAATGGTTTTAGCTCGTGGGTGTAGGATAATCTATCGATATCTTTACCTACCTTGAAAACACCTCGATTTATTGTCACCCAATTCATCTTTCTTGTGTATCCTTTGATCTCAAGTGATTTTTTTTATCTTTCAGCGCTTGGCTGTATCAAATTACATCACCATATTTGGGTATACGATTGTGACTTTAAGCTATATTATTGCCTGATAAAGATCGTAACACATATCGCGGAATCATACAAGTGTATACTATCTTATCTCTTAACTATTAGTGGGAACCAAAAATAAAAATAAAAAATAAAGATAAGGATATTTTCAATTGTAGACAAGAGGTATATTCAACTAACCAGATAAGAATAAAACATAATAAATACCACAATAATTTCAAAATAATTTTCCACACAGCTTCACTTGTCATGGAAAAGAAAAACGACACTATCCTCGAGACCGAGGTCGTCCAGCCAGAGTCTACAGGTCCACTTGATGCCAGAGAAAAATATCGTGACAAAATCAGACGAATTATGCTAGGAAACTATGAATATGGTTTCCTCTGCATGCCATATATTCCATTTTTCTTCAAAGCCAAAAGACGTCTTCCACCATTCTTCGGCATCAATGCCCCCCTACCCATCTTACTATCTATCGTTCTCGGCTTTCAACACGCCCTTGCCATGGTGTCTGGTGTCGTAACGGTACGTACTTTACATTTGAAAAAAAATTATGATAGATATGTAAATACATACATACATACATACATACATACATACATACATACATACATACATACATATATACATATATACTTACCTATCAACAGCCATCAATTATTCTTGGAGGTGGTGGTTTCCTCAACCTAGACATGGAATATAGACAGTACATGATCAGTTCAGCATTGATTGTTAGCGCAATCTGTACAACCGTCCAGATCACATCTTTCACTTACCGTGGTGTTCGTATCGGAACTGGCCTTCTCAGTGTGGTTGGAACTTCCTTCACAAGTGTACCGCTTGCCTACTCTATATTTGGAAATATGTACAAGACTGGATTTTGTCCTAGTATGATTGATGAGAACGGAACAACCATTAATTTGCCCTGTCCCCAAGGCCTTGGTGCCTTTATCGGAACAGCAATGCTGTGCTCTCTTCTCCCAATGGGCCTTTCTCTCCTTCCACCAAAGGCCCTCAAACGTATGTTCCCTCCAATTGTCACCGGAACGACCGTATTCTTGATCGGCCTATCTCTTATTGCTTCAGGATTCAAGGACTGGGCAGGAGGATCGGGTTCTTGCATGGATCGTCCGGCCACCGGCATGTACAGTGTTTGCCCTAATCTTGGTGCACCCAACGCTAAACCCTGGGGTGACCCGGCTTATCTTGGTCTCGGTTTGGTCGTCTACGTATCAATTGTCCTCATTGAATACTTTGGCTCGCCCTTCCTCAAGAATATTCAGATGGTTGCTGGACTAATTATTGGTATTATTGTTGCCGCTGCTACTGGCTACATCGATCACAGTACAATTGACAGTGCTCCCGTTGCCACCTTCCTCTGGGTCAAGCGTTTCCCCCTAAGCATATATGCTCCTGGTATTATACCGCTCCTAATCGTATATCTGGTGGCAGTGGTGGAAGCTGTCGGTGATATTACTGCCTCTTGTGAAGCATCTCGTGCTCCAGTCGAGGGTCCTGAATTTGAAGGCAGAATCAAGGGCGGTATTCTTTGCGATGGTGTCAACTCTTTGTTAGCAGGATGTTGCACTAGTCTTCCCCTCTCTACATTTGCTCAAAATAACGGTATCATTGCCCTGACTCGCTGTGCTAGCCGAACTGCTGGTTATTGGTGTGCCTTCTTCATGTTGCTGATGGGTATCTTTGCCAAGTTCTCAGCTGTCTTCCTTGCATTACCAAGTGCAACCATTGGTGGTCTGACAACATTCTTGTTTAGTACTGTTGCTGTGGCTGGTATCCGCATCTTAGCCTATCTCGAATGGACTCGTCGCGAGCGTTTTATCGTATCTGCTGCAATGGCTCTTGGTCTCGGTGTCAACCTAGTCCCAGACTGGTTCAGCTATGTTCTTACTTATGAGGGTTCCAACCAGGCCCTCCGTGGTTTCTTGGACTCTGTTGAGGTGATTGTCAGTACTGGATTCTGTATCGCCGCTATTATTACTTCTTTCTTGAATGCCGTCTTACCTTCCGAAACTGGAGTACAAGAGATGTTTGAAAACGACATTGAAGACAATAGCATCGACGAGCCTACAAAAGAGCCTCATATTATTGTCTAAAAACCAAAAAAAAAAGAAACATCCTCATTTATATATTTCACCCATTTTTTGTACATATCACACTTTAATCTTATAGAGTCAATCTATCTAATTTACTAAGTGTTATTTTCCCACTTATCGATTCAATAAATGGTCTCGAAAAACAATCCTGTCTGGCTTTATTATTTATAATGTTTATGATTTATTATTTATGTGAGCAATTGAATATACAGAGTTCCAAGAAATGATCTTTTTCACATTTATCTCGATAGTCTTTTTAAGTCTCCCTAAATGGAGAAGACGAGCCAAGATATGTGTTGATTACACTTGGTGGTGTACTAATTAATTTCCCTTTAATAGTTTCCTTCTGCAACTCTTTGTGAGCAGCCCATCGATGGCAACCACCAAACGCAAAATAGTAATCTTGTCCTTTGTACTCGACATGATGAATGTCCTATAATTGTAACACAAAATTAGCGACTTGTACTTGTACTTGTACCATACACACAATTGCTATCTTACAATAGGTGTCAGATCATCTTTTTTAGTATCAGTCTGTAAAATCGTCTTCATCTCCTCGACCTTTGCACGGTCGAGCTGGGAGGGAATTGGTCGGTTTACGACTGAAAGTGGTATATCGCACACCTACAATATAAAAAGAAAATGCCATATAGAATATTATATTTAGAGGAGTTTCTTTTTTTTTCTTCTAAATTTGAATGATTTTAAGGTTATCCTTACCTCTGAAACCGCATTTCCGTGGATTGAAAAGTTATCGACTGTAGTTTTGGTGGACATGGTGCGAACAAGGCGTAAAATCATGAGAAAATTTAATCTTTGGGACTGGTCTTATATACACTCACCCGTCTATACCATTTTTGTTACAGTCCGCCTGGTGGATATTAAAGGTTACACAATGATATAATTGGCGGTTATAAAAAAATAAAAGTCTTGTGATACGTGCGTCACCCTAGTCACATGATCCATAATGTGTGTCCGAACCCTTTTCCCCTGACAGTCCTTTATATACCACTTTCAACTCATTTAATAAAATACAGGATTCTTTCCAATATAATATTATTTTGTCCATACGGCTTAGAGCATCTCCAGAAGTCGCTTTTACCTCGACTTTTATTTTAGCTAAAGTGGCGGTGTTTGGCTTTAGATAAAATAAAAGTTGGCATACTACTGGAGATGCTCTTATTATACATAATTCTCAACCAAATCAAAGCAGTATCTTAGGCGTTATTTTGACCTAACTCAAAATTTCATCGAGACCATAATCAATAAATTTCATGTTTCCTGGTAGATAGGACTCATATTTGGTTAATACTTTACCACCTACTAGGAAATATAGACGTCCCAATAACTACATTTCGGATAACACAATTGAGCAATTAAACATTGTACAAGTGAGTTAAATTCAAGGACCGACATTCACGCTGTGATTAGTAACTGATGTCGCATAGAATAATAAATAGAGTACAATAACGCAGGACAAAGGTTCATCCAGCCAGGTAACCGATATTAATGGCTACATATATCTTTGCAACGCTAATCCGATATACATTTATGTTGATGCATAGAAACGTTCTAGGGAATAAACGCCTGAACACCCTTCAGCACCAACATCTGAGCAACCCTCTACCTCAACGCGAGAAAAAAGAAATTGCAGACCTGCCACAGACGAAAACTTTGTATGCTCTGAAATAATTACTGCTGATGTAAGTATAGTGCCATATTTTGTAGAAGTTTCCCTGCTAATTTTTCTTTCATGTAATACAGGATAACAATAGTAATACCACTTCTTCACCATCGTCGTTCTTTCCATCTGATTTAATAGATACACCAGTTGGCTATACTTGCAGAATTGAGGTGTGCGAGCTTGGAGATTTTTCTCATACTTCTCTACCCATTCGAAATTCTCATTTTTCTGCCTTAGTAGCTATTGCCATAAAAAATGTGATGAAAACCAATTGTTCCCTACAGATTACCTCACCCGTTTGCATGCCTCTACCATTTTTAAGGCGGATGGCCCTTTCTTATTGAACGATGATGGTGATAATGATAGCAATAGTTTGTCAGAGAACGTACATAAAAATATTCAGGCCTTCAAACGAGCTATGCAAAGACGCACACTGTGTATACGACCACAGACATACACAACCATGAAGCAAATGGCTCTCGATAATATTATTACCTCCAATTATTTACTGCATGGTAAACCAAAAGTTAAATGCAAATGATCGGAATTAAGTCAAGTTGCATTATCTGCTTCTACACTATTGTGTCCGTTATTCTCTGCTCACGACCAAGCTCAAATTGAGTTTGACAACACTTCTTGGATCTTCAAACAACAAGATGATATTGACAACGAGAGCTTGCGTCATGACAACATTCTCTATTATCAGCACCAAGAAGAGGTTGTGGAAATAGGTTATGGAGAAGTAAAGAAGCTCAGTGCTTCCCAAGCCCTATTTAACAAAGACAAGATACGTGCGTTGGAAATTATGAGACGTCAATTGCATCTATGTCTCTGTCGTGCCAAAAAAGCGTATGAATCAGTGACCTTTAATGTTCTCGTGCAAAGTAAGGTTATAGAAAAAGTAGTGCGATATCCTCTCCTTATCATATTTGTTCTACAAAGGTACAATGGTCATATTACTACGGATGCAAATGGATTTTGAAAATGGCGTATACATGTATCATAATCATTCACTCTGCCTACTACATATCACACTCCTACACATATGGATATTGCTTTAGAGGTCATTAATAAATTCAAGGTAAATATGCAATGATTTCTTAAAGTAAGTTAGTAGCCAAACTACTTACATATTGTTTAGAAATATATAGAACCAAATGTTGAAATTGCTTCTAAAAGTGGAAGATCACGATTGTCGAAGCATCTGGGACCTCTACAAGCAACATATTCACCCCATAGTGTCTTGTTTTGGGCCCATATACCACAGCTAATAAATATATACTCTGCTTGAAATATAGTTTTTTTATTCAATTTTATATTTAACTATTGTTTCTCGCGAATATTTTATTTTTTCTTTTAGCACATTTTCAGAATACATCGCATGTACAATTTACAAATGATTCTCTTTGTCTATAAGATAAATGTTGGGATTGGTACCTCAGCTCAATTGCTAAAGTAGGCAATATGCCTTTAGAATATAACTCAAATACCAACTTTTTTCCCAAAATAATGCATACGCAAAGAACTTACAAATAAAGTATCTGTATATGGTGTAAAATGAGACGATTGCATCTTCTGGCAGCCACAGGAAGTGAACCCCCTTCTTTAACGAAACGGTGAATTTGCTCAGTGCCATACTTATTCTTTTTTTTGGTCTTCTGAAATAGAAATTACACTTAATTTATTGGTAATGTCGTCGACATCATGTTCTCCTTCTTTCGAATATTGTGAGCAGATTGTCAAAATCTACTCAAGTGGTGATGTCCCCATACTTGAAAACTAATTCCATGCTGTCAGTTTCAGTTCCGGGATAAAACTCCATCAAAGGTCGGTAGTTTAATACCTGCCATTTCTTACAATGCAACAATATCCACCGGCCGGATTGTATTTTGTCTTGAACTATGAAGTGTGCTTATTCAGCACAGTTTTTCTGGCCAATCCCAAACATACGCAAGTCACGATGTAAATTAAGAATCCGTTGCCTATGGTGTGATTGATGAGAAATCATTAAATTAACCAGTGAGGTGTCGACAAAGGAAACATCTAATTATTCTTGCAGTAAGTCTTTACACACACACATACGCATATATATATATATATATGTATAATATCTGTTTAAATTTTATTTATTTGACTTTTGCTCTTAATGTATTAATATTCAAACCAGTTTAGCACTAATGTTGCTCTCAAATCTCAAGCCCTTTTCCGTTTTCACTTTCAAAATAAAAACACCTGGCTTTCCAAAAGGAATCCAAAATAATAATAACAATAAATATTACACATACATATTGCTGGTTTAGATATCCTGTATAAGATTCAAAATCAATTTATTTAATGTTCACATAAACCAAGAACATATAATTTATTCACAATATGCATATATGCATGTATATCAATGTATCAACATGCGTCATCATTTATATACAATTTTGTTTACCTTCCAAACCACCGAAAGTACCCATTTAGTCATATAGATAGGTATTCCAGGTGTTTATTGCATAGTGGACTATTCTACAACAAAATTATTCTTTGGGATTTTTTCAATTTGAATATAGACTAGGAATATACAGTTCCTTGGCAAGGTTTTGCAGAAAGTATCGATCTATACAATTATAGTAATATAAATATCACCATATTTTATTTGCTTTTTTATTTAATTTTTACAAAACAAAAATAAAAGCAAAGAAAAGAAAATGTATATACTATACTTGATCCTTCTTTCTAATGGTTAAAACTTGATTTTGTTAATGGACTGCACTCAAAGAGAAAAGGCTGCTGTTCCAAAGACTGTCAGATTTTCAATATTTAAAACGCTTTGACGAGTTACCATAATTCTCAACTTAAAGCAATACGATAGTTATGGTGATTGATCTTAATCCTGAGTGGTATGAGGAATATTATTTAAAGTATAAACGTGTTTGTTTTATAAGTTAATTGCACAAAATTGCTTTTATGTTAAAGACTTTAGACACAGAGGAATGTTTTGTATGATTGAGATTAATTTCTTACTATATATTTGATGCAGCCCAGATCGTACCTTAGTATCTACATCCTACAGTACAGCACATGTCAGATCAGATCAACATATCAAAGTTACATTCGACAATCGATACTAAAGGCTCGTCTTGGATGAGCATTGGATTTTGAAAAGAAGTATATAATATAAATACAACAAAAAGATCATCTATCTTAAAAGAAATTACTTTTTAAGAATACATCATGCTATTGCATAGCTTATTTGTATTGTACCTTTGAATTTATTTTTAAAGAATATTTTCGTTGGTTGGCTAATACAATTTAATGTCTATCAAGCTTTATTTATTCAGAAACAGGCCTATGTGCAAGCTAGTTTTCTGGTCAATCAAATCTCTGAGTAACCTACTAATGTTTACGAAGAAATGTATATCCATTCAAAAAAATTAACAATTCATCCAACCAGTACCTCAATTATAGTATAATTGTGATATATATTTCCACAAGATGATTAAAATAGCCCCAATACGGCACTCACTAGAGTATATATCGTATAAAGATAAAAAAAGAAAGAAAGAATATTTGCATATTTATAGACACATATAATCTTCAGGAATGCATACGCGTAAAGTGGAAACAACTTGAAAAATTATAGTGAAATAAAGTTTCTGGTCAAAATGCCTAATACATGACCTAAAGAAATGAACTGTTTTACATAAATAAAAGATAATATGAGCTTAATAAGTCTATAACCCCAGCGTGAATTGTCGTGTTGTTCTTGGAAACCAAAAATTCTATAAGCCGTTATACGCGTAAGACTTGACTACAGCTGATGATTAGTTTATTAGTTAAATATAGCGAAGATAGCTAGGTAACAAGAAGGCTATACCCTTAAAATAAGCCTTAAAGACTAGAGATATTTATTTTTCTCAAGGTAGCAAAGAAGTACAACTGACCCAAGAACAGACACTAAGAATGATATTTGCAAAATTTACCCAAAAACTACTATTATATTCTAGCTTTTATATGTATTAATTTTTGTTTCAATATCCAACACAAGGCAAAATAACTACATATGCTGATCAAAAAAAGTTATTATATATTTTTTCTTTGGTTTAGTTTAGTTTTGCTTAGTTTGGTTTGACTTGACTTGGATAGGTTAAATTGAGAATGAGCTGGAGATAGTATACTTTTCGCCGTGCCAGTTACCTCACTAGATACACAACTGCTTATTATTTATCTGCCTGTGGATCTCGTATATGTATATATACAATCGAGAGAAGGTGATCATCTATACTGCCGAAACTTGTAATATAAACCGATTCGAGTGTGAGCAATGTTGAAGATACACATCTTTTTCTGATTTCTCGGGTAGCGTTAATACATGCCTTGCTCCATACCATTGCCAGCACAAATAGAATAAAAAGGAAGATGTTTCTAGACACGGTGCTTACACCTTCCTCTCCATCTTTTGGTCCACTCACATACATTTTTCATCTATTTGGCCTTAAACCCAGCAAGAAATAACGAGGCTTCCAATGCATTACTCGCTTCTCTATTTGATATTGTTCCTCTCGCTTGTGTTGTGTGGTAAGCTCAAAAATCTGATACCTATTACATATTATTTATAAAGGTGTGGCTAGTACGTGCCGGTGATGATGAGGATGATTATGATGATGATTATGAGGATGAACAAGTCTTGACTGTGTGGAAGACAAAGACAAAAATTGTCGACAGCCACACCCCAGTATACGACAATGGCGGCAGAGAAGACGACAAAGTAGATACTGTGGATGAGAATGACAAAGACTCCAAGTCCGGGCATGACATTGATACTGAGATCGATAAGGAGGAAGACAATAGTACCGAGAGTGTTTCATTGAACGAAGAAGAAGTCGACGATGTTCCAGTTGCTTCTGTGATTGCGATTGACGAGGAGCAGGAAGATCAGTTGATTAAGAACTTTGCTGCTGCTATTTCTGAAGTTCCTGCCTCTGCTCCTGCTCCTGCCTCTGCCTCTGCCTCTGCCTCTGCCAGTAATGCTATCAATGTTAAGCAGGCATCTGTTATTTCTTCACTCACAAGTGCCCAGTCTGCTTCTCGGTCAGCCAGCTCTTCCTACAGCTCAAGCTCAACTGTGAGCTCAGCAAGTGGTCTCAAGATTAGCATTAGTATAGCTGTTGCTTCAATGATACTTGTTGTTGCACTCATCTTTTAACATTATTGACCCTAGTAAATTTTAGTTTACCCTTAGAGTCCCAACAATTGCATTTATTTTATTGCTTTATTTAGGTTACCCTATTTTTTTTTATTAAAAAAGTACAATAAAGTGGATTGAATATTCACAAATTAGACCTTATATATACGAGCCTTTTTTTCTATTGTTTTAGAATATTAAATCTATCAAGTTCATTCAGACCGAATTCTTTAAATGTCGTCCCCGCAAATCTTTGAGAGATTCAAAAACACTCATACTAATCATCGTAGTAGGCAATCCCCATGCTATCCGCGCCCCTAAACTACGGAAAAAGCCTCGCCAGCCACCTTCGTTCAACCACAAATGACATGCAATCGCCACGGGTCCTTTTCGAAACAATGTTCCTTCCTCTGCAGCCGACACTTGCCATCTAGTTTTGATGACATCAAGAGGTGTAGACACAATTATACCAGCTGCGCTGGCTACACCTGAACACACAAGATACACACTAAACGGGAATTGTCCAAGATCTGAATCTTTCTTCAACATTGCAGCAGCCTGTCCTTTGAGTTTTTCGTAGGTAACAAAATATATCACAGTGTGAGGCATAAACACAGCCAGACCCATTCCATAACCACGAAAGAACCCACGAATGCCTTCTTTATTCCACACAATTTGCGCTAATGCACTAGCACTCGTTCCTTTCTGTTTTCGCTGTTCAGTCTGGAGACGGTTCTTGAGAACCTCCATAGGAGTAAAAAGTGTACCTGCAGCCAATTCAGCCACTGCCCCAGATATAACATGATTTATCATTGCATCACGTGGCATTGAGGTAGTGTTGATATGAAGCCAGGTTTTGGTAGACTCATAGCATGATAGATAAACAGATAGAGCTGGGACACTGAATAAGAGTGTGACGGGAAGACCTCGATAAAGAGACAAAATAGAAGCTGGACGTAAAGGTGTCTGTGCTGACTGTTGGAGGATGACTTCCTTTAACCAAGCATTCTTTGAAATGTTATTTGATGGCGGAGCCACTTGAAGTCGCGTCTTGATGGTGTCGACTGAGAACAGCAATATTATTCATTAGATTGTGTCGAGTATATTGTTTTTTTTTATAAATTGATAATAAAATATATGATTAAACCGCTTACTTGGATGAGTACATAAACGCGCAACAATTGCTGCTACACTAGAAGCAAGAAGGGAGTAGCCATCTATGCTCATCATTAAAGAATGACACAAGCTTTTTCTTTTTTATATAATAATAAAAAAGGGGAAGGATGTGACACTCGTTTTCCTCCTATTTTCTTTTCTTTTTTTGTTCATTTTTTCTTTTATTAAATCAACCACAGATTCACTGCAATCTATTCCGGTGTATAATGTGGGGAGAGAGAAAGGCAGAAAGAAAGAAAAGTAGCTTTGAGTTAAAATACTTCTATAATAAAGATACATTCAGCAAGTAATGTGACTGAGATGCAATGTAAGTAAGAAAAGCTAAAGAAGTAAGAAAAAAACGATTTTTTTGAATGACCAAGTGCACCATATAAAAAAATACTCCAAGAAATTCGAGCGTTTTCTAATAAAGAAAGAAATATTATAGTGCTTAAATATTTAGATTGTATTATAATACAGTAAAAACGTTAAATAATTTATTTTAAATTAATCTTCTATGGTGGTATGTACGGTGGGCGAGAGAGGTTTTAAAGAAGGAGGATTGTAGACAGCAGAGAATGATACCCAGAATATACTAATGTCGTCTATTTCCTCCTCTTCCTCCAAGGATAGACGTGGTGATGTCTGGATTTCGATATTTGAAAAATCATGAGACTCTAACAGAGAGCGGAAGGTGTCGATGCCAATGTACTGTTTTGTGTGACCTCTTGAAGGACGGTATACAGATGTAGTCCGATTACTTGCTACGTGAGCACCAACAAATAAGCCGCCTTTCAAGAGCATACAGCAAACTCGCTGTAGAAATTGAGATATACGCTGAGTTGAATGAAAAAGATGTATCAAGCTACCAGCGTGGACAACACTTGCTTTGTGGCGGTATATATTGAGGTTATTATTGTTTTGGCCGTGTAGAGATAAAAAGCTTTCATCAAATATATCTCCGGCGAGAAATCGAATCGGTAACTTGTCTTTATCACGGCACAATTCATAACCGCATTCAATGTAACGAGCAGACAGGTCAACGCCAACTAATGATTTTACAGGATAACCATCAAGCATCAGCTTGCGTAGATCAACACCTTACAATATAGAGAAAGCAACATATAATAGACATATCGTTGATTATCAATATCAGCCAAGCATATAGCTTTTTTTGCTCCTCAATGATTAAATACCTGCACAACAACCAAGATCTATCAAAAGGGGACTAGAAGTCTTTCCGATTTCAATTAACCCAGGGTAAAAGAACCGGTCGCACATACGAGAGTAGGCAAATTTGAATTCGTCGATACACCTGTAGGTTTGGTTGTTCTAAAGAAGTGGTGGTATAAACATAAATACAAGACGTTAATAAGCATACCTCATTTAAGAGTGCCTGTACACGTTTGAGATGAGTTGTTAGTTCATTGCGATCCTTAATCCCGACGTAATCTGCATAGAATCGAATAATTGAATCCCCAATTACAGATGCGTACTTCATTGTTCAACTACATCAGCTTCTCAAGACCACCTGAATGAACGGATCAAGATGTGACTGTGTAAGAATGGTATTCTGTCAGCTCTACAGTAAAACACACTATACAAGGCGCACAATTCGAGGATTATGTTAGTTTTTTTTTTGGACGAATTACAATAGTAGTTTAAAAGGTTGGATTACCTATTTTAGATAAAACAAAAATAAAAATGGAAATCAGAAAAATGGAATGAATATATTAAATAATTGCTAAATTTACCTGTAAGGGTGTGTTAAAGAGTTATAGCAATAACACACAGTAATTATAATTATTATGATGATGGAGGGCGCTGGACCGGGGACAGGCGAGCGTCGTTGTTTTTTTTGCGACCATCACATCGCGATTCCTAATATTAATTGTTTAATTTTGAAGTATTATTAAAAATCATTGTCAATGCTTTACTTGAATGCTTTTCTGCCATTAGAAAGACTCTCTCTGGTTCTAAAGCCAGTCTTGGAGAAATCGAAAAGCTTGTAATAAAAATTAGGAAACATTTCCTCGCTCTTAGAGCCTTTAGGTTAGTCTTCAATATCAGGTTCTTTTGCTAGTCTCCAATATGCTTGAGCGTCAATTTGAACCAATTTTTTTTTGAAACGAATAAACAGGTAGGAGAGAAAAAGCGATATCCACTTCTATCAGTATACTTGAAAGGGCAAAAAGTACCATATTTTACACTTAATTTAACAGCGCTGACAAAGTTTAAAGCTGCTGTCTTGCGGTTGAATCTTTTGCAGCTTTTTTCCAAATATTAGAGGTTGATCCCTGTTAACAGATATAATGACTTATTCTCGTAAAGAATTAAATTGTTTTCTGTTCAAAGACGCCGCAAAAGGAAGTTATTTGAGCTTGCAATAGAAGTATGCTTTAGAAGTGGCAGTTTCCGGTACTTCTTCAGTTATAAGAGCTTTTTTCTCAACTTTTGTTTGAAGAAAGTGAGGCCATTTGAAATACATACTAGGTTGGGCATACAAGGTGTAGGATTCAGAGTCTATTGGCTGATAACGCAGCCACAACATATTGACGCTGCTGGTGATTTCCTTGAGAGCATCTGTCTTTTCAATAGATGACGGCCATGGCGATTTTTCTTTAATCTTGAGATGTAAATATAATAGGAAAGCGGCTTTTTTTTGTTCACCGTTAACGCACGATAATAAGATTCAGAGGACTTGCAGGCGAGGATTTCCAGAAAATAACGTATGCTTCTTTTCATCAGTAATGTATACGTTTGATATTTACTCTTTAAACCTTTTTCTTTTGCTGAATTCTCAGATGAGTCGTCTTCATGTTTGCATTTCATGTTTTTGCCACAAGTTTTGAAAAGAAATTTTGGTTTCTAATAAACAATACAAAAAATGAAAGGAAGGTTGAAAGACAACGTTTCGCATTCTGATTAATTACGATGATGCTCTACCTTCGATTAAGACTCTGAGTTATTGATATATCGCTCTCTGGGCGTCAATGAGAGATCTGTAAGGCGTATTTGTAAGAGTTACTCGTTATGAATGGATCTTCTTTTCAAATAAACAGTACATAAAAGTATTCTTAGGCTATTACTTTATTAACCATTTTGCCACTATTATATATATATATAGTGTATGCTCAACTCTTTTAAATAAATAAAAAAGCTTTTGAAAAAAAATCCAGAAATGCGCCTTAATTTTTCGAACTGTGTGCCTTACAAATGTGCTTTACTGTATTTTGGACATATTTGTATACTAATCATTCGTAGTCGAGAATTAGAAATGTCGTGCTCATTATTCTACAAAGCTCATTTGTGGTATACGTATAACACAATTACTTATTATATTGAGCGTATTTATCTGTAGAATACGCGCATAGTAGATTGATGTCTATACATTCATCAAAGAAAAATGTATGTATTTTGTAACATTTTCTTTAAATTGTCTATATAAACTATATCTTTTCCCAATAATTTTTTAATAAATAGAAACTATTTTTTTCCTTTTTTAGACTCGACTTTTTAAATGTGAAAAGATAATGTGGGACAGGTAAAGCCTTTTTAAAGACTATATATTAAGATTCTGTAAACTTTGTGTTGTGGTCTAACTTTAACAAATTTGTCTTACATATCTAAAAGGATAAAATAGGATAATAAAAATATCAGCTGTATTGTATGTGAAAATTGAATATTTACTACAGAGTGAATATCATGGCGGAGAACAAGGATAATTATATGAGTGAGTGAGTGAGTGGATTGAGTGAGTGGGTGAATTGTGTGTGATGGAATGAGCAGAGTGCTGAAAGAAAATGGTGCTCAGAAAATAAAGAGATTTAGCTACAAAAGGATTCTGCCAAGCAAAAGGAGGAGAAAGAGGAAGAGGAAAAGGTACTGGAAATATTAAGAAAAGAAGTATGGGAAAAAAGGAAAACGGAAGCAATAAAAAAGAAAAAATATACAAAAAGAAGATACATTGAAGCCGAAAATTAAACTGGACCATGAGGTCCCATACTTCCGTTTTGTGGACTTCTCTGTACCATGGGTGACCCTTGTGGCTGTTGACCCTGTGGCAACTGCATTTGCTGCAAGTGGTTTTGAGATTGCCGAGCTTGTTGCGCTTGCTGTGCCTGTTGTGCTTGCTGTGCTTGTTGAGCCTGTTGCGCCTGTTGAGCCTGTTGAGCCTGTTGAGCCTGTTGAGCCTGTTGAGCCTGTTGAGCCTGTTGAGCCTGTTGAGCCTGTTGAGCCTGTTGAGCCTGTTGAGCCTGTTGAGCCTGTTGAGCCTGTTGAGCCTGTTGAGCCTGTTGAGCCTGTTGAGCCTGTTGAGCCTGTTGAGCCTGTTGAGCCTGTTGAGCCTGTTGAGCCTGTTGCGCTTGTTGAGCCTGTTGCGCTTGTTGAGCCTGTTGCGCTTGTTGTATTTGTTGTTGAAGTTGAAGGGCCTGTTGTAGCTGGCTAGCTTGTTGTAGTTGGTTAGCTTGTTGTAGTTGGCTAGCTTGTTGGAATCTCTGCTGCAATTGCTGTTGTTGTTGTTGTTGTACAGCCAAAATTGCTGCCGACAAACCATTATTAGAGGCTGCTGCTGCTGCCAATTGTTGAGCAGACGGTGTATTTTGGGCAACAGCCGGGCTATTCATTGATTGAGACGTGTTTGATTGTCCATTATTACCAGATATACCCGCTTGAGAGGCAGTTTGCATTTGCAAATGTGCCAAATAGCGGTGTAGATGAATTTGTTGGCCTGCAGGTAGCTGAGGCATACCATACCCCATTTGTGCAAGTTGAGCAGCTACTGCCAAAGCGTTTACTGGATTGGAATGCATAGCGTTTTGTTGATGTGGTGATTGAGAAGCAACACCTTGTTGCTGTAAAGCAGGTGAAACCATTTGAGGATTTGGTTGTTGTTGTTGAACTTGTTGTTGAACTTGTTGTTGTTGAACTTGTTGTTGTTGTTGCTGCTGTTGCTGCTGTTGTTGCTGCTGCTGTTGTTGTTGTTGCTGCTGCTGCTGGGCTTGTTGTTGTTGCTGCTGCTGCTGTGCCTGTTGCTGGGCTTGTTGTTGAAGTTGTTGGATCTGCTGTAGTTGTGGAGATGATTGTACTTGTTGCTGTATCCCGTCTGAGTTACTTATTGGTAAGTATACGATTGGTTTTTACGGGCATTTCTATTAATACTATACAATGAGAATGTCCATTTTACCTTGAGATTGTGAACCGGGTATAACATTTGCAAATCGCTGAATCGGCGCGGATACTGGAGGGCGTACTTGTCCTTGAGCTTGGGCTGCTGCTATAATAGCAAGTTGCTGTTGTCTCAACATTTGTAGTTGTGGGCTATAACGGCTTAATGGCAGACCTGGAGCTTGTGAAGCTTGTATTTGAGGTGGTCTTTGGGCACTTGCAGAGGAGGCTGCCATGGCTCGATTAGCAGAAACTGAAGTAGCAGCAGCTGCTGCTGCTGCCGCTGCAGACGAAGGAGTATTTTGACCAGAGTTAATAACAGCCGCAGTAGGTGGTGGTCTTTGAACCGGTATCTGAGAATGATTCATAGGAACGCCACTGTGGGAAGTACGAGGAGCGACCTAGACAGAAATGCAGAAAAGATAAATATTATATCATACGGGTATTGTGGTAATAAATTACATTTGAAAGCGGGGGATTTAGTCCATAGTTTGCTGCAGAAAGCTGGCGCTGTTCCATTATAGCCTGTGTCATTTGACGATCGCGTTGAGCTTTATGCATACTCATCTCCATAGCAGTAGGCAAACGTTGTCCATTACTACTCATTCCGTGTGTATCTATGGTACTCCGTGGAGCAGCAGCGGGAGCTATGTGCGTATAAAAATGTAATATATTAGAGTTAAAAAACACAAAAAAAAACGGTGAAAATGTCTTACTAGTCGTCTTTTGGGCTTCATCTCGTTTCTTTTGGGTTTTTTTGATAGCCTCAAAGATATTATATTGCCTTTGTCGTTTTTTAGGGGCATCAAATTTTACTAGAGCCTGTCTTCTTGTAGGCAGCTCAGATCGCAAAAGTTTTGGTACATAAGCTTAAAATGGAATATCAGTTAAAAGTTTAAGTTATTGTTATTTTTCTTTTAAGCTAAATAATAACAATTACCTGCATTGACTTGCCCGGATAGTGAAGTAAGATTATTTTGTCTCCAACGCTCATAGCACTCCCAGGGTGTCCTTCTTTCACCATTTATTGGTGTACGGATTGCGTTGAGTGCATCACAAATAAGACCCCAATTGAAGGTATATTGAATAATAAGCGTAATTAAGCATATATCATCTTCCTCATTCCAGGTGCTAAATGTGCGAGATACATTAGGTGGTTGTGGTGTAGGAGGTAAGGATGCAGGTGATTCCTTGAGTTTCCTGGGGGCAAAAAGTGCTATTATTTTTATTCAAAGTTAGACTCTGAATCGTGTAAAATATCTGTTAAAACTTACGTGACAAAAGGGGAATATTATCATAACGTTCGTTTCTTGGAAGAGTCTTTATTTCAACTTCTTCGTCTTCTGAAACACCCACATACTCTCCATCGATTGTGCGCTTCCGAGTAAGACGATTCGGCTTTTGAAAGACCATCTTTTTGGTTGATAGGCGAGAGAAAGGTACTAGACGATTGTATTCAACTTCATCAAAATAAGGATCGTTGACATCCGGATCTGGTGGCTCATACAAAGCGAGATCTTTAAACAAGGGTTCAATGTCTAAAGAATGGAAATCTTGGATAGGCAAGCTAAAAACAGTCGAGAACATATCAAGACTACAAATAGCATCTCGATAGAATTGGATAAGATTAGATGACATAGACAACTCCATGTGTGAGAGCTCAGGAACTTGTTGCGCTTGCTCGTTGATTTCGGACTTATGAGCCGAATCAATTGTATTGGATTCTGCATAATGGTTCCCGAGAATTGCATCTGTTGATTGATTGAAGTCATGCTGCATAGCTGGAGATTTAACAGAAAAAGCGCCTGATTCGACAAACATGTTGTTGTTGTCCATGTGTGTATCAAACATAGATGTTTGCTCCAAGGTGTGGGGTTCTAATTCGTACATTTGTTCGTTGAGAGGAGTTTCAGGATACTCAATCGGTTCAGGAATATATGTCTATAGATAATCCAAAGGGTAAATAAATAGTATTCCGGTTGAAAGGCTCTTGCTTTGTTTTCATCCCACCTTTATACAAATGCTTGATTTGTCTGTTGTGTTATGCCACTCCATGATTGCTTTAGATACCATATAGGCGCTTGCGACCTTCCATTTTCTTTCTTCTCTAAAATCAGTTCGCATCCATTTCTATTCCCAGTATTATTAGAGGCATATGAATAGCATATAACTTAATGTAAACTAACCATTTCATCCAAAAGAGAGTCCCAGTGGGTCTTTGTACGGGGTACTGCCTTGTGGCGCTTCAATTGTCTAAAACTCCATAAATTTTTCTTTTTGAGGTTCTCGATGTTTTGGATCGTTTTTATTGATTTGAGTTCATCTCTGGCCAACTACAAAACATTTTTTATTAGATTATTTGCTTCCGTAATATTCCCTTACATACCATCCAATCATGTGTGGTCAAAATTTTACGTGCAGTCTGAAGGGGTTTGTAAAGAGGTTGAGCATTAGCTCGCAGTTGCCATGCATACAAATCAAATCCTTCGGGTTTTTCGCGTCTCTTGTCAACAAATTTGTGTCCGTTGTAGGTCTGGATAGGATATTCGCTGCCTGGGCGTATAAATGGAGTTGTTGTTCTTTGAGGAGGTTGTCTAGGTCGAGGGCGGGTATTCAGTATATTATGTTGTACGCCAGTAGATGATTTGTTTCTCTGTATAGGTATAGTATCAGCATATTTGTGCTTATTATGCCGCATGAGTTTTTTGTCCGAGTTTTTTTTTTTTAAAAAAAAAGAGTGATAAACTTACATCTAGCCCTGCCAAGATTTCTTCTACACTTCGGTGTCTAATCGCACCACTCACACCACGCGTCACCATACGCGCAGGGGGTGGAGGTATGCGACGAACAAGTCGCTTGGGATCGTTAGTGCGGTCTTCTTGTTTGTGGAGTTCGGCAGAAAGGCCGGATAGAGATATTTGATCCAAAGGGAGCTCTTCTCGTTTAATGGCTGCCATGTTTTCGCTTAAAGATAAAGGTATACGTGTGTGTAAGTGAGATTGATGTAATCACACAAAGCTAATATATATTACCTCAATTGATGTTTTTCCAAAAACGCCTGCCATTTGTCTGTATCTAGCTTTGTGATATCCCCATGCTCTAGAAATTCCATGACATGATCATCACCGTCTGCTTTACCCATCAGCATAAAGAGTTCTTTAAGTAGTGCTTCCCGATGGATAGCTATAAGCCTTTTTTATATGTATATATTTTATTTCATAATTTATTTTAGTTTATTTAACACTTTTAAGCAATTGTTGACTATCCCTTTTCCCTTACCTAAGTTTCTCTTTTCTTTCTTCTTCTGCTCGAATGCGTAATTCTTGAATATTAATCTATATTATTAAGATATATTTAATTTTTGAATAATAATAATAGGTATGTTGATAGTAATCATAATCAAAACTTTAATATTAATACTAGCATTAATACTAATCATAATAGTACTAGTGGTGACATTGATAATAAGGGCAATTGTAGCAGTGACAGTAACAGTAACGATAACGATAATAATAGTAATAATAGTTGATAGTGATAACAACAATAGCAATGATTATGATATTGCCAATATTGCTATTGGTATCGATATCGGTATTGATAAACTTACTAAATCGGCCGTATTATGAAATCCTTCAGGGGTTGGACTGTTTTGCCCGAGAGTCGCGTTGGTTGAGATATCAGTAGCCATAATCTACCACATACGAAATAACGGCTTTGGACTGCTGGTTTCTTTCAAATAGAGGCGGGAAACAATAGAGATCCAAGCTACTTGTGACGCGTTCCTTGACAAGGCTTTTAATAATAATAATAATAATAGTAATAGTAATATATATATATATATATATATAATACTAATATATATAAAGGGCGGCAAAAACTTCTTTCGGTTCAATAAAAATAACAACAAAAAGATCAAGCAGAGAGCTTATTTTTGGCTTATTTTCTGCTTGTCTTTTTTGTTTTATATACAAAAAGTGGGATCTATCTTTCTTGTTTTATGTACAAGAAGTGGGGGTTGTCTTTCTTGACGAGTGAGATGTAGCGCTTTCTTACTCTAATAGAAGAAATAAATGGAAGATATATAAAAAAAAAGTACATATAAAAAAGTTAAAATATGACCTCTCCGGACTTCTTTAACCAAGCCACTTCATCATGACACCATCATCATGGATAAATATCATCTGTTCATCTCAGTCTTCAAAATAAGATTCCTTTCTTTTTATCTTTACAAAACGAATTTTTGCAGCTATTTTTATATAATTCTGCAAAGGATATCGATCAAGATGATCATAGATGATGACCAAGAAAAAAAATCCAGCGAAAGCCCACAGAAAGCCATCTCTGATGACATATACTCTCTCAACTTATAGTGGTTCACTAAATAAAAATAGAGGTGTACTTACGTTCAACAGACAGCAGATGAGGTCCCTTGAGTATGTGAAGTCTATGCTTTGTAAACGAAAAAGAAGTGCGTAAACATGATGATGTCACACTTTCCGAAAATAGCCAAAAAAAACATTCTTGTGCTTTCTCTGATCCGCAGTGGTGTGTTTGTGTTTATAATAAAAAAGGGGGGTTCGAAGGAGTGCTGAAAGGTCTAATGAGGACATTGCAGTGGATGGAGAATAATAAATATGTAATATGTATTACATTAGCCATAAACGTCTATCTGCAAATAAGGCCACCCTTTTATAAGTAGCATATCTCATATGCTTAACATAGTATATTTTATGAAAAAAGTGCAAGAATACTAGGCTTGGTTTGGTTTCAATTTTGTGTGAAAGATACGATTTTCTTACAATTCCTGGGACAAATAATAATAACAACTCTTCTTGGCTTTCGATTTCTCTTATTTAGATTCAAAACTATTAACATAGAGATATATAAACAAGCTTTATATATATATATATATGTATCAGCCAGATATAAAACATAATGACATTCTTCTATCAATAAGATTATCATTGTTATTTTGTGTGGTTTTAAACATAAGAAAAAATAAAGGCACTGATCTTCAAGCGTTTAAATATTCCAAAGATGAAATATCCTCTTCACTAAAGACTACATTTTCTTAGATGGTCATTTGATTCGTTGTAGCCAAATTTTGTCCATTTTTGTAAACTGCTGTAGTATGTCTATCTGAATTACAGTTAAATTTCTTTAAGATGACCAAATCCAAAGGAATTTGTAGTTGGTATATGGGGTAATTAAAAGGGTAGCTTCAAAGGCGATGCCAGGTCTAATTTGTGAAAAGAAAAATTTACTTTCTATACCCTTTGCTTTTATGGATAAAACTCCACCCTAAACCTACCCCCAAACCCCCGGGAAAAAAAAGCTTACAAAAATTACCTGTGGTTGGTTGTACTAAAATCGGCTACTTTACTAGGGGGTGTTTCTGTGTTATCTTGCTTTCTTACTGCCTACTATCTATTTTTCTGTGTCAAATACTTTTTCTTTCTTTATTCCTCTACATATTATTTACCCCTAATATTTATAGGAGTTTCACTTATTTATGAGCTCTCATAAGATTTTATATAATAACATATGTACCCGAAGCCTTGACATACCCGCCAATAGAATATATTTACCTTTACTACAGTCACCCTTTTATCCCATGGTATAGGTTTTGAGCTTTATAAAAAACTTTATGGGCATCTAAGTATTGATATGATTGGATCGACCCCTTATGAGTCTTTGTTAAATGATTTCTAATTGTCTATGTCTACCATCTACAAATAATCAATAGGTCTATCATAACCATACATGCATAGACTATTTTGGGCGGTTTCATAAGACATAATAATTGGTTTTTGTCTTGGTGTTTATAATCAATTTTTATAAAAAATATCTGAGAAATAAAAGACTATGACTTTCATTAAGAAAAATGTATACTATTGCCATCTTATTAGTTCCAGCTTTGTTACAAGATCATATACTGATGATTCTAATATTTGGGGCATATTCAATTTTTCTTTATAGAGCTATAACTTACAAACCTCGGAAAATTGAAGATTGTATTTCAACACGAAAAATCAAGCATTATTAACTTGCATACTTTCTTTCGAATGTTTTTCTTTAATGTGCTATAAAGCTTTGGGACATTTGTCTTGAAGTTTAAAATCCTGTAGCTAACACATATAAAGATACGATTGTAAAGTAGTACTACTTTTGATAAATTAAGTTATGTTAAATACAAGCTTGATTGATAAAGCTAGTAAGAAAACAACGCGAGAACTCTTTGATGTTTAATTGGCAGTCTTCTGGAGTTAATGGAGTAGCTGTTATCAACTCTTCAAGAAATACCTGAATAATTATGATATATATTAGATTGAGGATAATCTTTTGAGAGTGAATATTTACTTACATGGTCATTGAATCCAGCAGCTAGCTTCAAAAGATTACCACAGATCCGATGGATAAAGAAAACTAAGTTATCTTCATGTGCACAGCTGGCCTGAACCTCCTTGAGACTCTTTATTGTAAAATGTATGTCGTCTTTCAATAATTTAGTAGCTTCTGGATCATCAACAGCAGTGTCGATTTTTTTTGGAAGGGACTCGATCAATTTGTAGGAATTAAGAAGGATGTCTCCTTCATTGTCTTTATCCCCATATAAGTCGAGCTTCGATAGATAACGAGAGACGAGACCATTTTCATCTACAGAGATATGAGACTCATAGTATCTTACTTTGTATATATGGCACGTTAAATAGTTTTTACTTGTATCTAATATTTTACTTACTATTAAACATATGGGCGGGAATAAGGTGATTAATAATTGTATATTTTGCCTTTGAAAATTGATTTGCCTCAAAGTAATAATCAGCCTCTGTAGCATAATCTTTGGCTAAATGTGCGCGAGTAGCCTACACATTATATTATTATTATACACCCAATGTTAGTCACCAAAGCTCTTGCCGTATACTTTAATATTATAAATATACCTTCGCTTGATATAACCATGAGCGCGGTATATATAGCTCATTAAGTATGTAACCTTCATTCTTTAATTCACGGCTGTTTAATATGGTCTTTATCAAGGCTTCACGAGAAGCCTCACTGTTAAACAGTAAGATGACAAAATCCAAATAAACAACTATCCTGTTATTAATAGCTTACTCTTTAAGAAACAAAGCCGAAAACACAGATTCTTCAGCAAGTCCAACTTCACATAACGCATTGCACCACCTCCTAGTACATTGGTAAATTTCATCCGAAGAGAACCAGTCCGACCTCAGGAGGGTCAAAAGCCATACAAAATGCAATGGCCACTCATCCACGGAAAGCGTATTCCAATCAGTCGATCTTCGTTTCTTGCGTTCTTTGGTAGCCGCCATATTGGGCATATTTGATGCCCACAAGCGCAGAACGCCTACCCATAGACAATTAGATGGTGGTAAGGCAGTCTTTTTACGACTCAGTATGTTGTGTATTCCAGGTAAATATGCCAAAGCTTCATTGTAGAGCTGAATTGCATGGTACAATGTTTGAGATGCACACGTTCCGTTCCACACATGTAAACCCAACACAAGCATCCAATCCATATCCTCTACTATCACGGTTTCTGTTACGGCACAGTAGCCTAGCTGACCACCCAAAGCACACCAAATCTTTTGATGACAGCCAGTAAGCTCTTTAAATGTCCCGCGTAGTTGCAGCTGTTTGACCTTTCCCTGCGCATTTTGTCTCACATTAAGCTTTTCGGATTCTACCAACAGTGATGCTAGGTCGTGATCTCCCAGCTCTTGGGCAATTTTGGAAGCTTGGGTTACTTTCCTGCAAGACAGCAAGATAAGAACTGCTGCCCATGGATCGCCTGAATGTTTATCTTCATATTTGGCTAATAAATGCTGTATTTGGGCTGTATCTGAACTAAACCATCGGTTGAACCGATTTGCGAGATTTTTTGAATGTGTATTCATCAAAATTTCAAGTATTTCCCAAGCTTTGTATTCTTCTTCGGACAAGTTAGGAGGCTTGTTTTGACTCCCCAAGTCATTTAAAAGAGTATCTGTGATACAATACTTGGGGTGAGCCAAAAGACCTTTTGGAATCTCCATTAACCAATGCTGTTGTACAAAGCGGATTGTCGATGCATAAATATTGATGTCCTAGAAACGAAATCCCAAACAGAGAAAGATCTTGATTAGCTAGGAGGCCTGGATTAAAGAATTGCATGTAAGTTTTAAACTAATTCAGCTTGATTACCACCGTAAAACTAGATGTTACAATTAATTTTGAATAACAATTGGGTTCATTAAACAGTATTTATTACCTAGTTTCTGTGGGTTTTCGCTTTTTCGGGATGCTTGCGACCGATTCATTATGTGATGCTTTTCTATTTATAAAGTGTAAGTATGAAGACGCGTGTTGTTTACTATTTACATTGATGACATGTTGACTAATTAAAAGAGCACATTCAGGGCCGGTTTTCCTCATTTTATTAAGTGGAACTGCTACATAGGTAACACGTGATGAGGGATTGAAGTATTAGTAGTTAGCAAATGGTATTTTGTATACCATACTGCGTTAAACTTGTTCAAGTATATTTTTATATGTATATACTCTATGTATTTCATATACATCACAAACTCGTATATATATAAATTTAAAGCACACCTATAGATATTACTGTTCAATGATGTAAAGTGATTTGCAAAAGTTCACTTTGAACTTTTATTTAATCACAATTTACTGTATTTTATTGTGATGGGATTCGACTTTATAAAGTATTATCTATGCGTAAAGCCGGAAAATAACAAAGCCCTTCCTTTTTTTAAAAGAAAAAAATACAACATTTATATTGAATGTACATGTTTTACTAAAAATTTCAGATATATAAAAATAGTACTAATTGGCTTTAAAGATCTGTCTAGGCGCCTTAAGCCCCAGTGACTATATGCCATATGAGTAGATGCTACGTTATGGTTCACCTAAGAGGTGATACTCCTAAAATCAAATACATGCACTATTATACAGAGTAAAATAAAAAGTAAGATAGGTACTGTTATTTATTGAAATTATCAAAGAAAGCTTTGCAACAGATATCATGCTTAAAGTGGTGTACAAGAATTTGTGATTCTCAAGATTATTACCATTCTCAAACACCCAATGTAACCTATTGTGAACTTCTAAGGCTATACTATAGCAAGCCTTTATTTCTTCATTATCAATCTCTTTTATGGATCGCTTTATATGTACCAATTCAAATTATTTAAAAGACTTGGCTTTGTTACAGTTTGAGCATTTTTTTATGAAATTGACATCTTACTATTGCTTTGAAGTTTTGATATATGCTTTATCAATTTCGACTTGATAGTAAGGTTCTGAAGATATTTGCCCGAGTTTTTTCTCTCTAATTGAAAGCACTGTAAGACCTAGAAAAGATGTTGTAGAGAGTTTTTGGTTAAAAGAAATACCGATAAGAAGAATACAAAATATCCAACTTGATTATCATCAAGTGCTCTCAAGATGTCATTTAGTAAGTCATTACATTTAAATAACTTGGTGAATAGTTTTATTATTATTATATTTGTATTGTGTGTGGGATGGGAGAAAATAAAGACCCTTTGTTCCGCTTGTAGAAATATGATGGGACAAAGGTGAAATATTGAAAAGGTGCCTTTGCTTTTGAACTATAATGGTAAAGAAACACAAAAACCGAAATCGAAACAACAACAACAACAACAAAAGAGGTGCTTAATCAAAATTCAACTTTAAAGAAATCCTTACAGAAATCTCCAGCCAAAGTAATCCTTTTTACCATAGTATATATCAATTGGATTCATCTTGTTTTGAAGGATAAAAAATTGGTACAAAAGTTATATATGTAAATATCGTATACTCTAATTGGATTATCCCATATAATTTTGAAAACAAAAACAAAAGGCTATGGTTTATCATTTCTACTGAATACAACTTAATCATCGATAATAATACAAATCAAGCAGACAGACAAACAAACGACACAGAATGTCTGCCGTTGCTCTTTTTCTTTTTCTTTAATACATTCCAACAGGAAAAAAAAAGTTGTACATATAATAAAGATTAACTAGATAGACTTCTTTAGCACCATTCTATGAGTTTAATTTCCGTTGCAGAATGGAGTGTGAGTGGCCGTAGAACTGATACAGCGGACATCTTGTGAAAATGGCTTTGGTAGAGGAGCGGACTGAACTGAATGGCTTATAAAAAAGACAAGAAGTACGGGGAGATATAGTTTCATAGTGCGAATGGAAAGTAAGATGAAAATGGTACTTGTATAAGATTCTTTTTTAAATCTATTTAAATGTTTATTTAAGAAAGCAAGGTGTCCCTGTGCCTCCTTTATCCCACGTTCAGCTATTCTACAAAATCATCGGAAAAAAAAAGAAAGATGTCTTGCAACCTTGCGATTTCTGTATAGTCAAAAAAGAAAGAAACGCACAAATCAAGGGGGTGGAGTTATCGAACAGCCATGCCAAAACAGACCCTTCTCCCTAACCACCATCCCTTTTCTCCTTCTTTCTTGTCCATATTTCTACACATGGCACTTTGACTTATGATCTCATGGCATTTAAACCTTACTGTGGTTGTGTACAAAGATCCCAATCGATCACTCTGACTATCTATTGTCCTCCTTTCTCTATTTGTTTGATTTGTTCTACACCCAGACCAAAACAAGCTCTTCGTAGTACAGAGTCTACCCTAACAAATGGTCCGAGTGCTCTTAGTATAATAAGCCTATGGATTCTCTATTTGATAATCTAAAGCGTGTATTATTTACAAAGTCGACCCAGGCCTAGACTTTCTGACATAGATCACATCGTTCTTCTTTTAACAATATTTCGACCTACATCAAGCCTGTAAAGGTTGTACGAGCTGATCCTCTTTTTACGACATGATAGATACTATAAATGACAAGTCTCCTATATAACGTCCATGTTTTTATTATCATCATTATGATAACCATTACTATGTCCTCGCCTGTCTATGTAACAGATATATACATGTAAAATACATTTACATATATTTCGTTATATTTCTTAATTATACGCACCAGCTACAAGGGTCTTCTTTTTTATTATTATCTTTCTTGTAAAGGTTTCATGCAAGTCAACACAGTCTTTGGACTATAACGACAAACTTAAAACTACAAAAGAGTAAAGTCTATTTATATCATTACATTACATTATTTCTATTTATCTATTTATTCCCTTGATCTTATATTGTGCGTGTAAGTTTAACTAAAATAGTTAATTGTACACTTCTTTAACAAGCTATAGTTGACTTGTATCTTATTTTAAATAAATAAAAAATGTATATCGTTTGTTCAGTATGTTTCAATAGATACAGGCCTGCTAATTGGTATACTTCGCCTTGTCGTGACTGTTAAAAAGAGTATTCTGAAAGATTACCATAATCCTGTCTTGAACTTCTTATTCTATTTGACAGATTTGGGATGGTTCAACATTGGAAGAAATCAAATTCAATAAAAAAACCATTTTGCAATGAGAATTACTTTCCTCGCATCGACTTGAATCTCCCTCAATATCACTTGGGACCCGATCTCAAAACTCATCCTTCAGCATCACCAATCAAAACTAGTAAGCCGACATATATGCAGAATCTAGCTCTCTCTCTCTCTCTTTTTTTTTTTTTTGGTTGCTGTTTTCTTTCCTTGCAAGAAATAAATTCTTACTTGTAATGTTCAAAAGATTGGATCCAAGTGACTCAAGAGAAAACTGTTATAAAGCCAACAAACTCATACGATCCGTTACGCATTGTAACTGCGCAGGAATCGAGATCCAAGGTACAATAGTACTCTTTGTGAATCTTGGTTGTTTACTGACAAAAAATTAGGCGATTCAAGCCGCTAAAATATGTGGAGATCTCTCATTTACAATTGCAGATGATATAGAAGAGCTATTGTTGGAAGATCATGTTGATGTCATTCGTGCCGACACCTACGATTCAAAAAGAGACAATGTACTCGCAGTTGCCAAACTTAATGATAAGAACATAGTGATGTTACCAATTGGAGATTCTCAGAGAGAACTTCGTAGGTATTCCCCTTATTTCCCCATATATTAATAAACTTCTTTAAACTTTAGGCGTGTGAATTTGCTAACATTTTAATTTTATATTTTAGATATATTTTCCACTGAAACAACCCAAGTTACATTGTCTGATCCAGATAATGAATCAAAAAACACATATGAGTTCCCTTCAGGAGCAATTAAATCAATTCTTGAAATGAATTTTCCTTCTTGTATCCGTCAGATCGAAATATCAAATGCTTTTAATATTAAGCAAGACAAAAAGAGATGTGAGATTATACTATATATAACTGGAGTTTAAAGGCAGATATACTTATTTATTATTCAGTAATAATTGGTGTAAGGACGGACATCAGTGTAGCTCTTGTCTTGATTGAAACCTCAAAAATAGACGAAGATAAGATTAAAGGAGAGGTACTACATGAATATTTCCCCATGCATCAAGAAGAATCCAGGAAATGTACACCGTCAAGTATCGCGTTGAGTCCTTATGACTGTTATACCTATTCATTTGTGGGAGAAAATGGCTATTTTGCGTCGTTTAATATTAAAGATGAATCAGCTGAATTGCCAACGTAAGTTAATGTATTTATATAATGGTTTGATTTTTTAGGTGATAACAATATTGTTTTCTACAGTTATCACACAATAGAATATGATCAGAACCTCAAAGAAACCAAAAAACTCAGTCAGCGATGGAGAAGATGCGGTTATGGCTGTGACCCAGAGCAATTTATCATTGCTTCTCCTCGTAGCATAATGTTACTTGATAGACAAGTAAGTGTTTTATTGTTTTGTATCTTTGACAACAACAACAACAACAACAACAACAACAACAGAGATGATAATAATAATAATCTTGGCGACTTCACAAAAAGGGTGACATGCGCAAACTCTACAAAACTTCTAGTAAATCTACCCGTTTCTATGCTTTTGGCGTCGACAAAACCCCCTATTCGTTTTTCTGTGTGGCTGTGACCCAAGAGGATGTTGTTTTATTAGATGTGCGTTATACTGGAAAAGTTATGGGACAATGGAAGCATTACATGGACGATGGTCCACCAACCCATGTGGAAATCATTACTGTAAACGGAAGAAGTAAGTAATAATACTAAATTAAGATCCTACTACTCTCTCTAACCTTCATTCTTTTTAGCACATATCTTTGCATGGGATTTTTTGTTACATCGAGTATTTACTATATCGTTTGTTTATAACGCATCAATCACACAGTAAGCTCTTGAAAATAGTATATATACATAGCTAATTATATATATATATATACGTATATGTATATTTATACCTAAATGTTCAGGTTCCCTGGAGTTTATCCACTCGCAAACAAGCTATCTCTCAACACATCTCAACCAATACACTTTTCAAAACAGGAGTTCAAACATTTTAATGGGAAAGATGTTATCCACATGGCAGGTGCAGGAACTATATTGCACAGTATACCTTGTTCCTCACTTGGATCTCGCCCATTTTGCTTTTTCTTCCGTTTGATGAAAGATGGAAGGTTGAAATACCAACTGATGCTAAAATCCACGTGGGGACATCCACCCCCTATAGTTACTGGCGTACCTTACCTTATTAACAAAGATCGACTCACAAAATACATCTCGTACCTTGTCAAAAAAGCAAAAGCTGCAGAGCGAACCAAATTCACTAAGAGTCTTAACCTTGTGTCAATGGCCAGATGTAAGAAACCTTTAGTATAGACTCTGATTTTTCTGGATTATAGAGAGAATAATGGATAAATTATGTAGGTATTCTGGAAGATTCACTCTCTACAAAGCTTAAACCACTTGAATATGAACGTAAAATTGAACCTGACAAAATTCAGGATATTTTGGAAGATAACAAAAACAACCAGCACCCATCAACACTGTAAGTATAATTATGACTACTATTCTTATTATTATTTCTCAACGCTATTAATAACGTATTGTATTACCAAAAGAAAGAAAAACTCAAATAATTATTTTAATTGTCTTTAAAGGGCCGAATTGATCGAGAGACAAGGAAGTGTACAACCAAATAAGCAACAATTCTTTGAATTATATGATTTGTTGCAAAGCCAACCTGAAGCAGAAATATGTTGGATTCCTTCGAGTAAAGATATGGGACCCGTGCCTTTGGCTGGAGGTGATTCACTAAAGGATGTTCTCGATATGGCAAACAAACACAATATTCCACCTATTATTTCTGGTGACGATTCTGCCCTTCATGCAACCCGAGTTTCTACGCGTGAAATGCTGAACACAAAGCTGGCAGAAACAATTTCTGGGAACCGAATTGTCAATGTCCCTGTGGACACAGATGTGTCAAATACAGGTCCTCGGCTTCGTTTTCTCAAGATCGGAGAACCTTTGACTAGCGTAACTAATTCTGCTAGATTATTGGCGAGTGAATGGACGCCGGGTTTGCCTAAAACTTCGCATGTTACTATACGCAACCAATATCGTCAGAATAAACCTACCGGTGTTGCTCCAAAGGATATGTTTCCTATTCCCATGCGGATCGACAAGAGGAAGCGCAGTGTTGCATTCAATGAGATACATACTGATTCTAAGCTTGAGGATATACCTACTATCGAAGTCATTACATCGGCTCCCAAAAACAAGAGGCCGATATCGATGTCTTCTACACAGCCAGTATCCACCATTACTCCCAAGACCAATGGGCCCACTACAGCACCTACAGCACCTACAATATCATCTCAGCCAGTTCCTGGTGCATTCAGTGAAAGAACTGCGGCGCCACCCAAAAAGAAAAAGAAGAAAGTCCAGGGATTCAAATAAATACACACACACACAAACACACAACCAATACATCACATTGGTTTTTATTGCATGTAAATACTTTATACATATATAAATATAAATACCGGTATTATCATTATCATTATCATTATTACTATCATTATTACTACCATTATCATTACTACTATTGTTGTTGTTATTGTTTGCTTTCTTATTATTATTATTAGTTTTTTCCTAGTATATCTTATATAACATTATGAGAATAATAATTATAATAATTACAATGTTTATAATGTTTATAATGTCAAAAGTTGGATTTCAGAATTGTAATATATGATTTGGGATCCCTGGTTAAAGATTAACGACTTGGGATAGAAAATTTTGAGTTCATGGCTTGGACTTTCAAAAAAGCATTTGTCCACTTTCCAAAAATAATTGCATACTTTCAGAGAAATTGTGATTAATCATTTTATTTGAGGAAAACAACAGCACTATATGTAAAGAATGAGCTTGTAGGTTTACTAGAAATATCAGAAAGCAATGTTTGTAGATTAAAGCGAAAACTAGACAGTGAGTCTAGAAGTTTATCGAGGTTCCCACATACTGGAAGCATTGTCAAGCAAAGAAAAATCGCCCATCGTGTAAAAATAAAATAAAATAAAATACTCAAACTAGAATATGGAAAATGTACAAAAAAAACAACAACAAAATAAGAGGGTACTTTCATTTTTTTTTATAGGTAAGTGAGCAAATGATTTTTTGAAACAGATTATATATATATATATATTGTTATAACAATACCTACGTATATGTAAAGAGTCAAATAAGTATAAAGTATATAAAGTAGAAGAAAGGTTATTAAGTCAAAATTCCAGAAAAAGAAAAACAAAGAAAGGAAATTATAAAGGCACTTTTCAATACATTTAGCATAAAAAGGTATAGAAAATATCTATTTTGTACGTGGGTGGAAATTTCTAGTTGGCTTTTGTATCAATCGCGTGCTTGATTTTGAAGACAGAGAACAGGAAGATTGGTTTAGAAAATAGATGGTGCTGTTTTTATTTTTGTACGCGTAATTAATATACCAATATAGACGAATGTGTGCAAATGAGCGTATTTCTCAAAAAGGATATAAAAAATAGAAAAAGGTAATATATTAAGAATGCCAAGGTCTAGCCCTTGAAATGATCGATGAATTGCACTTTTATTGGCTAGGATAATAGAATATTAAATATCCAGTGTTCTTACGAAACAACATGGAGAAAAGTAAAAAGAAAATAGTTTTTGTTAAATTCTATCAACTTTAGGTCAAGTTTCAATGTTTGAATATATATATATGTACATTATTTATTTATTTATTTATTTTTCTCTGTAAGTTTTCTTGTATATTAAAATATCCTATTGTGGGTTGGATATCTACAAGGAAAACAATTTAAAGGGAAATCGTTGTGCTCTTGTTTCATAGTCATTTCTGTTTTACTTTATAGTTTTAAGCTGTGGGAATAAACATCACTGAAATGAAAAAAAAATAAAAAAAATACTTTCTTGATTTACATTCATTATTGTCTATTGGTGTTTGTGAAATACAATCAAAATCGTTATCTCTGTGTACAGTTTTGTCTTATTTATTTTAACAAATTTGTTATTTACTATGCCTAAATGTATATATATATATATATGTGTGTGTGTGTACATGTATATAAAAGACCTTATTAAAATGAATATGTATATACTATATTTCAATATTGCTGGCAATTGCGCGCAAGAAATTACTTTCTGACCGAGAGGGGACAAATTTCGCCTTTTTTTGTAAGATTGAAAATGCCTTGTTATATAATACAAGTCTAGAATTGTACCAGTGAACCAGTAGGAAGGAAGGTCTTACGTCTTTTAGACGCAACCTAGAATTAGAATATGAAATATAATTAGAACAAATATAGAACAAATATAAAAAAAGAGAGAGCATGGCTTGATTGGAGAGTAACACGCTTCTATATATGGTGATATCAAACCATTTATGATGTTATAAAGATGAAAATGGAGAGGTGAACCAGGCAGTTGTCATGAACACAATGTCATTTATTTATATATTCATTTATCCTTCTATCTATCTATCTACCTATCTATATATCTATCTATCTGAATACTTACATATCTGTATGTCTATACAGATTTCTTTCTTTTTACTTAAACAAAAAAATCACTATCTTATTGTTCTGTTTTTGTATATCAATCACAGTTCTTATTACTCAAAAGTCAATTCAAATAATAAAGTAAAGACCATTTACTTTTACTGAATAAAGATACTTTCTGTAAGGATGTTCCTATGTAAGTAAATAACTTCATTCCATTTCATTACACATTTTCTATATATCTTTTCATCTTGATATTTCTTATAGACTTATCCACATTTGGGGGAGGGAGGGAGATTTCTTTTTATAAGATCAGACAAAATTGGGGTCAACACGTTTATACCCATATCTCCGAATACAAAAAAAACCTTGTTCATATATAGAATATCCATTTAAAGTCTTTGTGTTTCTTATGGATATCTTTAAGGATCCTATCAATCAAAGAAATAAAGAAAATTATAAAAGAAAGAGAAAACAAAACAACTACTTGTATTTGGGTTCGTGTTGAATTATATATATGTATAGCAATACTAAATGCAATTTGTAAATGTACTGGTTAAAAGTGTAAAAAAGAAAGGGGGGAAATCAAAATACAGAGGACAGCCATATACCATTTCCTTCCATTATATCCTATCCTACCATAGAATAAGGTAAGCAAGTTGTGAAAAAGGTTAAAACGGTGTACTAAAATAATAAGTTATATATATATGTGTGTGTGTGTGTTTGTGTGCTTGTGTGTACAAAAATTTAACCTTGTTTGTAATTCGTTTGTAACAAATAAATCACCCACACACCAACAACGTTGATATCTACATCGACATACACATGCATATGCATATACACTTTGAAACATTTGTATATATATGTATATACCTTGATTTGAGCATTTCTAACTGTCTAAAGTGTATACAAAATGGCTAATATTCTTGTGTGAAACTTGTTGAATAAAGTTTCTTTTTTTTTCACAGTCAATAATTCTAATAATTATACTTATTACTTATAATAATAAACTAATAATAATGTTTTTGTCCCCACGCCATCTAAGATGGGACAAATCGATTATAGTACTACACTTGAGGCACCTTCTTTCTACCAATCGGCTGCCCTTTGTTTTATTTTAAAAATAAAATACAGCATATATAAAAATTGTGTATATAGGGATTATAGAGTCTGTGTGTTGCACGCTATCATTTGCGTACAAACGATTAGTGTGATACAAGCCTTGAATGTTGAATTACCGTAAAACTGGTAATTTCTGGCATATTTTCAACATGTACTAAACAAGATACTTTTTTGTGTATTATTATTATTATTTTTGTTAATTCTTTTTAGTGAGTTGTAACTAGGTAACTAATAACAATTATTACCCTAATAAAAATAAGAATAATAAAAAAATGATAACGGCAATTATTATTATTATGATAAAAATTATCAGAAACTTCTGATTATTATTACTTAATATTATTTTGTTGTCATGGGATACAAGTAGAATACCCTGATTCTCGGTCCCTTAAAAAAAGTATGTATAAAAAAATCACTATGGAAATAAAGATTAAACTATTGTGCCAAGGAGAATAAGCTACTAACCAAGGTACCACATGGCTTACATTAATAAAATGAATCGATAATACACAAATGAGCCATTCAATCATATGGATTTGTTCTCCATGTGCTGTGCTGTTATGTACTTTGTGTGCTTGTGCTTGTACTTGTTAACAATAATAAAGGATTATACAATAATGGACACCCCGCCTTGAGTTACAGTATATGTATATTGCAATAATGAGAACATCTCGATTATTAATCAACGTTCAACAGGAAATTTATTATTATTATTATTATTACAATAAGCTTAGAGAGAGAGAGAGCAAGAAAGCTAATAAACAAGCAAGCAATAGAAAGCCTATTAAGCACCTCAAGCTTGCAGTCGTAACACCCGACCTTAACACAAAGTCCCAAGGCAGGAAAGGCTCGACCAATGTCCGGGTCAGTTTATGTATCCAGATTTGTTAAGTGGTCCTGGGCTGTTGGTTATTCGTACTACATAACCAACCTAAAAAATCAGTGGCATCGAGAATGTCAATAAGCTCCTAAGCCTCACCACTTAATTGTTATCTAAAAAGCCAAAGAAAAAGGTGATTCATTTCCAATCCAGACCCTTTTTTTTTACGTTGATATATACAACAATTTTCACAAATATTAACCCTTTATTACTTAATAAAATAGTATCATAACAACCATACAGTCTATTGTTCAAAGAACTTTCTGTTTTTCTTTTTTTTTTTTTTGGTATTTTTTTGATTTTTGATTTTTGAATTTCTTTTGTTAATCTATTTTTAGGCTGGACGTTTCAGAACGCGGTATTTCAAATATTAATAAAAAATAATAATAATAAAAAAAGCTTTTGTGTGTGTGTGTGTGTGTTTGTGTGTGTATGTGTATGTGTAATAATTGATTGTTTTGGGCTTGTGCGGAGTGTATATTGCTATGGGAACTCTTGATGTTAGTTTTTTTTTCTTTCCTTCTTTTTGGCTTTTTTTTTTTAGTTCCTTAATTTGGTTTTGTATATTTGTTTATTGAGGGTATTTTAGCTTGTATAAATCATAGAGAGAAAGGAAACATAAAAGACCCACCAGGGATCTTGTCTCAATAGATTATTCTTTATCTAGTTGAGAATATTATTAACACGCATAAGAGATGGATTGAGCAAAAGGGGATCATTTGACTCCAAATCTAGTTTGTGTTCATGTAAACGCATAGAGGACAGCAATGGTGTCTGGATAGCGACGGGAGATTCGGGTGATACGTCACGCAAGGAATATGTTTTTGTACTGTCAGACGTGACACTACCTTCATTCTGTTGGAAGGATGGTGTGGATAGAGCCGACAAGGGTTGGCTGAGACGAGCAAGAAAAACAGCTGTAGAAGCCCTTTCTTGATCTAAAAGTTCAGAATAAGCGGACGACCGGGTAGTTTCCATTGCACTGTGATAAAGTGGTGACACAAGCCCTTGAAAGTCAAAATCGTCCATGGGCTGCTGTACGTTGTGAATAGACCAAACTGTATTGAGCATTCCACTATCTAGAATCTGTCGTCCAAATGTCGTCTTACTCAGTTGGTCCATGTCTACGGCCCAAAAACCGCCCTTGCTACCCTTTCCTCGAATCAATGGATCCTGGGCAAGTCTTGGAACCTTACGAAAACAGCGGTTCAAGGACAAATTGTGGCGGATTGTGTTCTGTACCATTAAATTAGTAAACACCAAAATAGAACATCTCGTAATGGATATCATTACCTGCCAGCCGGTTTCATTGGCTTCATACAGATGTGGATATTTTGCCTGGATCCAGTCATAAATATCTCGTAGTGACAACTTTTGGTTCCGAGAAGTCAGGATTGCCTGTGCAATTAGAGAGGCATACGAGTGTGGAGGTCGTCTTCTCTTGCGAGATGGCGTCTTTCGTTGAGATACATCCTGTGTAGACTGAATTTGATCTACTTTCTTTTCCTTTTGTTGTTCTTGGTATAATTGCTGTTGGATCTGGACATGTTGCATATGCTGGTACTGTATCTGTTGCACTTCACGTTCTTGGAGGTCGTTGGTTGGGAAATAGGGACTGTGCTGCCCATACAGCATAGTCTGTTGTGAATGCAAATGGTAATTTGTTTGTGCTTGGGTAGTAACTTGCACAGGCCGATAGTTCTGGTGAGGAATCTGTGACACTGTGTCTATCAATGGCTGCTGATATCCTGAGAGAGGATCGTCAGATCTCCAAGAAGCCATCATTCTAGTAGGATAGATTGGATGGCTAACATTGGTTGTTCGTTGATCACTCATAGGAACACGGAGGGTTTGATCCTGTAGGTCGACTTCTCCATTACGGAGATATCGTACCCCGGGTAAATGAACAGTAGTTGCCATAAGATCAGGGCTTGTGAAAAAGTAAGAGAAAGAATGAAGACGAGCATTTTCCCATTGCGTTACGGGTTTATATACAAGCTTGTACCAAGTCTTTTTCGAAACGGAAATATAAACGACTCCACTGACAGTTGCATTTCAATCACGCTTGTTCATGCCCAAGGAAATTAAAGGTCTTTGGTTGATTGTCCAACATATACATAAGTCTCTACTGCTCTTATCAAACCAGACCACCCCCAAAATAATAAAAATAATAATAAAATAATAATAATACTATGATTGTGATTATTATTAGTATTATACTGTACTGTACTGTACTGTACTGTACTGTATTATACTATAATAGAAATATAAAAATATATATACACAATACAAATATTGTGGATTTAATGTGTATAATTCAGACACCATATATATATCTTTCTGCTTTATTTTTCTATTTACGACTGATTTACTGACTGACAGACAGGCAGACAAAAGGAGCTGTGGGAGAGTGGGCTGTATTTTGGTGTGAGGCAGCCAATCGAATACATACTTGCTTTACTCCAAAACATATATCCTCAGAATATGACATCATTAATAGCTGTAAAGCGGTGAACGTCTTGGACGAAAAGGTAAATACACGTACAAGTATATATATATATATATATATATGTATACTATTATATTATATATTATTATTATTATTATATAAATATATATTTAATTACATATATTTAATTACAGTAAGCATTCATATTGGCTGCATTGATGGTGTTCCTGTTGATCCAGCAAGTTACACCTAAAGCGGTCTTTTTGTTATCCAAAATTTTCTATATAAATCTTGTTCGCATTAGAATTTCTTTCACTTATCTTTTTAATTCATTAACAAAAGCTTCACTAATTAACTCTTATTCAAAATGATCAACTGTACGAGTAAAAATTATCCTTGTAATTTAGATTACAACTTATTAATTCTTGTGGTGTGTCTTTTTTTGTTTTTTAGATAATCATCCTACTACTTTCCAAGCACCTACTATTGGGGAACAATCCGATATACTCGATACTTCATTCTGGAATATTAACGGCCACCATCCCCTTGGACCAAATGGAAACACATTTGACTATCTCAAGCAAGACTTCCACCAAGGTCACCACCACATCCAGACCCAAATGCATCCCACTAGTCCCACAGACCAGATGTTTAACTTGGTTGGCAGTATCCCATCAATTCCCAGCTCTCTTTCGGCCAGTCCTACCACCAGTGTCCATGCCAATGTCTCGGGCTTTGCCTCTCTCGATCAATCCCAGAACGATATTCTGGAAGGCTATTCTGACGTCTCTGGAAGTGAAGGCAGCTCTGAGCCTGACAACAGAGCAAGCAAGAAACGTAAGAACTCCGACGATTCTATGCCTACCGAAGTGCGCAAGAAATTTCTCGAGCGCAACAGACAAGCAGGTAATTTTCTTTTTTTTTAAAAAAATAATAATAATAATAAACCTTATAATTCTTTATCATTTTTTCTAATCTTACTTAATGGTTCTCTCTTTTCTTTAGCTTCCAAATGTAGACAAAAGAAGAAGGCATGGATGGTTGAGCTCGAGAACGCCTATGTCGAACGCGAGAAAGAAAATAGAGAACTCTTGGCCCAGATTTCTAAACTCCGCAATCACACTCTCTACCTACGAGATCAACTTCTTGCTCACAGCAACTGTGAATGTTCTGTTGTGGTAATTACTTATTCTGCTTTTTTTTGTTTTGCACAAATGTCGTCATTTAAGCTAATTCCAAACCATCAACCATTTACAGAAGAACTACCTTCAGCGCACAGCCCAGCAGATTCTGGACAGGGCAACTGAGGAAAGTGTCATGGGTCAAGCTCATACTCAGGGCATGTCATGGCACCCTTAGACTTTTATATACTTCATTTATTCATTCATTCTTTGAGAAACACATTCTGTACAAGTTCTCAGTGTAATTAGCATCTTTCCTATTCTTATTCTTACTTTTACTTTTACTCTTACTCTTACTCTTACTCTTACTCTTACTCTTATCTTATTTTTTTTTGTTTAAAATACTATACAAATACAAGTAATCTTTTCAATATTCATAAATCTATAGCACACGTTTTTTTTTTATATTTTCTTCTCAAGACATATTTTTACTATCTACCTTTTGTTTTCCTATCTGCCTGCTCAGTCTGCCTCCCTCCCCTCATCTGCCTGCCCAGTCTTATTTACAGTCAAGTTCAAGTACAACAATTACAACATGATATGAATCCAATTGTCTCTAATACACCTAGAATAGAGTGGTTTTTTCTTTCTTTCTTTCTTTACTATCTTATTTCATTCCTATATATTCATGCCCTACAATCTATAAATTTTTCTCACCATCATAAGCACAAATTAAAGTAAAAACATATAATTTAATAAAGTTATAAGCACCAAAGCATAAAGGGAAAAAAATAAGCTGACAGTAATGGGGTACACCCTGGGCACTAGTTTCGATTTTGCCCCCCGTGTAACAATAAGAGAAACAAGATAGCAAATAGACATCGTTTTTTGTGCAAAAAAAAGAAGCCAAAGTTTACTCTGGTAAAGTCACACACCACAAAAAAAAATTAAATACATTGACCACTCCATTCAAAGCATATTCCATTATTGGGGGGCTACTAGCTAAAATGGTGATTAAATCAACATATATCAGATGAAGAATAGCTGGCAAAAGCAAAGTAAGTCTTGGATAGTGCTTTAGATAACCTAACCTTATGAATTAACTTACCTACTGATTACACTTATTTCTGGCCAATAAGAATAGTAATAATAATACATTTAGTTCCAACAACCAGGGTGGTTGGTATATGGACAACCTATAAGAAATGCTCAGTACGAACATTTAGTAAACTCGCTTGAAACACCCTTACAAACTCCATTTGATTCCGATTTAATTTTTTCTTTCTTATTTCTTTTTTTACCATTTCCCAATTACAGTCACCACATCTTTAAAATGCAAAAAAAAACAAGCAATCATGAAGTAATATGTGCTATATGAGGACATATGATCGAGTCGGAATTTGTGGTCTGACTTGGTTTGACAGTAAGCTAGGAGAAGCGCGTTGGACTATTGCATTGAAGACCTAGATAAATAGATAGATAGATGGTCGTATCTAACTATCTAACTATCTAGTAAGCTCAATTATACATGCTATTAAAGATATATAAAAGTTTGTTAGTAATTGGAGGAACATAGACACGGTCATGTGATTTCACACACCAACATGTAAAACTATTTAGTTACTTTTTGTTTTGTTTAGCTTTTCTCCTTCTTCTCCCCAGTTCGATAACAAGGTACAGAGCAATGGAAGTAGTATACAGTGACGACTGCCTTTTGCACAGCCCTCCCAAAGAATTAACACGAGGTGAATGGAAGACGTATACCGGTAAGTCAAAATTGTGATCTTTGTACGCATGTGAGAGAGAGAGAGAGAGAGAGAGAGAGAGAGAGTGCGTGTGTGTGTGTGTGTGTGTTCGTAACAATTCGCTCAACACGTCTTAATCTAGAATCCCCGTCTCGTCTTGTTTCCATTAAACAGTTCATTGATAAGAATACTGAGTTCAAAGTCGTCTCTCCAGATGACTACACACTCGCACCAATTCTGGCTGTCCACAAACGGGAGTATGTCGATTTTTTGTCGACAATTTACAAAGACTGGGTCGATGCTGGTCTTCCTAAAGACACAGTTGTGAGCGAGATATTCGGACATTGTTCTATGGTTGGACATCTTGAACCCGAGGAATGGAAGAAGAAGGCATTAGAGACACCTAGTGGCCGTATTGGACTATATTCTTTTGATCTCTCGGTATCCTTTGACAAGGGTTTGTGTTTCATTCTCTCACATGGTGGTCCGTGTGTGTGTGTGTATGGGTTTTTAATCAGTCAGACTTTATCTGTGCTGGGATATTATTTTAGATACTTGGCTGTCAACTTACACCTCCGCTCAAATCGTTCTCTCTGCTGCCCACCGTCTTCTTCAACAGTCCCAAACCGCCAAGACTAGTTCAATTTATGCTCTCTGCCGCCCCCCTGGACATCATGCTGCTCATGATGTAGCTGGAGGTAATAAAACCTAAATCATTTATTAGATTTATTATAATATTCCTAATATGTACTTTGGGTATCTCTTTTTTTTTGTAAAAAAAAGGGTATTGTTTTATCAATAATGTTGCTGTGGCTGCTAAATTCCTGCAGGACTATGAAGTTAGGGAAATGGAAGCACTTGCGAGATTATCAAAAGTAAAGAAAGAACAAACTTTGCCAAAGCCAGCTGTTTTGAATAAGAACAATAAGAGGAGAATTTTGATTGTAGATGTTGATTATCACCAGTAAGTTTTTTTTTCTGTTGTTTTCTATGTGTTTGTAAAAAACAAAATAAAACAAAATAAATTTATTGAACGTTGTGTTTGTTCTAGTGGTAATGGAACGCAGGCAATTTTTTATGATGATCCTTCCGTGTTCTATATTTCTCTGCACGGAAGCCCCGATTACCCTTACTTTACAGGAAGTGGGACAGAAACTGGCAGTGGAGACGGAGCTGGTTACAATTTGAATATTCCACTTGATCCAATAACTACTACAGATGCTATATACTTGGACCATCTTGAAAAGGCCCTGAACAAGCCAGAGATAGTTGAATTTAAGGCTGATATCGTTATATGTTCTTTGGGGCTGGACACCTGGCATGAGGACCCGGTTGGTGGGATAAAGGGACTTGTGGACCCATTGACGTACACGAAAATTGGAAAACTCCTCAAGACAAGTGCGTCTTGTGCTAATATACCTGTCCTATTTGTTCAGGAAGGTGGTTATACAATCGAAAGGCTCGGAGAATTGGCCGGAAAAGTACTTTTGGGTTATCTGTCTACAGAAAACACTACTTAGACGACTTTGATTTTTAAATTATTTTTTCCGAATCACATTGTATTGTATTATAGAATGTAGATTTATTTATTCCCATGGTAACCATTACATACACATAAACATACACAGCCTGACTGTTTAGTTGCCTAGTGATATATTTATCAATCAATCAATCAATCAATCAAGAAGCTTGACTTTTTTTCTATCAGAGTATCCCGTGACTTGACTTCTTGGCAGTTTATTAGTGTTGGGTTGTAAATATGGAATAAAGCCTAAAGAGGGAACATTTCAGAATGAAGGGATGATAAGGAGAAAGTGTACACAGACAGGGCTTGGGTCTTCTTACTTTTTTTTTAAAAAAAAAAGTCTAGGCATATTAATAGATTTAAAGAAGGTTGTGATTGAATTGATTTTCAATTATAGAAATATTATGATTCTTTGGTAATGGCACCATTTGGCTTTGTGGGGGATGGAGACCAGGACTAAGGGTGTTGTAACAGTGTAACATTTACCACGAGGAACTCAAAACCAATACAGAGGTAAAATCATGACGAACGTTATGGTTACAGATATTCCTTAACAAGGCAAGCACTCAAAAACGTCAAAAAAAAACAGATGGACTACAGAGTACTAAATCATAACAAACAGAACATAAAATATTATCCCCCTCCCCCCCATTCCTATTTTACTTTTCACTTTGTTAAATTTGAAGAATGTTAATGTTAATATTAATATTTCTATTAATTTCTATTTCTATTTCTATTTTTATATATAATCTTAAAAATAGGTAAAGTAAAATTTCATAATACATTCCTCATTATTTAAAAATAACAAGATAATTTACAACAACACACAATATTTTAATACAGAATTGAATTATAGATACGAATGGCTAAACACTGTGCCAGCCGAAAATCATAGAATTACACCAATATCAGTCGTAATTCACCGGCACTCACACTAAATTTCATCTTATTCCTTTATTTAATCAAAGGGATCAAAGCACATGAAAAAATGGACCAGAGCTTTATTAGTATTTTGTTGTACTTGTTACAATTGTTGCTTTTGATTCTGCTGATAATAATAGTAATAATAATAGTAATAGTAATAATGATGATGATGTTCTTTTTTTTTTACTCGGCAGAAAAAGAAAAATAAAGCATCAAATTGTGGCACCTCGAAAAATAAAAAATAAAATCTATCCACATTATCAATACGTTTTTGTACTTATTATCCAAAATCAGCTACACCCAAAAAAAATGATGATATAAAAATCAATTGGTTCAACTGTATAATATAAGTATAGCTGTCTATATATATATATATACATATATTTGATCTATTTCTGTAAATCTTGTAAAAAAGAAAAAGAAAAGGGAATTTTGTCAGGCGAGTGACCCACCCCTTCCTCTTCTTACCCAAAAGATACACTGTGTTATTTCTCAACTAGGACATCATCGTCATCACTCAACTGTGTTTGGCAGTCTGTCTCACATTACACGCCGTAATACTTATAATCATCATCCCACTCATATTTGCAATATATACAGACACATGTATATTAAATATATAAAATAATTTATAGTTAATAAAGTTAAAAGAAAAGGTTTGGCTAGGGTTAGACAGGTGCAAAGATCAAAACTAAAAGCAGGTCAACATTCGGTTTTCATTATTTTAATATAATGGGCAAAATAGCCAAAAGAGAAATTCGTGTCTTTTCAATAATAATAATAGTTCTATTTTTTTTAACCATATTTGTAATATCCATGCTTTTTTACAATAATGATACAAAAAATATTGAAACACTTTTGAATATAATCGATAAAAATAAATAAATGAGCAAATAAGCAAATAAGAGTAAATGAAATAGGCTTAGACCCACTACAAATTCTCTTCCCTCTTCCAATAGTAATACTAAGTCCAACCAACTTTCACTGTACAGCCATTATAGAACTTGGTCTTTAGTCCAAAGATTGAGAGAAAAAAAGTTTGGTGCTAATTATTTAAGTTCCATAGCTTACCCCTAAGTACGGGGCGTCTTGCTGATATACAAGACATATCCTCATTGAATCGTCGAGGCTATTGTTTTCGCATAAAGTAACACTGATGCTGGTATGAAGTAATCCAATCTTTAATAAAACCAAGACAACTTGCCTGGTAATGTGATCTATATCAAACCGAGAATTACAAGATTCGCAGTTGAGAACTAGATGTACTTCTTATATGAGATCTGGGGCATATTTGACTTGCAAGATACTCATTGATCATAACAACACACATTTCTATATGGGCTCGGTTGCGTCTAGTCAATCTGATGTAATTTAACAAAGCCGATCTTCAAGAGATAGCGTAGTGTTTTTGGTTTGAAGTTGGCTCCTATATGATTTTCAAGTATTGTGGAATACTGAATGTCGAAAGATTATTATTATTTGTCGAATGCTTCACTGTAATCTTCTTAGACATATATACTAAAGCACTAGAGGATGCACTAGATTTACTTGGAATAAGTCTAACAGTCTTTTCAAATTCTTGTGTATCCCTATGGTTTACAGTAAAAGTATCCAGTAATTTTTTTATTGACATGCCTGTAGATTGAGTACAAGTTTGTACAGGAACAACAAGTGGAGGTTCTGTACGAGCAGTACGAAGTCGAAAAGTAATATGCTCTTGAAAAGCAGCATCGTCTACAGAAGTAGTGATAACAGTAGAAGGACGGTGAGAGGAATTGGACGTACATACACTTTTCCTTTCCTTTCCTTTAACTTAGGCTGGCCAGAATATTTGATCCCAAAAGGTTCTGAAAGGTGTATATTACGTATATGATATACTGCTAAAAATTAATCCAAATGTCTTACTAGGCTTTCTTTGCAATAAATCACGATTAATTACAATGAATAATAATGAAATCAATACCAAAGTTTAAAGCACTCGGTCAGCAAGACAGATTATACAGATGTTTATTGTAAGACAATAAACATTTTACAGTGCCTCCAGCCTCAAGTTTCTTTCGTATCAAGTCCATTGTTCGCTTTTGCTATTATCAAAGTTTACTTTTTGCATAACTCAACTTTTGTGTTTAATCTCAAAGGTTTATTAAATTGAATTTTCATTGAGGCGTTTTTGAAGTTTTTTTTTAATAGAGTGTTGTGAAAAACTGTGAAGAGCCTTTTTGCTAACATTTTTATTAGCTGCGGTAATTCAGTAATCCGAGTTTTCAAGTATGAGCATAAAAACGAACTTTGGTAATAGAAAAAGCGAAAAATGGACTTTATACAAAAGAAAATTGGTCGGAAAACAAAGCGAAATCAGTTCATTGAAAAAAGAAGTTTGAGAGTAAAGGCACTGTAGTATTTCGTTGTGTCGCTTTTGGAAACAACAGCAAATTGGCAGCATCTTCCCATATTTCATAACATACAATCATTAAGTTCAACATCAAGCTTTTCCAATTCTTCTTGCGGGACTTCCTTCTACTAAACAGCAATATTAACGCAGTTCTGATATCAAATTTAGTTTCAAAAGTATCTCAAATATGGTCTATGGGGTTCAGACCAGAGCTTTGAGCGGGTTAGTACTCAAGACCCCTGATATCGTGCGTCTCTTTCCACCATCAAGTATAACCACCTGTATGACATGAGGCATCATCTTCCTGAAAGATGTAGTCTATCTTCTGACCCCTGTGAACCCCTGTGAACCCCTGTGAGCGAAGGATGAAGCGTTCGTACCAGAATTGTAACCTATCCGACCAAACAAAGCTTTTCTATTACTCATCAGTCCAATTGGTATGGCCTTTCGCCCATATAAGCCTTGATGTACGCTGTTTTTGGTTTAACTTTGGCGTATTGGCTATCTTGTAAAAATTAGAGTCAAATTTGTCAACATAAGAGAACAACTTTATCCTACAGACAGATACACCTAATACCACCAATCCAGTGTGAGAGTTTCCGTAAGAGACAAAAGGGTCTTTATATATATATATATAATAAAACTTTCTAAATTTCTCATGGTTAGTTCATCCGCTTTTCCCACTGGATCCAAGCTTAATGAGATTAGATAAGTTGACCCTTTACCCTGTCATTCACACTCGGGCTCACATTCATCCTTATACCTATTCAATGTTCAGCTTACTATTATCTAATAAACAATAAAAAAAAACGTTCAGCTTATTTCAGCCGAAGATTGACCTTAGACCCAGCCCCAAAAGGAAATATTTTAAATTTATAGTACACAAAATACTGAGAGGGTAGTGTTTAAGCCTCGTATCCGATGATGAAGATTTATAGTCAACGGTCAATCTTCGGACTGAGGATAAGTTCTCTATTAAATTCTGGTGTGACTTTTATGATGGCAAAAAAGGTGTCCTAATGTGATGATTAATACATAATCGCATTCCACTCAATCTATTTATGATCATCACTCTACTTGTATTGTTGCTAAATGCAGCAGTGCAGGTAATAAACTGCGCACCTACTGGCCAAGAAAACAACCGGACCATACGGAATTACTACATTACTGCAGAGGAGATCGTTTGGAACTATGCTCCTATGGGATGGGATAATTTACGGGACCAGCCTTTGGAAAACACTCCAGCAAAGCTCTACACCGTCAGGACGCCTACAAGAATAGGCGCAGTCTATCATAAAGCAATATATCGTCAATACACCTCCTCGGCATTCAAGGTACCAATAGCACACGACCCTGGACTGGGTACTCTGGGTCCAATCATTCGAGCCCAAGCTGGGGACCAGGTGCGCATCCTCTTTTACAATAAAGCTTCCAAACCTCACAGTCTTCATCCTCACACAAGCAAAAAAACCGATTCCCTACCAGGAAAATCAGTCGAGCCTGGCCTAATGTACCAATACATTTGGAATATTCCATCCAATGTCAATTTCCCTGTCAACCAGTCCTCGGTCGCCTGGACTTATGCCTCCAAGTCAAATACGGTCGGGGATCTCAATGCAGGGCTTTTAGGTCCAATCGTCATCTACAAACCAGGTACTCTAGTAAAACCGTCACCCGGGAGCACATTTGAAAGGCCCCAGGGGATTGACCAAGAGATCTTTACCATTATGATGACAACCGACGAAGGCCTGTCGACTTATTTTTCGGAATCTGTCGAGGAAGCCGGGATAAGTCTAGACACATTGGAAACTTTGAGAACCGATCCTCTTTTTGAAGAATCAAATCGGATGTATCACATAAACAGCTATGTGTTCAATAACAATGCTGATCTCAGAGTATTTTATGGAAAACCTGTGAGGTGGTATGTAATTGCATTTGAACTCGAGGATGAAGATGTCCACACAGCACATTGGCATGGGTCTACTCTTCTCTATCATGGGCATCGTGTAGATGTGGTTGACCTCATGTCTGTCAGCTTCGAGGTTCTTGACATGATACCTGACAATGAAGGCCAATGGTTATTCCATTGTCATGTCGGGCAGCATTTTGAGGCTGGAATGACATCCTTTTATGAGGTCGAAAAAGAAGAATATACAGGAGATGAAGGATGGGGAAAATGATGATATATTTATATATATTTTTAAAAAATTGTGTCTATAAAAGAAGAGCATGATAATGGGTATAGTAATTTTTTCTTATTCGTCGTTGTCTTTTTCGATTACATGATTATTTCTCTTCCTTCTTTCTCTTTCGTTCTCTTCTTCTATTTCTCTAAAGTGTTAATTCTGTACATGTTTTGTAATAAATATACATTTTCCGTCTCCTATTTATCTAAAGAGAATACTCAGAGGATGTTATAAAGTAAATCCAATCAGTTTCTTTGAGAATAAGCGAAGGCACCGGATTTGTGTAGACAAAAGGCAGCTCGTTTCCCATTTCTTCGTTTGGTGCACGAAGCAATCCCAGAGGAAGCAAATCATAATCCAGAACAAACGTCTCGAATAGAAAAGCAAATGGCTTGTCAACAAAGCAGGCCGGCATCTTTACGCTTGTCACGTAGTGTCCATCCATAGTTGTATCAGATGAAAATGTAGAGTTATTTACGTGGGGTGATCCAGGCATACCACAAAGCGTCTTGATAATCGAAACAATATCAGGCTTATAATATGTTTGACTCAGAAGCACGTTACTCAACAGACTATCGACAACCACATCTCCAGCTGCATATGCTGGCGTGTAAAACACGTCAATTTCTTCTGCGACGTCCTTTCCTTCTAATAGATGCATAAACCTAATGTTGGATCTCTCAACTAAAATTAAAAAAGCTAAGTGTTGGTTTGGCTTGGCTTTCATAAAACATTTCACCTTACCAAGATTCACAATCCTGTAAGATCCTTCTGCTGGTTCTTGAAGTAGTAGATCCATAATATGGCTAGTCATTCTATTTAATGTACATATATATATATATATATATATATATATATATATATTATTAACTTTTTTTTTAATACAGAAAAATAAATAAATTATAAGCTTACACTGCAGGACTATCAGAGTTTTTTTCATATTGATCCAGATTTTCTTTTTCACTAGTAATAAAAGGTTATTGAAGTTGGGGGTTTTTTTAGTACTTTTATTTCATGCCTGTTGTGTTCTATAGACACTCCTTTACCTCATAACTACCACCTGCTTTGCCCTCTTCACGCCTGCCCTCAAAAGGTCATCAGGGTGTCTACAGTTACCCTAGATAATACGTATTAGTGCGCCTCTTGGAAAACCAAAAAAAAAGTAAGTGCGTGCAACCTACCACCATAAAGAATACTCTCGGGAATTGTTTGATGAGATCGAACGTCTTTTTGTTCGGAAGTGTGGCACACAGCAGAATTATATCTTGAAGTTCATTTGGTCTCATGTAAGGTGATCTAAAATACATACATTAATATATATATATGTATATATATCATATCTACAAACGTTATTTATTTGTACTATCATTCTTGCCTTACCTCAGATTATAAATAAATTTGAATATATTTATCACACGCCTGTGAAGACAGACAAGTATGTGTCCGTCCATTCCGTCAGCCGACTTAATAACCAAGTCATCTAAGGTAGCCGGTTCTTCCAACAAGTAACAGAGAGGTAACGAATTGTCCTCAACCAATTGTTCATCCGATATCGTATTTGTTGTTCCTAGCCGGGACACGAGGGCTCGGTTTCCGGTCAGTAGGGCATGTTTTGAAGAAGGAAGGCGAGATATACAGAAATTTTGTTGAACAGGGTGAGATGTACTGGAAACTCTAGAATGATGGGAAACCATAGTTTCTGTGGATGATGAATGCTTCAGTTTCTTGTTGAGTGTTTTGTTTGGATTGAGTAAGGACTTGAATGCCGGAGGTTTATTTGCCGAACGTCTGTTGCGCATGGCTTTAACAGCCTTCCAAGCATAGACAGTAGTCTATCACACCAAAAAAAAAAGTAAGAGATAGGTGGATGAGAACCATAATATATATCATTATACTAAAGCCATTTTTTTTCTGGTTTACCATCTTTCTTATATCATTGATTTCATGTGCGCTTTCTGCCATATAGACACATAGGTCCTGGGCTCTTATCGTATATTTTTCACCTGGATTCAACATAATATGATCGTCTTGATCTTCAGTGGCAAGCTTGATGGCAAACAAAATCACTTGGAACTCTTTAAAGAGGATCTGATGGCAGCATCAAAAGAAGAAGAAGAAAAGTTAAAATAATAATGCGAATAAATAAATTTGCTATTTTTTTTATCTTACCCATGCAGCGTCTCCAAAGGTAAGACCAACTAGACAATCTTCTGGAGGAGCAACATAGATCTCGTTGCATGATCCGTCATCTGTGTAGATTATATTAAGAATGGATATCAAAAGATGGTAAAGACATAAAAGCAAGCTGCTCATTACCATACTGGGCTTGCCAAGGCTCATCATATTTGTTTCTAGGTTCTCTTTGGTGTAGCAGATTTGTGAGAAGAGTTGAGGCACCTCTGCATCTACAATTCATGGCAAGCAGATACTGCTTGAATTCACGGAGACAGATGATTTCTTTTGCAACCTTTTGATATATTGCTGTGCTTGGGTAAAGATTGTACGTATATATCGGTACGTTGTAAATGGTCGTGTAGCAGTACAGAGACCACAGTCTGACTGTGTTGCGTTCATCTTCTTTTGCTGGCTCAGGTGTATTATTGTCTAATGAATGATGTGTAAAGACATTGTGCAAAGTAAAAATAAGCTTAAGCGAATTACTCACCAGACATTGTGATGATGGCTTTTGCATAACGCGCTTGCTATAAGAATATATATATATATATATATTAGTCAAGAAGCTTTATTTACAGAAAAAAAAACAAAAAAAAGGTAAAAACTTACTGCTCGTTGTAATGTTTTTTCATTCTGTAAATCAAGTAATATGTTAATACATACTCCAAAATCACGTAAATCTTCTTTTCAAATAACACACAAAAAAGGAGGAGTAATTACCAAAACTGAACCATGAAGAAACTGAACTCGGTGCCCCCACATTGAATTTCTTTCCATCAGCTTTAATTCTTCTGTTGGACGATTTATGTCGAGGAACACAACATTGAGATGTGTATCAATATGCTCCTATTGAACAGAATATAAGAGTATAAGGATTTTATAGCTTTATATACGTGTTTTAATCGACAAAACATACCCTATTCAAGAATCCGTCCAAAATGTCGTTGGCCTGCTCTGGTGTAAATGTACCAACGATCAAGATAAAAGGCAATGTGCCCTTTGAAACAGAGCCGCCACCATCTTTATAAACACATATCATTAAGACCTTGCTTATATAAAAGTTATATTGTCATTATTACCTTGACGCTTCCGGAGTGTGCTAAGCGAATCTGCTAATAAGCTTGGGAGAACAGCCAAAGATATTACAATCAATAGCATCATGACAATGCGGCTTCCTTCAGTGCTTGGAGTTATATCTATATGTATGTGTTTTTTTTTCAAAATAATAATAATATAGGATTATATATTTAGGTGAGCCAGGTAATATATGTTTAATGAGTAAAGAGTACGTACCTCCATATCCGACAGTAGACAGAGTAACCATTACAACGTAACTAAAATATATCACCACATATATGTTTTTTAACAATATACACTTTTTTTGTTTGGTTTGCTAGTCAAATAAGATACTTACAGGGACTCCAGAATGGTGTAGTTGACTGTTCCAAATGTCACTTCACAATATTGAAAGGCTGACATGCCATTATAGAGAAGTACAGCAATTGTGATGATCAATTGAATCAATTTGGCTTTGAGTGCATCAACAGGTTTATCTATTATGTAACCGTGAGAAAGACAGTTTTTTTTTTATTATCCGATTGTACTCCTGTCACTTTTACCCGTCATTTGAAGATTAAGTTTGATCTTCATCCAGCTCTTGACTCGTAAAAGTAATACCCAGCTACGTAAAAAATATGGCACTACAGAACCAGTAGTAAATAAATTGTCATGTTTTAATGGATAGTATTACTATATTTTACCATAGAGATACTGCCCATGTTCTACAAAGTTTGAAGCAAGAAATGGGATGGTTGTCATCATTTCAATAAAGAATCGGAAACTAAGGAAGACTGACAATGGATGTACGTTCATAAAAACGCCTACATAATATCAACAGAATAAGTTTTATAGTTTTAGAGTTTTAGGTTACCATTGAGTAACTTACGCATCAAAAATGATCCTGTATTCCAGACTGTTAGACAGAGGCAGAATATCCTGGCGCAACCCGAAATGATGATAATTAGGTTTTTATGATTTTTTGACACAACATTAAGAATTCATACCAAAGATCATAGGAGCGCCACTTGTACATCCACGGTGGGTCTAGATCAACATCTGATTCTTGCTTCATCTCTACGAGATAAGCCAAGCAGAACAGAATATCGACTAGCAAATCCAAATTGACCTATCAATATATATATATTAAAAAAAAAAGGCTCAACTTTTCAGTATTGCTATTACTCCGATAACCCTGCGATATATAAATAAAATAAAATAAGAAACTTTAAATTCTTACAAATAACACAATGCTGCTGTTGCTAAACAAAATTCTTTTTGCCGCAGAAATATAATGGCTGTTATTAAACATGTTCTTGACTGTGCTTCTGACGCTAAAGACTTCTTCTTTCTCTTCACTAAAAATAAATAAATAGAATTGTAAATTAAATAATATTCAAAACTTGATAACAATTCCATACCGAGCATGTTTACGACCAGATCTATATTTTGATCGAACCGTGCTAAGATTAACAGCAGAACGTCTTCCAAACCATTGGTCAGGTGTAAGCTGAGGGGGAGCAGATTCAACAACTTCCTGTGCACTATTCGAAGGAAGAAGAAGGAATGGTGATGAGTTGAGCAATGATCACAGCCTAATTATGCTGACATTACTCTGGATCCAGTGATGGCAAAACGAGATCTGGAGAGATTTCGCAGTGTCGTTTACTATTTCCTAGCATGATTGTTGATATCTGAGTAACAAGTCGAGGTCTAGACTGGTGGCGTTGCTGGAGACGTTTCTTCTTTCGTTTGGCTAGCCTGTCAGGCTCGTCCAAGTCGCTGTTTCCACGCGAAGACCCATTATCTTCTCTAATGCTTGATCGAGAGGACTGGAACGGACTATTTCTTGTGACGTGCCCAGGATGTACACCATATGTGTGAATTTGATCCACACAAAGATGGCTTTCTTCGTCGTCGTCTGGATGATCGTACTCTGGCTTACGGCGACTCAGCATAGCCTAAATAAGAAAGTAGATGAATCTGGTGCAGAAAAAAAGCGTAAGAGAGAGAGAGAGGGAAAAAGCAGACGAGACTCATTGGTATTAGTGTATAATCCTCATTAACAAAACGTCACAGCGGAGGAGAAGGTAAGATGTCTTTGGGTATTCGGAGGACGGAAAGATCGATTTTTTCCGGGCTTTCAAACCAACCTTTATGAAAACGTACATAAAAAGAAGTGATCTCGAACTTGCACGAGTATGTGTGCGTGTTTGCGTGGAAGGCTGTCTTTAAGACATTAGTTAATTATTAAAAATAACATTTTTGATCATACCATTGTTCTACGCAAGATTGGTAATTATAAATTTCAAGTATTTCATTTGAAAATTAATGCTATAAAACCAACCAACCAACCAACCAAATCACAGTTTTCTTCTTCCTTCCTTCCTTCTCTGTGTAAGCATGTAGTCTGGTACATTGGTGGCTAAGTTAAACGGAATTACTGGGAAAATTCGATGGATATCTTTGTCATTCGTACCACCTATTTAATCGCCATTCCTTATCATATCTTTAACCATAAGTTCTAGACATCAAAATAAAACGATTGTGAAAAAAAAAAGATATATTCACTCCGCCCCTCGCATTGGCCTGTTTTTTTTATCAACATCAATATCACTAAAGTGGGACAAGAAAATGCCCTGTTTTCTATTCTTGTGTGTTAGACAAGGTCTAAGAATATTAATTAATTTTTTTTTAAAAAAAAAAACATACAGAAGAAATAGTGGTAATTGGACGGTGCATTTAATTCTTTAAAATAGCCCAACCACTACCGCCGCACAAGCTGGAAGCTGGAAGCAATATTTACCGGTTGAATAGGGCCATTCTACTTGTCGCGTTGACAGATTAAATTTATGACTTCAATTACAGTCAATAAATCCAATCTTTGGAACCAAAATAGAGCATCTCATTGGAAGGGCAAAAGAATATCAAGATTCTCCAATAGAAAAATAACAAACCACCAAAAAAGAATAGCCATATATTGCACAAGTAGATTCTTTGCAAGATAAAAGGATATCTGGTAAAGTTCGATATATCTTTCGATAGATCGGGAGTGAGTTTTCTTTTTTTTTTTAAAAAAAAAAAGTACCAATAAATAGCCATATTCCTTCATATAGATTTTCTGTTCCAGCTCTTTTTTATATGTATATGTGTGTGCATGTTGGTTAAAATCCTTTTTATTAATTCCACATTGTTATATCCAATTATTTATTTATTCCATCTTTTGCGCCTAACTAGTATGGTTCAAGAATAGCTCAATTTGTATCCAGGGTAACTTAACATACACATAATTTAGATCCGTTTAAACACTAGTAGTGTAGCTTCATAGTATATTCTTTGTACCTGGTAATACAGATATTCATTTATCAGAGTTTTGAATAGATCTTTTTTTTACTATTATCTTATCTCTGTTAAGATATAACTGTATGTGAATAATCGATTCCAATTATTTTAATATATAAAATAGGGGGTTTCACCAGCTCTGGATGCTTGACTACTGGATGTAGCGGTAGTTTAATTCGAAAAATTATTGGCTGTGACGAACCTCCAAAAAAAATGAAAACTGGGCATCCAAGCATCTAACAAAAAAAGGTTAGATATTCCAATGCTGTGACTTGGCCAAGATTTACAAAATTTTGCTTTTATATGAACTTTGCCATCAATAATACATAAAGTACAAAGTCCAGAACAAGACATAATCAATCTATGTAAGAGTTTCTATCTTAATACAAAATTATAAAAGTCTAGCTTACTTGTGGGGAATTTGGGCATGGGCACTATAGTTATGAGTATTCTAATCAAGCGTATTGTACATATGAATTTTGACGTATATGAGAGAAAACATATCAACCAAGAGACATTAATGGTATTCAAAAGTTTTTTTTTTCGATATCGCTTGTTATTGAATAGTTCTTAAACTACCACTACATTCAACAGTCAAGCATCTAAAGCTGGTGAAATCCCCTATAAGGTAAAGTCCTTTGGATTGAGAATCTAACATATTATCAGCTAATGCTATAAGAGTACACATATTATGAGAGAAGCATAGTTTTACAATCTGGACATATTTCACCTTATTTCTGAATCATTATTATTTACATTTGAAAATGTGATATAGGCAGTATTGAGTTATATGTTGAGATGGTCCAAAAGGTTAAAAGAAAAAAGAGAATAGATATCGATCTCCTCTATCATGTCCTTGGCCCAAATCTTGGCCTTTGCCAGCTTGTTCTCTCAAGAAAGATAAAAAAGAAAAAAAAAAGTGCTCTGTAAGGATGGTCTTTGTTGATTTCATCTTTCGATGTTTATATGGATATTTTGATAATTAGTAAGATATTGCTAAGCTGTTACCAAGCTTTTGGAATAAACTATGCTTCTTTGGATAATTAATAATGAATAAGAGAGAGAAATAGAAATAGATGAATATTGTTGGGGTTGATTGTTACAATTTTTGTGTTTTTCAATTGGTTTCTTCACCAGCTATAAGAAGTATATTCTTCTTGCGGCCACGACTTGAGCAATCTGTTTGCGTAATTGATACAAAGAAAGAATTAGAAAGATAGGACATGTCTGGGTCATATGGAAGTTCAAAGACACACGCAATTAATTAATGCACTAATGAAGATTCTTCTATTTATGTGAGCTCTCAATGAAGATAGAGACAGCGAATCTATTTGCTAAGAAGATAATGATCCCTGTCAAAAGTTTAATGTTGGATAAGAGTGAAAGAAATGATATAATTTTATAGTAATAGTAAGGCTGCCAAGTAGTCCAGATTCTAGCTTTATGGAGATATCATAAGAATATTCCATCAGAAGAGTGAAAAAGAAAAAAGAGGTTAATCTTCAAAAACTTTTAACGAGGTGGCGGTTATTACCTATATGGAATAAAACAATTCTCGGACTGGTGTTTATAATATTAAGTGCATGTTAATGCCTAATTGCTTGTCAATTCCTAATTGCGTGGCAATGCCTAATTGAATGTCAATGCTTAATTGCATACATGAGATGAGAAAGGTTAATGAAAGGTCATAAAACTATTGATTTTTTTAAAGAAAAACTATACCTTTGTATTTATATGTTTTCAGGCATGAGTTGGCAAGTGAAAGAAGATCGGCTAAACCAAGAATGCTAAAGAAGTTGTATTATTGATTTATTAGAACTTAATAAATATGATGCCCATTGTTTATACATGTCTATACATATACATACCTTGCTTGTAAAAGAAAATTCGACCTGATTTTAATACTGAATATTGTATTAAAATATTCATTCATATACTTTTAAAGTATATCCGATAAATCCCAAAAGTAAAAATAAAGATTTTTTTTGTCAAGACCTGCGCTTGAAGGCCGATCCACTCAAGTTTACACCCAAGCTTCTCAACAACCCTCATTCCTGCCTACTCGGCATGGCATCAAATTTACCATGACGGCAAAGTATCGGTGAAATGCTTTAATGCCAAACTGCTCGGGACAGGTGTCTGAGACACCCAAGTGAACAGCATAGCATTTACTTAGGCACCTTAACTTTGCTTCGGGTTCGTCCCTCATGTCCAGTTCTGTTTACCAGAGCGTGGGTTACAAGTATCAAAGTCTAAGCAATGAGGGACTTGAAAAGCACAGGGATCATTTCAACAGGAAGCAGTAAAATACAGGCGATTGTACTGGGTAATCTGTCGATTCTGCTGGGAATCTACCTGTATTACCTCACGTCCAGGTGCTCAACGAATTTAAAAAACTCTACGCATCCAGGTGATACACCCTTATACTTGCACCTTTCTGTGACAATCTTGACATGCCCCAAAGGACAAAATCTGGAGAGCCAATATCCAACGTCCTAAGAAAATAGCATAAAGCTACCTCTGCGTTCCTCAGTCTTCTCCATGTTATGTGCCGCACAACACAGAAAAAACTGACGTGGATTTCATCCGGCTTTCGCCTTCATATGAGTGGCTCAGGAAGGTCTTTAACGTCCAGTATGCTCTACACTAAGAGCTACTTTCCCTTACGGTACTTGTGTTCAGTTGGTTTTTTATAAGTATATTTAGCCTTCGATGAAACTTTTCACCAGGATTAGGGAGTTTGTAAAACAACCCGACTCATCGGAAGCTACTTAACACAAAGACAAGAACTCAAGACAAGGTGAGGGGATTGCACCCTCCAGTAACCTTTTCCAGGGAGTGAAGGCTACTGACTTGTTGGTATGTCTGGAAAAGCAGTTCACTAGTTCACAATCCAGAGCAGTCAAAAGACTACTCCGGTTCAAACATTGGAGCTTCTCCATCTCAAACAATAAAGTCCAAGACGGAATCCCTTTTGGTTTCTTTTCCACTGCAGTAAATGCAGGTAGAATCGCTCAAAGTACGGACCAATTTTAGGCCATGGTACCTTGAGCGAACTCAATGACTAGACGCCAAAGAGTGCAGTGCGTTCAATAAAAAAACCAGAATCTCATATTAAGACAAGCCTTATAAATAAGGCGTCTACAATGAGCGAGTTGGAAAAGAGCCCGGAGACTCACTGTTAAAGACCATGATATACACATTTTGCATGAAAATGTTTACGTATATTCCTTTTGATATATCGTGACCGATAGAATACGAGGTACTCAGTGACCACTCCAAGAGTAGAGATATAAATAAAAATCGAGTATAAGGTTAATATACTTATTGTGTCAAAGTGTGTGCGCGTGTGCGCGTTTACTTACCTAGCTGTTAACTGCGAAGGGTGTAAAATACTGAGCTGGTTCTCGGTACACCTCTCCATAAGCATACTTTGAACACTATCAAGAGAATAAAGTAATATAAAAGTATAAAGTGAGTATGTTAATTGAGTCAAAGTATGTATATATTGACTTACCACTCAGTGGACCATACATGGTATGAAGGCACCATCAAAAGAATGGTGGTTAACAGCTAAACAGAACTAGAAACTGCAATAGAAAAAAAGAAAACATCAAATCATAGTTAGCGTGTTGATCGTGTCAAAGTATGTGTGTATGTACGCGTTGACTTACCTAGTAAACAGCAGCGGAAGGCTTGAAAAGTACTTGTGCTAAAAAGCAAGACGGGACGGGACACTGGACACTGTGATAAAATAAAAGAAATGTCGAATCATAGTTAGTGTATTGATCGTGTCAAAGCGTGTGTGTGTTTGCTTACCTAGCAGATAACTGCGTAGGGTTTAAAAAAGTACTTGTGCTTAAAAGCAAAACGGCACTGGACACTGGACACTGTGATGAAAGAAAGAAAACATCAAATCATAGTTAGTGTGGTGATCGTGTCAAAGCATCTGTGTGTGTGTATTTACTTACCTGGTACATGAACTTGACGTGAAGGACCTCTCCGTGGCTACAGTGGAATGGAAGCTGGGCATAGAAGACAAAAAAAACATGCGCAAGAAAACACTGTGCTGTAGTTAGTATATTGACCGTGTCAAAATTTGTATGTGTCTGTATAATACTTTACCTGCTATTAGACTGGACATCATTTTTGGAACTTAGCTAGAAACCGTGTCTGGGGTGCGTTTTCATAATAAATATCAGTATGCACCTTATACGGATAGAAGGATATAGGCATTTAAAGACAATTTTCTTACCGTGTCGGAAACCAAGGACCACCGAAAGGAAACCAGGAGGAAGAGGAGGGATAACAGGAAATTGAGAATTGTATCGATTCTTATATGAAAAAAAATGGGGATGGCGCAGCACGGAAGGCGTAAAATGCCTATTTTGAATAAATCAAAACAAATTCATATGAAAATTAAATAGTTTCATGTTTTCAGTAAAAGCTCCATGTTTTTTATCGCATATTTTTATTGCGTATTTTTTACCGCATATTTCTATCAAGGACCTATTGGTATTATCTAATAGATACATTGAATAGTACCAACACTGAATACATTTGAGTATTACCTTGTTTTAGATAACATTTATATTTCTTTGGGGAATATATTTCTATATCTTTATGTTCACACTACTGATTATTATTATTATTATTATTATTTTAAAAAAAAATACCAAGTAAATAAAGAAATTCTCCTTAACATTATAATCACACTTTGTTTTCTTTCGCTTCACAAAGTATCCTGAAAGTCATATAAGTAGATAAGAACTACTATTAAGAAAATAATAGCATGTATTTATTAAGCTATTTTTTTTCTATTTAGGCTATTCAGTTTTACATACATATGCAATATCTCTTGTGAACTACAAACATAATACTCTTTCTTACTCTTGATCAATAAAAACATTGTTATTATAATGTATATTCACATATCCTCGCTAGCATGACTTATTCTTTACATAATTATGTCTAGAGCCAAAATTTTAATTATATAAATTTCATGGCAATTGAGACTTGAGTGGTTTGTGTGATAGATTACTCAAATGTGTAAGAGAAGATAATATATACTGATCTACTATAATATCATGTTAGCCTATATATTGTGGATATCAGTCTATTCTCTTGAAAATAATAAGAAAATAAATAGAGAGATGTGTTAGGATAGTCTATATTACTTTTATTTTTTTAATGGTTAAATATATATACATTAACAGATAATATAATAATACAGTCAGTAAGATCAACTTCAGCAGTTTACTGAAATATTTACATTTAAAGTTATCTTAAGATATTAAGACTTGGAGTATAGTATTTACATTTTAACAATATTTCAAGGCTTGTATAGATTATGTACTTTAAATCAATTTAATATCTTATACTGGTAGAGCCTAAGTATTTATAGACAAGCTGGTGGCACTGTTGGTTTCGGACAAGTACCCATATTCAATTACCAACACAATTAGTATTATCAAAACTATCCAATTTTCTCAATAACATGCTATCAGCTTAACTCAGAAAAACTATATATTCCCAAATAAATTAACTCAATAAAAAACAACTTTTACACACTTATATTTTCTTTTTCTTTATTTTCTCTGGGTATTTATCCGAAAAACACTTTTATTTGCTACAAACACTATTAATGTTTATCTGATAATCCCCTTTTTTCTTTTCTAAATGTTTTTTTTTACAAACTTCTTATGCCACACCAACATACATAGCACGTCTCACTACTCTCCTACTAATTTATCTGGAATCATTCGACATTATATTTCTGTGACCTCCGTTTCTCGCCAAATATTGACTACTATCATGTTTCTAATGGCGTTCTTTCTTCTGCTCAAAAGTCTTACTGGAGAACAATTTCCGACAATTTTTTGTTTGTTCTTGACAATATGTAAAATATATTAAGAATAGCATATAAATAGGGCAATAGTATTAAGTGTATCTGCAATATTCAATATATTTACAGCAACAAAGATAATATTTATATACAAGAAGTACAGAATATAAGAAAAGATAAGATAGTAGTTTAAAGATATACAGTTCTGTCTTTATTTCGCAGGAGTACTTAATATATTGAATTCATGTAAAATTTTGGCTAGAAATTATATTTTTCTTTCTCACTCTATTTTACGTTTTTATTTTGATTCTTCTCATTTATTGTTTATCATGAATCAAAGATTTAAATCAAAGTTCCAATTGTCTACTATTTTTTTTTCTCTTTCGTTCTCGTTTAACTTAAACTCGTTTAATTGAATATATGCATTTCAGAAAAAAAAATATTAAGAAAATATTGGAAACTAATCAGAAGACTTGTTGATATTGGTGATTTAGTTGCTGCTGCTGCTGCTGTTTCTATTGATATGATATGATCAGTCTTGATGATTTATCAAGAAAAGTGCACAAAAGTAAAACAGCAAGTAAAAGACGAGAGAAGAATAATAAAAGTATATACATATGGAGATATGGAGGGATTCTTACCTGTTGTATTCTGTGCTTTGATCTTAGAAAACATATTATTGTTCTGATTTTATTAGATGGGCTATATCAGCATTAAATATAATTCAAAATATGTAGCTAGTTTGATAGGGTATAAGCATCATTACATTTTTTTTGTTAAAATAGTTATAGATATTGTATATTGAAAATAATGTAAAAGCAGAAGGGTCGAGTAAAGAAAAAAAAACTCGCCGACTAGACTCTGTATCAAAGAGTAATGTCTTTATCAGAGAGAAAGAGAAAAGAAAGAGTATGAATACGTACTATTAGAGATCTACAGTAGTTGTAAAATGTCTACAATAATCCTTTAAATAATTTTTTTAATGATTTTAATATGATTTCAAAGAAATATAAACTGTAACAGTATATACATACTACAGTGTCCGAAAGAAAGGTTTAACAGCTTTATTATTTATCTATAACTTTACTAATACATTTATATAATTAAAATTTTGGCTCTAGACATAATTATGTAAAGAATAAGTCATGCTAGCGAGGATATGTGAATATACATTATAATAACAATGTTTTTATTGATCAAGAGTAAGAAAGAGTATTATGTTTGTAGTTCACAAGAGATATTGCATATGTATGTAAAACTGAATAGCCTAAATAGAAAAAAAATAGCTTAATAAATACATGCTATTATTTTCTTAATAGTAGTTCTTATCTACTTATATGACTTTCAGGATACTTTGTGAAGCGAAAGAAAACAAAGTGTGATTATAATGTTAAGGAGAATTTCTTTATTTACTTGGTATTTTTTTTTAAAATAATAATAATAATAATAATAATTATCAGTAGTGTGAACATAAAGATATAGAAATATATTCCCCAAAGAAATATAAATGTTATCTAAAACAAGATAATACTCAAATGTATTCAGTGTTGGTACTATTCAATGTATCTATTAGATAATACCAATAGGTCCTTGATAGAAATATGCGATAAAAAATACGCAATAAAAATATGCGATAAAAAACATGGAGCTTTTACTGAAAACATGAAACTATTTAATTTTCATATGAATTTGTTTTGATTTATTCAAAATAGGCATTTTACGCCTTCCGTGCTGCGCCATCCCCATTTTTTTTCATACAAGAATCGATACAATTCTCAATTTCCTGTTATCCCTCCTCTTCCTCCTGGTTTCCTTTCGGTGGTCCTTGGTTTCCGACACGGTAAGAAAATTGTCTTTAAATGCCTATATCCTTCTATCCGTATAAGGTGCATACTGATATTTATTATGAAAACGCACCCCAGACACGGTTTCTAGCTAAGTTCCAAAAATGATGTCCAGTCTAATAGCAGGTAAAGTATTATACAGACACATACAAATTTTGACACGGTCAATATACTAACTACAGTACAGTGTTTTCTTGCGTATATTTTTTTTTGTCTTCTATGCCCAGCTTCCATTCCACTGTAGCCACGGAGAGGTCCTTCACGTCAAGTTCATGTACCAGGTAAGTAAATACACACACACAGATGCTTTGACACGATCACCACACTAACTATGATTTGATGTTTTCTTTCTTTCATCACAGTGTCCAGTGTCCAGTGCCGTTTTGCTTTTAAGCACAAGTACTTTTTTAAACCCTACGCAGTTATCTGCTAGGTAAGCAAACACACACACGCTCTGACACGATCAATACACTAACTATGATTCGACATTTCTTTTATTTTATCACAGTGTCCAGTGTCCCGTCCCGTCTTGCTTTTTAGCACAAGTACTTTTCAAGCCCTCCGCTGCTGTTTACTAGGTAAGTAAACGCGTACATACACACATACTTTGACACGATCAACACGCTAACTATGATTTGATGTTTTCTTTTTTTCTATTGCAGTTTCTAGTTCTGTTTAGCTGTTAACCACCATTCTTTTGATGGTGCCTTCATACCATGTATGGTCCACTGAGTGGTAAGTCAATATATACATACTTTGACTCAATTAACATACTCACTTTATACTTTTATATTACTTTATTCTCTTGATAGTGTTCAAAGTATGCTTATGGAGAGGTGTACCGAGAACCAGCTCAGTATTTTACACCCTTCGCAGTTAACAGCTAGGTAAGTAAACGCGCACACGCGCACACACTTTGACACAATAAGTATATTAACCTTATACTCGATTTTTATTTATATCTCTACTCTTGGAGTGGTCACTGAGTACCTCGTATTCTATCGGTCACGATATATCAAAAGGAATATACGTAAACATTTTCATGCAAAATGTGTATATCATGGTCTTTAACAGTGAGTCTCCGGGCTCTTTTCCAACTCGCTCATTGTAGACGCCTTATTTATAAGGCTTGTCTTAATATGAGATTCTGGTTTTTTTATTGAACGCACTGCACTCTTTGGCGTCTAGTCATTGAGTTCGCTCAAGGTACCATGGCCTAAAATTGGTCCGTACTTTGAGCGATTCTACCTGCATTTACTGCAGTGGAAAAGAAACCAAAAGGGATTCCGTCTTGGACTTTATTGTTTGAGATGGAGAAGCTCCAATGTTTGAACCGGAGTAGTCTTTTGACTGCTCTGGATTGTGAACTAGTGAACTGCTTTTCCAGACATACCAACAAGTCAGTAGCCTTCACTCCCTGGAAAAGGTTACTGGAGGGTGCAATCCCCTCACCTTGTCTTGAGTTCTTGTCTTTGTGTTAAGTAGCTTCCGATGAGTCGGGTTGTTTTACAAACTCCCTAATCCTGGTGAAAAGTTTCATCGAAGGCTAAATATACTTATAAAAAACCAACTGAACACAAGTACCGTAAGGGAAAGTAGCTCTTAGTGTAGAGCATACTGGACGTTAAAGACCTTCCTGAGCCACTCATATGAAGGCGAAAGCCGGATGAAATCCACGTCAGTTTTTTCTGTGTTGTGCGGCACATAACATGGAGAAGACTGAGGAACGCAGAGGTAGCTTTATGCTATTTTCTTAGGACGTTGGATATTGGCTCTCCAGATTTTGTCCTTTGGGGCATGTCAAGATTGTCACAGAAAGGTGCAAGTATAAGGGTGTATCACCTGGATGCGTAGAGTTTTTTAAATTCGTTGAGCACCTGGACGTGAGGTAATACAGGTAGATTCCCAGCAGAATCGACAGATTACCCAGTACAATCGCCTGTATTTTACTGCTTCCTGTTGAAATGATCCCTGTGCTTTTCAAGTCCCTCATTGCTTAGACTTTGATACTTGTAACCCACGCTCTGGTAAACAGAACTGGACATGAGGGACGAACCCGAAGCAAAGTTAAGGTGCCTAAGTAAATGCTATGCTGTTCACTTGGGTGTCTCAGACACCTGTCCCGAGCAGTTTGGCATTAAAGCATTTCACCGATACTTTGCCGTCATGGTAAATTTGATGCCATGCCGAGTAGGCAGGAATGAGGGTTGTTGAGAAGCTTGGGTGTAAACTTGAGTGGATCGGCCTTCAAGCGCAGGTCTTGACAAAAAAAATCTTTATTTTTACTTTTGGGATTTATCGGATATACTTTAAAAGTATATGAATGAATATTTTAATACAATATTCAGTATTAAAATCAGGTCGAATTTTCTTTTACAAGCAAGGTATGTATATGTATAGACATGTATAAACAATGGGCATCATATTTATTAAGTTCTAATAAATCAATAATACAACTTCTTTAGCATTCTTGGTTTAGCCGATCTTCTTTCACTTGCCAACTCATGCCTGAAAACATATAAATACAAAGGTATAGTTTTTCTTTAAAAAAATCAATAGTTTTATGACCTTTCATTAACCTTTCTCATCTCATGTATGCAATTAAGCATTGACATTCAATTAGGCATTGCCACGCAATTAGGAATTGACAAGCAATTAGGCATTAACATGCACTTAATATTATAAACACCAGTCCGAGAATTGTTTTATTCCATATAGGTAATAACCGCCACCTCGTTAAAAGTTTTTGAAGATTAACCTCTTTTTTCTTTTTCACTCTTCTGATGGAATATTCTTATGATATCTCCATAAAGCTAGAATCTGGACTACTTGGCAGCCTTACTATTACTATAAAATTATATCATTTCTTTCACTCTTATCCAACATTAAACTTTTGACAGGGATCATTATCTTCTTAGCAAATAGATTCGCTGTCTCTATCTTCATTGAGAGCTCACATAAATAGAAGAATCTTCATTAGTGCATTAATTAATTGCGTGTGTCTTTGAACTTCCATATGACCCAGACATGTCCTATCTTTCTAATTCTTTCTTTGTATCAATTACGCAAACAGATTGCTCAAGTCGTGGCCGCAAGAAGAATATACTTCTTATAGCTGGTGAAGAAACCAATTGAAAAACACAAAAATTGTAACAATCAACCCCAACAATATTCATCTATTTCTATTTCTCTCTCTTATTCATTATTAATTATCCAAAGAAGCATAGTTTATTCCAAAAGCTTGGTAACAGCTTAGCAATATCTTACTAATTATCAAAATATCCATATAAACATCGAAAGATGAAATCAACAAAGACCATCCTTACAGAGCACTTTTTTTTTCTTTTTTATCTTTCTTGAGAGAACAAGCTGGCAAAGGCCAAGATTTGGGCCAAGGACATGATAGAGGAGATCGATATCTATTCTCTTTTTTCTTTTAACCTTTTGGACCATCTCAACATATAACTCAATACTGCCTATATCACATTTTCAAATGTAAATAATAATGATTCAGAAATAAGGTGAAATATGTCCAGATTGTAAAACTATGCTTCTCTCATAATATGTGTACTCTTATAGCATTAGCTGATAATATGTTAGATTCTCAATCCAAAGGACTTTACCTTATAGGGGATTTCACCAGCTTTAGATGCTTGACTGTTGAATGTAGTGGTAGTTTGATTCTGTTACGTGTGTGCTAGATTTGGTCGGCAGTCGGCCAAAAACCCTTACTTTTTTTTATTCTTATATTTCCATACAGTTCATTGTTTTACAATCACAGGCCTTATTTTTAGTATTTAAAAAGAGTTCAATTCAATTCAATAAAGCCATTTTTTTACTCTTGCTTAATTCTTTGCCTTGCTTCATTTATGTAGTCGGTTGGTTCCCTTGAGATCTGGAAGAAGCCTTTTTTATTCAATTCCTTGTTTGGCTCATTACACTATAACTATCATCGCAACACTTGACAATTCGAAAAATATTTGGCTATAATAAATCTTCAAAAAATGAAAACTTAGCATCCAAGCGTCTAAAAAAATATTAGATATTCTAAATGTCGTGAATTAGCCAAAGTTTACAAAATTTTGTACTTTATGTACAATTGATGACAAAGTTCATGTGAAACAAAGTCAAAAATAAAACATAAACAATCTATGTAAGAGTAGCTACCTTAATACCAAGCTAGAGAAGTCTAACTTAATTGTGGGGAATTTGGTCATGGGCACTATATTTATGAGTATTCTAATCAGGCGTATTGTGCATATGAATTTTGACGTATACGAGAGAAAACATATCAACCAAGAGACACTACTGGTATTCAGTAGTTTTTTTTTGATATTAATTATTATTGGATGGTGCTTAAACTACCACTAAATTCAACAGTCAAAGATCCAGAGCTGGTGAAAACCCTTATTATATATATCCTGTTTTTTACGCCACCATGTTTTTGCTGTCAATGCAAAACCTCTACACTCCCATTCAAACAAATTATATTACAATGATTGAGCACAAGCATTTATTCATCCTATTATTTATTTGGAAATCTACTTTTCGGTTATGTTTGTTTGATTGCTAAAAAGATATCTCTATACTTATCATCTCTTGTTTTAGTTGAACACATATGATCTCCATATTTGCTTTGTGCATATTTTTTTTTGTGTCTGGCATTTCGCTACCTATTATCGCAGTTATAAAAAACAGAAGGTCTTTAAGAAAGTAAAGGTTGAATACAAGATGCATATTGATATATTGATTGGCGAGAAAAAAATATAAAAAATGCTTATTGCAAATGGGAAGCATGTCAAGGATTAACGTCTCTGAAGAGTATGAAGAAACCAATTTAACTTTGCACCCCACAATAAATCATCAAACATGTATTTTTCTGCTGCGTTGTCTTATGTTATAATTGATGAGATATTATACTAGTAAAATACTAGTATTCTACAAATACACTAGGCATAGGCACAAATGACAATATATTATAGATATGCTTGTGTATATATATACATAATCTGATAATCAATCTTTCATTCCTTTTGGCTTTCTCATTTTTTCTTTTCGGATCTTAAAAATGACTGATACACCTCTTTTACAGCTTTGTATAGAATAACCTTGTTCTTTCATTTGTAAATAGCGCCACAGTGACTGTCTTTCGTATATATTGTTACAGAGTAACCTGAAGATTCAATCCGACAAACCATTACAACTGAGAAAGAAAAGAAGAAAAAGGAAGCCATAGTGAAACTTAGAGAGGTGTTGTGGTCTACATAAGAAAAATAGATAAAAGAAGAAGCTAAAAAATAAAGATAAAAATAAAATAAAAAAAGGTCTTTTCTATTAAGCACACAACTATACATACACACACACACACACACAAAAGAACTCCTCTCTTCTTTTCTTTCTTCTTTTCTTTCTTTCTTTTTCTTTTTTTTTTAAACTTTTAATAAACTTTCTATCATGTCGCGTGGAGGCCGTGGTGGATTTGGTGGTGGTCGCGGTGGACCTGGAGGAGCAAATAGTGGTGCAATGCAACTCGTCTCATTTGACATGCTGAAGGATCTCAGTTCGGGTGGTTTGTTCAATGTGAACACTGCTCTCTTTCCTGTTAGTAATTTGAAATGACTGGTTCAATTAGCCCTACAAAAGACTGATGTTGTTTGATGCAGGAAATGGATGTACCGATTCCACGCAAACCTAATTCTTCTGAAACTAGTCAGTGGAAATTCAAAGAAGATTTCTTGAAGCAAGTACATGAGTCGGCTTACCACTTGGTCCCCCCTCCACCAAAGCCAGGTATGTAAATTGTTGGATAATTGCTAAAGATATGAACTAATGGAGCATATCAGATATTGAACGGTACTCGGATAAATACAAGAAGGCTACTGTCCGTAGAAAGACTTTGCGTGAGATCGATACAGGTAATAAAAATAAAGCATGACCAATTTAACGTTCCTGCAAGACGAGTGCAATGGTCATGGATATAATAGAGGGAGGGAAATACAGGACTAATCCTGATTTTAATTCTGATTTTGATTTTGATCTGTAAATTTTGCACCAGATTTTGATTTTTTCCCAGAAGAACTACAGAGTGTCATTGATTCAAGCAAGATAAAGAAGAGTATGTTTAATGACGAGATTGTAGATCAAGAGAATAATGTATTTTTTCTTTTGTTTCTTTCAGAGCCCAAGGTTCAGAAAGTAGATGAGACTTTCAATTTGGATGAGATTATGAATGCTGAAGGAGAGGGCAAAGATGGTGAAGATGAAGAGGGCAAGGAAGAGGGCAAGGACGGTGAAGCTGGAAGTGATATTGAATTCGACGAAGAGGGTGAAGAAGAAGAATTGGTCGATGACAATGACTATGCCCAGAATTACTTTGATAACGGTGAAGACGAAGACTTTGATGATGATGATGGTAAGTAACCGAATGATTTGGTTTATTGAATGTATTTTGTTTATGTGGGTTGGAATACTGATATATATATATGTACTTCTTTTAAAGGTGATGGTGGTGCTGGTGATTATTACTAAATATATATATATATATATATTACACACACACATACTACACATACTGCACACTTTACAAACTCTACACACTCTACGCACTCTACACACTACGCACTACACAATATACTACACTATACACACATACTTCTTCTTATTCTTCGTTTTATATCTAAACAACTTTGCATTAAATGATAAAAATCAAAATCAAAAATCATTCCAGAAAAAAAATTTGGACTGTTTGCGGAGGCCAAAAGCTCCTATTTTTTATTTTATTATTTTTATTATTGTTTCCATTATTGAAATTCGATTCAATAATCAATCATCTTAATCATGGCCAACCAACAAGAGCTCATTGACGATGTCATCTACTGTGCACGTTATGGAGAACTTGAGGAACTCAAGGAAACCAAGCCTAGTCCCGAACTACTTGTTAAAGGAGACGAATCTGGAAACACTGCTCTTCACATGGCCAGTGCCAACAACCACGTCCGTAAGTATTATGTGCTGTGTAGTTCAAAAAAATTATTATTTGACTTTATTAATGTGATTATATATCTACAGAGATTGTTGCTTGGATTCTTGACCAATTACTTCTAACCGGCACCCCTTTGGCCCCTTTGGTAAATGTCCGCAATAAGGAGGGAAATACACCTCTTCACTGGGCTGCTTTGAACGGTCACACTGAGATTGTTGAGTTGTTGGTTAAAGCTGGTGCTGATTGCAAGGTAAGATAAAATAAAAATAGACTGTGAATATATGTAAGAGAAAGAGAGAGAGAGAGAAAGCTTATAAATGTGTATATAATTATGGTGCTAAATCATTGATTTTGTTAATTATAACTTATGTTTCGCTTAGACCAAGAATGAGGCTGGAAAGACACCTATTTACGAGGCCCAACAGCACAACCATGAAAAGGTTGCCGAGTTCTTCTTACTGACAATGATGGAAGAGGAGCCCGAAGAGCCTATGGATGAGGATGAAGAATGCGTCGAGACAGGAGTTCCAGAACAGGGAGCATAAAAAAAACAACGCCATATACTTCTTTCTATTTCTGTTTTTGTAATCTTCTAAACATTCCCTTTCCACATTCATACTGAAAACAACCATCAGCCCCCCAAAATGCATTTTATATAACCAATTTTGTATTCATCGTCTTTTATTCTTGTAAAATTTTATTTGTAGAAAGGGCGCTAGAGAGAGAGAGATAGAAGGAGTGAGTGAGTGAAATAGAATTCAAGGTTATATTTAGCACACAGCATATACATATACATATACATAATCTATGTATACATGTAACAAATTAAGAGAATAACAATCGAGATTTGGATATTTATATTGATCAAAAGGACAATGTAAAATGATGTGGGAAAGTTGGTGGTTGCCTTTTATGGGTGGTTGTTGACAGCCAAGACATACAAAAAAAATAGGATGGTTGGTTTGGTTGGTTTGTTATTTTGTTTGATTCTGTTGTGCTTTGGATTTCGTCCCTCTTTCTCTCCATCTATTTCTCTTTCTTTATATTATTTCAAAATGGGTTATTGTAGTCGTTGTGGTGAAATCACGCCTAGTGATAAATGCAGCAAGTGTGGTGGTCGCTCTGTTGGTAATAATATATATATAAAAAGGGCATGCAGATATATTGAGAATATCGTACTGAGTCCATTACTATGGTTTGTAGCCTCTATAGCAGCAAATCTTGGTGTAGAACCAATTCTTCTCGCAGATCGCTGGAAATCTCAGTAAGTGCAACACACCACACCAAACCACATTTTAGTTATCATATGATGCTTACAGTCCTTTTTTTTATTATCATTATTATCATTATAAAGATATGCCACAAGTATTCTCGGTTTTGGCGATCAAGAAGCATCAAACGAAACAGCAGTTGGTATTACTGCTCCTTCTGTTCTAGCAGAACCCCCGTATAAACTATCCAAATCTTGCGTCACTTGCCACAAAATATTTCAGGGAGAATCCCTATCAACCGAATCAGGATCATCTTACTGTAAAGACTGCACTCCGACAGAACAAGCAGTAGTAGATCGAGGCGCATGGTGTGTGTTTGAATGATTAACTAAACACCCAAATAAAAATAAAAACCAAAGAAATAAATAAATAAATAAATAAATAAATAAATAATAGGCCGGGACTAATATAACCGCACTTATTTAATAGTTCGGGATGCTATCGGCCAATTCTGGCTACAGAGACCCACGTTGAACATTCAAATCGCTTTTGGCACAAAGAATGCTTCTCGTGTCACACATGCAGCCGTTTTCTCGGTGAGACTCCCATGGTAGATTTACAAGGTCATCCATGTTGCGAGAACTGTCTAATGGCCCAGGCTGGCAGTGTCAAGCGCTCCATCACCAAACCATCGCCCCCAAAAAGCAGCACTCGTACCCAGGCTACCTACTCCACCTTAGCCGAGCGTCTACCTCGTACTTCTCGTCAAAGCCTTCCATCTATGAGCACATTAAACCAAAACTCTCCTCTCAGACCTAGTACTAGCATTCGTACGAATTCTCCTGCGCTATCTTCGTCGCCTTTCGGGCTCAACCCTCGCACTTCTCTTTACAACAGATCAAAACCATTCGACTCAATATCGTCAAACTCATCTTCAGCATCATCCTCAAACTCTCTTTCGTCTACGTTATCATCCGCCTCGTCATGGTCTCCAAGTCCATCGTCATCCAAATCAGCCAAACCTCGCGTAGATCATCCGTCTTTGTTCAAAAGGCCGACGGAGCCAATAATCAATGACACCAGCTGTCTTGCTTCTCCTGAGCCTATTAACTACCCACCAAGCCCCCCTAATTGGACTAAATCGACACGCAAAGAAAACTCTGCACTTGCAGAATATAGGAGAGCAAAGGCGGCCATGAAGAATGAACAGGCCAATATTTCTCAAGACAATATCCTTCCTTCTCCTTCACCTTCTCCTCCGCCAAGAACAACTAAAATACCGCCTACCAAGTCCAGTCCTAAACCTATCCCTAGCTTTAGTTCTTCCAAGTTACCCACTTCTTATGGCGGTAACAATCCGAATAATAATACTCCACAGCCTGAAAACTGTAGTGGTTGCCGAAACCCTTTAAGTGGAACCCGTGTTAAGCTATCTACATCAGCGGGAGATGTATGGTATCACTATGATTGCTTGACATGCGAAGGGTGTAAAGAGCCATTTTCATCTTCAGAATACATTAGCGACGGAAAACATTTCTTTCATCCAAAGGTAAGAAGATGGAAGAATAGGAAATAGCTGTTTATTTATTATAAAAAGCACAAGACTAAATATATATATACTTTCATTTTGGTATCATTATAGTGTCGCCCTAGCCCTGTCCAGTCTCCAGAATATTTCTGCCATGGGTGTAACAAGACCATAACCAACAAGTGCTTGAAAAATGGAACTCGATTTTTCCATCCAGACGTAGGTTTATATTTTTTTTAAAAAAAGTATACACATATTCGTTTATCATCATGAAAGCTAATTTCGATTTTATAGTGCTTCTCATGCTATGAGTGCAATGTTTATTTGCCTTTTGATCAACCATTTTACGAGATCCTAGGCGAGGCGCATTGTGAGACCTGTAGTCGAATGGATAACCTTTCAATCCAAGCAAATCCACCCCAAGATTCTTCAAATAGTAATCACATTGCTGGTGGAAATTCTGCTACTGTTACCGCTACCACTACTGGTACTGGTAGTGGAGGTGGCAATTCTTTAGTGTCTCAAGAATCGACACCTCGTTATCCTCGTAACACTCTCAAGTTAGGTGGTGCAAAAGTGTGTCCCCATTGTCGGAACAGTATTGGTATTATGGATGAAGCGCCAGGGCCAAGAGCCACGCGATGGCACAAACGATGCCTTCAGTGCCAAGGATGCCACAAGCAAATGGATTCTGGTGCAAATGTTGTTGAAGGACGATCTGGCGAATGGGTTGTCTGGTGTAGAGGGTGCAACGCTGTCTAGACAGATCAGATATGTACTTACAGACAAAGAAAATCCCTCTTTTTTCTTTCTTTCTCTTTCTTGGATCAAAAGCTTCCTTTCAATCTTTTATATATACGCACTTTCTTTTTTTTTGTTAAATAATGCATACCCTTTCAATACCCCTCTCAAAAATCGTAAAAACCGTCAGTCAGTTGTTGCTGTCTGACAATATGGGACCCACATAAAATTTCTGCTTGTACACTCACATCAAAGAAATGTTGGACATTTGATAAAGAAATAAAAGCCTATTACATTCTCATTTTTTTGTTAGTCGAGTGTCATAAAAATCAAACGCTTTTTAGAGTAAAGCTTAATATCTGTCTATTAGAGTAGCTAGGAAGCTTATATTCAAAAGCGGCCAACATTGTTTTTCTTATATTGGTCTATATCTAAGATGGCAGAAGAAAGATAAAGAGATTAAAGAGTTACAAGGCCAGAAGGTTTGAGTACAAATTTCGTCAACCTCTAACTCAATGAGAGTCGAGTTTACTAATTTCTGGATACTTTTATATATAAGCCAATTGAAACCAGCCCTTGTTACCAGATTAGATATTAAACGTTGAATATGTATCTTGATTTCTCTTTTAATGTTTCGATTGATTTATTCTTGTATAATAAACCGCCTTTTTGATCCGTATAAAAACAGAGTACATATATATGTAAATTGTTCGACTCGTATCATACACAGTGTTTAATTTTCCTGGAAGAAATTGAAATTGCTCCTAACATTATAGGTTGACAGTTCTTTTTTAGTAATGATCTTTACAACAAGTTCGGCTTTTTCGATAAATCCTAGGAGGTTTTATGAGGTTGGTGTAGTAATATTACTCACAACCCTTCCAAGTAACCAAATTGTCTTCAAGCTTGTTCCCATTTAATGTAATTTTTCCCCTGGTGGTGCCAAAATCATATTTGGTGCTCTTGGGGTAGATTCTGGCACACTTTAAATATCGCATCGATTGATTGTGTTATTATTATTATTTTTAAAAAATTGATTCTATTATGGACTACTTGGGAACTTGTTAAGATTCAAATAATAAAAAAAAGGAGGGGATTTCTTATTCTCTTCTTCCAAAGAGAAGATCACTTAAAAATGGTTTGCGATAATAAGGAGAGAGAGAGAGAGATTTAGTATAGATTTGTTGTACAATTATTATTTTGTAGATGCACGAATGATGGGTGGGTACTGGATACATTTGAATAATGGTACAGTGAATTGCAAAAAAAGGAAAAAAGAAAGGTATTGTCCTTATTATTTTGTTGTGTTTGCTTTGGTTGGTTATCTCGCGTATCCAGTGCTTAGAAGAGTGCATGTGCCGCCTCGCTTCCCACTAAAGAGAAGTTAATAGTAGTAAGAATAACAAAATTATATTTAGTAAAGAAAGAAAAACACAGGCAATTTTAGTCAAAAGTGGCTATAGTTTGGGGTGTTTTTATTTTATTTTAACTTACATGTTGCACCGAAACCCCAGGTTGCTGCATTGGCTACATTGCCACCAAACTTCTTGGCAAATCCAGAAATTCGGCCCTCGCTCGATTCAGCTGTTTGGGCAGGGGCAGATGCTTCCGGAGGCGCAGGATAGGAAGCTTGTACTACAGGTGCAGGGTAGGCCGATGATGCGACAGGAGGTGCAGGATAAGCCATATGTTGCTGTTGTGGTGGTGGTGGTGGTGTTTGATAGGAGTTTCTCTGAGGAGCACTTTGGTAAGATGCAGCCTGACCGTAGCCAGAATTGTAACCACCAGGAGCGGGCATAGATGGTGGTTGTTGGTGTGGAGGAGGAGCGTTATTACGTGGAGGGGGTGATGGATAGTTTCCACCGCCATGAGAATTGTTATTTTTTGTAGGAGGTGAGGGTGGACTGGGACGACCAGACCTGGAGGGGTAGAGAGATTAAAGATATGTTTGTTAGCTTTGTCAAAGGCAATTGTACCCTACCTCTTTTTATCACTAATACTAATACTAATGCTTACTCTACTGGCTTAACGTATGTTCGTGGGAATACGCCGGTGCGTCCGTGCAATGATCCACGCCACCAGTCATTGTCAACTGTCGAATACTTTAGTACCTTTTCGAATCATCTCTCTGCGTCCTTTTTTTTAATTGCTTACCGTGTTCAGTAACTTGGACAATTTCGCCCTGTCTCAACGGAAGCTCTCTTGGGTTAGTACCAGGGAAGTCGTATAAAGCCTCTGCAGTGCTCAATGAGTTAGAAGCAAGAGCACCATAGGCTGGTGGTGGTGGTTGTTGTTGGTGTTGATGTGATGGGGACGCGGAAGGTTTATTGGCTTGAGGAGATGGTGGGTATCCATAGCCATGATTTTGTGTTGGATTTTGTGTGGATTTTATACTGAGGTTGGTGGGCAGCAAAGCGAAAATCTCATCGTATGCTTTTTGAGTAAGATACTTTTGACCTTTTAATAACAAAAGTTCTTTCTGGATGGATTCCAAAACGTGTGCAGCTAAGGCTTGTTCACGCTCACTCATTGTCAATAGTAAATAAGAAAGTGTATAAAAGTCTTGGCAACTGGAGTGGTAGTGAAAGAAGTAAAAGAAGTAGAAAAAGAAGAAGAAAAAGAAGAGGAAGAATCAACGAATGGTAATACTAATGTAAACGCTATATAAATAACCCTGACCTATTATTGTCACACTATATAAGAAAAGGTATTTTTATTTATTAATTTATTAATTTATTTATTTGAAGGGATAAATAGCTTTGCCATCGGAGGAGAAGGGAATGTTTTAGCCGGACTGTGTTTTTCAAGATTAAAAAGAGGTAAATGTTAAAAAGTTAAATTCAAAAACCAAGGTGTTGAAATAATTCTGATTTTTATTTCTGTATCCATTGTAGAATGATGGGACTTCTTTCCGGTTCGGACCGAAGTGGTCTGTCCGTAGATGGAAGACGCAGATTTGACCTAAATCGCATAAATTATCGCAACGTCTACAGGGGGTAAGGTAGGAAACTGTGGTCAGTGACTATCTTAATAGAAAGCAGTTCTTTTTATTTTACTTTGTGCTTTTTAGGAGACTTGAGGTATCCCTGGGCTAGAGTAGGGAAATAAGAACTACAGTCAAATTTGGACAAAACCTTTACAGCTCTTGACAGGGTACCAGAGATAGAGTCTCTAGACGACAGAACAGAAAACTGGGGAGAAACTCTACATAAAGTTTATGTTATATCTACCAGCTACATTCCAATACACTCCAATACACTCCAATACACTTGCTTAATGTTTTCTTTGAGTTAGAAATCTTCGCCTCAATTCCTATTAAAGTCCTTTCGAATACTCCTTTTGTCTAATATAACAACAGTCTTTTTGGGCGGAATTCTAGACAACTTTTAATTTCCTTATTTAAATGTATGGAAAGAACAACTTGCTTGTATACACTTCCAAGGAATCTTGCTTCAATTAATTGCTTTTAGCTATTCTCAATTCTTGTTCCCTGTACCTTGTGTCCTGCACATTTTTTCTTTGTTGTTTAGATGCAAATTACAATACCTCTTCTTCTGTTTCTTTAAATTCTGATTATATTGCATATTTTTGTTTTCTCCCTTTTTTTCTTATTCTTACTCCAAAAGCATTCTATCTAATGTCTTCACACCAATCAATTGCCTTTCTATCCTTTTATGCCCTCCCTCCTCCCTTTAATTTTTCACACTTCACTAACTGTAAATTAGATAATTTTTGCTTTTTTTTTTAATATGTTTTTTTTTAAGGTTTTAATAAAGTTATCATTTCCAGTAGCAATATCCCATAGCCCTTGCTTTATTATCCCAATTTCCCTCACATATTTTCTGTATATTACCTTCTCATTTCAATCACCGTCAATCTCTTTCTATACAAGTGCGGTTTTCTTTTTCTTATTTATTGATTTTTTATTCTTTTTTTTCAATATCTAAAAACAAAACAAAGCAAAGCAAAGCAATATGCTGGTTACAGATCTTCCGTTCGAGATAATTTCTCTAATCATAGGATACCTCTCCACAAAAGACAGAAATCAATGCTCTATTGTCTGCCAAGCATGGAAATTGCCATCAACAGAGGCCCTCTGGAAACAACTCAACATTAGATCCAAAAAGCAAATCCGTGGACTTTCTTCAATTCAACAGAGCCTTCCTGTACAAACCTTATGTCTCCACCCATTTCTCTCCATAAACCCTCAGCAACTCTTCTGGATCCAGAATCACTTTCCAAAACTGCGTTCCGTTTGTATATCACCAGAAGCTCTTCATCCAGACTGCTTAGATACTACGCTTGCGGATTGGACTCTCTGGAGATCCTTGACCAAGCTTGAATTGTGCACCGACAATCTGCGAGTCCCTAAAGAAACAATCCTATATACACTTTCTGCTCTCTCCTCTCTCACCTCCCTCTCTTGGATTCAGTCCACTGATGGTACATCCTCGCCTCCTTTTGGCTGGAAAGATCTCGAGGCTCTACACACCAATTTACCCCGTTTGGTTACTCTATATTTAAAAGCCAGGATGGATCAACTTTCTGCGGAACAGATTCAGCTTATTAGTCGTAGTCAAAGTTTTAGTCCAGCACGCTGTCTTACTTGTATGACATGGGAGGTCAATACACTCGAACCCCATTGGTTAATCTACTGGGCATACAAGTATCCCAACATTTGCTCACTTCAATGGCTTACAATTGATCATGATACCAAATTTGACTCGGGGACCGAGATTATCACACTTCCCGAAACTCTGCCAAGTTCATTCCAAAAGTTAGGCAATCTCACTTTAGAGGGTGTGTTTTACACACACAGACCACAACATGCTCTGTTTCTACTTCTCCATCGCTCAAATGTCCATCTCAAATCTATCCAGTGCTCTATCTACATCAACCAACGGGGCTCGCAAAAGATTCCGTCTATCCTCAATGACATTATGCAATCCTCTAGTTCTCTCCAATCTCTTAAACTAAACATTCATGGCGATGTTGATGATCCCAATCTTCTGCCCAGCCTGTTTAAAACCTGTCCTAGACTATTGGTATTATCCATTCGTGGAATGCGAATGCACCTTTCCCTGGATCGAATTCTCGACAAATGTGTCTCACTTGAATCTTTGTACATAAACGTATCCCGCCTTCACGTTGAAGCTACAGCTCCGGCACATTCAATCCAAGCCATTGTGCTCACGGCTGGATTTCTCAATTCTTCTGAGCTTACTTTCCTTTCTAAAAGATGTACAGAGCTTAAGACACTGGGTTTGGTGGATCTCATTTTGAGAACTGACGAAGCAACGTCGCACGGCCAGGCATTATCACTTGATCTTTCTTCTCTGCATCTACGCACCTTGTGTGTTAAGAGAGTGATGTTTTACAAGTCAAATGTTGGCACAGACAGACCAAAATTACAAAGGCTAGCCTTAGTTCTGCCACAAACATCTATACTCAACAATGATGAGCGGCCGCAACGGATACCTCACTGTGAAAGAAGTAAAAGTGACTTACAAGACCAAAAAGAATATGTTAAAGTGCAATGTGGATCTGTTCGCCGGCTTCTTTTATAGATAAATACCCTTTCTTTTCTTCACTTTCATATTATTACTATTTGTTAATAAACTTTATTGATACTACTATTAATGACAGTATACTATGAATTTATGGAAACCAAGATATACACTCTAATGCCATACCATCTAGTATAAAATTCATACACCCAAAAGATGCTTCTACGTTTTGTTTGTTCTTTACCTTCAAGGATATATACAAGCATTGTCTATCCTTGTAAGCCGTAGTCGTGTAATAAGAATACATATCATCTATTGTTTTTATTAAAAAAAACAATAATTCCAACAGTGTTCTTTACGGACAACACATTCTGCGAGACAACGCTCAAAACCCGGATCATTAAGACCTGCTTCTTGCCCAAACCTATAGCTGGATGCGTTACAGCCAAAGTTCGATATGATAGAAAGGACATGGATTTGTAGTAATTTTCATAAATTGCTACAAGTTCACATCCTTTCTTATATAAGGTAAAATAATGGCTCTAGTTAAGTATAGAAATATTATGTCAATTATATACTTTTATATATATAGCTTGATACTGCTACCTAACAGTCTGCTATATATAGTAAAATAGCTATATAACATACTACTTTGAAATGTTATACTCTAACATGAAATGCTGGATCCCATCTCGGAAACATCGTGCCCTTAAGATCACTGATCCTTTTAATCAAAATGGTAAATTAAAGGCAGAAAATCAGCTATAGATACACAGTTGTTAAGTAAAGTGCTTTTAGATGTGTAATTAACCTGGTGAATCACATTACAATTTACCATTTAAACGCTGTTTCACACTGATTACTTAAATATTGATCAAAATGTTGATTTTTTTCGATCCAAAAAAAAAACAATATCGAAATTTGGCTCCTGGCCACCTTTACATAATGTTTCTTTTTATTTATCTTTTCGGCGGGAAAAGGTATGACCCAAGAGCTAAGAACACTATGAATAACAATAGATTTTTTTTGAAAGAAGAGTAATTTATATGATTAAGCAGTGCATTATATATATATTCATAAACTCGATAGTATATTTGTATATCTGGGACACGACACTGATGGTATTTTCTATACATCCACACACGGACGATATTAATGATCCGGAGCTTTAAGCAGGGACTACCATAGGACTTTGTCCTTTTTTCAATTAATTTATTGGACCAAATATGTATATTTGTATTATACAATTCCCATATATTTGTATTTTCGATACAAAAATTGTTGGATTTTTCTCTGATAGAAACCGCTGCACCTTTATTTCTTTCTTTTAAGAATCGTTATATGTCTCTTATTTTATCGAGATTTCTAACTCTATAAAATATTATTAAAGCCTCAATACAGTCATATTGTACTTTTTGGCTAAACTTAAACCAATTCCAAAAAAAAAAAATACAGACGAGTGTGGTGATACCTAACACACACACACTCTTTTTTTTTTTTTTGAAAGAACGTCAATCGTCAATTCAACTACTTTAACGGAGTTAAGTTTCCCGAGTTCCTTTTCAGTGAAGAAAACTAAAGTGAATGGAGTCTTCCATCTACTTTATACATCTCTTGCATCCTTTCATCGCTGACGTGTGCCCCTTCAAAAAAAACTGAGAGAAAAAATGCGTGACTATTTTCATATGCATGTGACTACTAGAGCTAAAGACTATAAAAAAAAAGCAAAAAGTAAACAAAAAAGGACACAAAAAAGAGAAAAAGACGAGCGACAACGATGCGAAACCTTATTTACCATCAAAAACTACAATTCTGCTCATGCGAATAGCTCATTAGCTTATATATAACTCTCATCATGTTCTTGCAGAAATGAGTTTGTCAGAACATTGCGCATTAAAGATCAATTCTCTAGTTTTCTCATTCAGCCTGACGTCCGATGTTGATTCGCGCATCCTTTTAACAGCCACTCATGGTAGAAAGCGACAGTTTTTAGGGTAAAAAACAGAAGGCACACGCGTTTAAAAGTTGTTAAACTCTTGAACGTACTTGGTATATATATGTACAGTCGATGTCTGATTGATTTTCTTAAAAATATAATAGAGTTTTGACTGTTACAAGAATAATATCTAAAGCTTTATATATGATACCAAAAAGCGTATATACTTTTTAATAGTGAACAATACAAGATACAGCAAAACACAAGAGAGAGGTCTTTTAAAAAGGCTTGCTTTTATTTTGTAGGATTTAGTAAAGACCTTTAGAAGGAAATCGCTATGCCAAAATATCTGTTTTACACGCTTGATAGCTATTTTATTTCTTGAGCCTCGATCTCTCCAAGTCGTTTGAACGTCGGGGTTTATTATATATTACAGGAAGGTACGTTGGTTTAGGTTAAATTATATAAATTATTCGCAGACCTTCAAAGCACAAAGATCCAAGAGAACACGCATAGGCACGGAATAGATCAGATATTGTAGTAATAGCATTCACAGATCCTCAAAGTATAATTATTTAAAAGCATCTTAAAAATAAAAAGAATTTGTATATGCGATAGTCAGAATAAAAGGATCTATTTTTTATGAGCTTCGAGATCGTATTGTGTGTCAATTGGAGGCTATGATAGTGTTTGGATCGTTCAAAGACTGGTTAGGTTGGTTTATATGATATAAATGCACATTGAACATTATGGAATTTACTGGTGAAATGAAAAATGTAATAAAAAAAGGGAATTGTGATCAAAATGGCAAATCAAATCTTGAAATTCAGCTATAAATCTGGATTGGTTAAGTCAAGCTACTTTGTATATATTAGCAACCTGGTGGAGTACATTAAGATCCATCATTTAGACGTTGTTTGACATTGATTTCTCAAATAATAAGCAAAATATCCCATTTTTTCACTCTAAAAAACAATTTACTAATAAGATTTTGGATATTTACACCACGCAAACATGTTAGATCCAAAATTTCCCTCAGGGTATACACCTAAAAAAAAATCAAAACTTTGTGTTTTTTGCTACTAAGTAAAGGTGTTGACCAAATCGATCCATGATACCCAGTGCTTATTTGACCAAAAACAGATCAATATTAGTGGAGATATCGAGGGATGAAAAATGCCAATTTCGATATTTACACCAGTCAAGGATGCTTGATCCCAAAGTTCCTTCAAGACATACACCTAAAACAAATCAAGCATTTTAGGTTTTTTTTCTATTAGTAAAGCTGTCTATAAAGCTAATTTATGGCGGTCAGTGCTTGTTTGAAAAGTTTCAGACAAATATTCATGGAGATATCGATAGATTTAAAAATGACTCTATTGCTATTTCCACCACCAAAAGGTGTTGTGTAAATGCTCTCACAGTAAATGTGTGATTCGAAAATTTACCTCATTGTGTAATGACAAATCTTGTAATTATTTAGCACAGAGCGTTATCAAGATAATAAACACAGTCAAGAATGGGTATATAGAGAAGAGGTAGAAGCAGGTAGAATATGGCTAGTCTATTACTACTATGGTTTACTTGATCATTTATAGTATAATAGGAGGTCTACTGTCTGATCTTCATTACATATAAATATATTTATGTATTTATATATATATTCCACAAATTATTTGCAGATATTTTTCTTTAAACAACAAAAAGAATGATTGTTCACTTTCGATTTAACCTTTTACATACTCATTATTATAGCACAATGTATATTTTGTATGATAAACTTTGGGCTTTTATAATTTTCACTCAATAGGGCAGAAATAATTTGGAATGTATAATCGTTAAGATATACTAAAGGAAAACATTGAATTGTGTACGTTCAGAATGTTTTTATGATTGAATCTGGCTGGACTGTATAATCAGTCCATGTTATAATGTGTGTAGACGATACAGACAAAACAGTGTTACGTTTGGGCAAAAACATGGACTTCAGAATCTTGGATTTTCCTATTAGTGTAAATAATTCATCATTAATATCACAAATGTTTTATATGTATATCCTAGGCGGTTCATAATTAGTGCATAGCTTACCCATAGTCTCAAAGCTAAAGCAAGGGCCGCGAGCAGCACCATTGTAGCGAAGATCCCTAAAATAAATAAGAGAGAACACAAATATTATCATAATAAGCAAAGGTATATCGTGGATACCATTACATAGAGCAATTTCTTTTCTCTTTCTTTTTATAATTACCAAAAGTGAATTTTTGGTTCTGTTTGGCTACCACACACTATCATGTGGCCGTTTGAATTCCAGTCAGGACTAACATAACGCGATACATTTACTGTTTCTTGGTGACCAAATCTCAATACAACAGGATCTGGTTCACTACAACGCTGATCATACAGAGAAAATTGATCATTCCTAGTGGACAGACTGCAATCATATTTTATGATGTGTTATTATAATGTCTACAACATACAATCATTCTATTTACCTGATTATAAGCAAGTCTGGAGATATAGGACTCTGGATAATATTGTTGACCTATACAGTATATATCCGACAAGTACAAACATAATTACAAGGTTAGTCTATCTTGTGCTTTCATTTTTTCTTTTAAAATAATGATGCCAGTATGTTACTTTATCAGTATACTTATTCTTCCTTACCCTGCTTGGAAATTTGAGTTCTGATATAGTCCTTTGAGCTTGGGCATCAAAGGTAATAAATTTTTCATCGGCTCCCCCAGAAAACAAGCGGTTATGATATTTACTAAAACACAATGTTTGTGGATGGGATGTGTGCTTAATAGGAACATTGTGTGTAGCTTCAAGTTCGAAGTCATCGTTTTCGCCTTCACGCCTCATATCCCAGATGAACTGTTGATTCAAAAATCAGCAAAATGCATTTAACTTTTTTTTTATATCTTACTAAAGACTTATCGTAACTACCAGTAATGAAAGTAGCGCGTTCATAGGCGGAAGTGTTTGCATGGCTAAGATCAATGGGTGATATTACCGAGAATCCCTTTTCGTGAGGAAATTCACTCAGTTTTTGTACTCTTCCATCTACTGAAGTCTAGATAATTAAATAATAATCCGCACAGAAAAGTAAGATATACAATATAATAGATTTTGTAGGTAATAAGTTTCTTACATCGGTGACAGATTTAATGTGAACAAGTGAGACCGTCTCATTATCATCTGGTATAATAAGCTTATCTCTTCGCGGTGCTGGGCAGGTAGCAAGAGTAGAAGGTGTAACCCAGCAGATATCTTCAATCCATGACTGAAAAAATCGATCTTTTTCAAGAGTTTTGATGTTTCTGTAGGCAAATATATCAATAATGATGTTTAAATAAAAACCCATTTTACATAAAAGAATATATATATCTACTACAGCTACAGCTACATCTACTGCTACTGCTACTACTTTACCGTCGTGTAGATGAATCCCTATTTTTCCCGAAGAGCGTTAGAGAAAGAGAGAAAAGAAACCTTTGAGATTTGACCTTCAAACGACGACCATATAGGAAACTTACCAGAACTGAAGGTCACTGTTATTTTTTTAGTGTTAAATTATGCAAGTGTTAGCGAATTGTCTCTTTAAAGATAAATAAATACAGAAACTTTGATTTGTTTTACCCGTCTAGAGAAGTCATAAGCATAAGATTTTCCATAGCATCTGATTCATTTGGACCAGGTTGACCGAACAATATACTTCGAGGTTTTTTGGCTAAGCTAGATCCATCTGATGCTTGGCTACGGCGCAAGTAAAGATCGCATTTATCAGATGCTGCCGGTTCCCATTCCACGGATTCGTATGGTACTGGAGGCGGCTAATGTACGTACACACAAAAGCACAAGGTTTTTTTTATATACATATATATATATACTTAACTACTTTATGCAATGTTAAAAATATGTATTGGCATTATTATTTTACCATTGAGAGCGGAGGCATAATATGCTCCGGAATTGTAGAGTTGGAACGAAGTCGTCTTGGGGACCTGTGTCCTTCGCTTCCTTGCGGTAAAGGTCTTTTGTGTGTAGTAACTGAGGAGGAGGAGGAGGAAGCCTTCGTAGACTGTCGAAGATGTAGGTTTGGAGTTACTTTTGATTGTCTTGGGAGGTGAGCACACGAATGGTTGAGTGCTGGCTGTGGACTAGATGGACCTGCTTCTGCTTGGTAAATTAATGGTTGTTGTGCATGAGCTGCATGGTCTACCATTAATCTAGTAACACGTGCAATCTGTCGACTGGTTTTTTGAATTTCTTTATTCAACGTTTTAGCCTTTTCAATGTATGTAAACTGTTTTGTTTGTTGCCTCTGGAGCTATAAAGACAGTGAAAAAAGATTTAGAATTACAGTATATACTTGAATATATTATTTTCTTAAGTACTTTGAGCAATAAATCTTGCAATTCTCCTTGACATGATGTAGGAGGGGTACCAGAAACCATGTCCGTAGAAATTGAATTGGTCACAATGGATGTATCTTCTTGATCACTTTCTGAGGAAGAAGTGGAATCTTCAACAGGGTCTTGGTCATGCGTTGGATCGTCTATCCTGGCAGAAGTGGATGCAACGGTTGTGGGACGATCTCAAAATATTATTTGCTTTTAATAAAATATTTTTTTGTTGTTGTATTATATTTATTGTTCTCACTAGTTTGACTATGGCTGGTCCCTGGTCTCAAGGACGACGCAGAGAAAAGTGATCGTGGGAGCATAGTTGAAGGACAAAGAGCTACGGGTCACGCAGAGAGAAAAGTTGTTCTTGCTTCCTCAGTTTAAATATCACTGCTATTAAAAATAAAATGAATTCGTAAGTTCGAAAATATCGCAGTTTCACGCCGGACCCGACGAATTTTCCCAAGCCCGGCACAGGACTGATATAAAAACAGATTTCTATTATATAACTTTATTTTACTATATTTCATTTTATGTGCATTCATACTTTTTATTCCCAATGATCATTAACAGACGTACTACCTTTAAAACACACCTTAGATCCCGGAATATCTTGCAAAAATCTCTTACTAAAATCACATTTTTTTTTACCATACTGTAATCTCCTTGATTCTAAAGTGGAATTTTTATTAAGCACTATTCTTTCTTGCTTTTGTATATTTATATATAGATACGTTTCAATTTCATTTTTTTTTGCTATTATTGTGGTTCAAAAATAGTCACACTTTTAAAAATACACCCCTAAACACGCATTTTTTTTCATAGTAATAGCTCTCTGTCAATCAATATATATTCTTACATAACACATTCGTATGCAAAATCCTGTATTTAGAGACCATTAATTATATATTTTGACCGTGAATTGAAACCTGTATTCATATAAAAGAAAAAAGTATTATAAAGGAAAACGTGAAACTTAATAACTTGTCAGAAAGCCATGAGAACAAAGATCGATATGACCAGATTCACAGAACAATATTCTTTTACATTTGACGACGCTTTTCATTGCACGTCTACAAATGAACAGGTAGAAAAGACTGACAACAGGGTCTAACTATCAACAATAGATCTCACTATGGCTAAAAAAAAAGTAGCAACATGTTGCCATTTTTTTACATAATAAAGAATGGCGGTTATGAGCCTGTATAGCGCGATTAAAGGCACAGTTCTCACTTTTTTTTAAACCAGAAAAAAACTAAGGTTCATTTTATCATGACATTGCCCTTTTATTTTAGAAAGACATGAGAAAATATTCTACTTCTATAGTACATTATGAATCAAATAAACAAAATATTAATGTAGTTTTTTTCATACATTTATAAAATAATAATAAATATATTGGGCTAGTAAACTAAGGAGGTATTGGATCTCAAGCATCATCTAAAAGCCTTGTTCTTTCATTGAATTCATTATAAAATGTCTCACGTGAAGGATTGTCGCTCGCTTGATTTGATAGGTGTACAAATGGAGCGTCCGATCGGCTGTCTTCTTGGATGGAAGCTACCAAAAGCTGAATTTCTTCGATAAACTGTCTCAAAGCGCGTTCTTCAGTGTGCCCAAATACAAAACCGACAACCACACAGATTGTAGCGATAACAGCAGAGATAATCATCACAAGACTGCTTGCCAAACTCCCAAGCAAGAATTTAAGCTGACTCTCGTCTTTTGGAGCAATCCAATCTGGTAAGACTGCCACGGTAGAAACACAGAGAAACAGCAACATAATTAGTGCAACACCAAACAATAAGAGAAGTCTGTACGCTGTCTTTCGTGTGGCGACTTGGTCTCGACGAAGCAAAGTCAGAACAGCTTGAGCAATTGAGAGAGGAAAGGTGGTGAAAGAAGGATTGGATAATTGAACGGCTGACGGACTTGTCGAATTAACTTGCGTAGGCTGTGAATTGATTGAGAAGGTTGCTTGTACTGCAAAATGATCTGAGTAGCACATTTGAGTACCAGGAATATAGTCTGTCATGGCCACCACAGATCCAGTGCATGTAATTTGAGAAGTACGCCGGTAGAAAATATAGTCAAGACGGTCACCGACTTGTTTGGAGTGAGGTTGTTGTTTAAGAAAATGCTTAGACCAAGTGTTTGCAGGAGAATCGCAAGTTATTCCAAGATGTTGAATACATTCGTGAGGGCTACGATGGCCTGGATCAAGTCCAGTCTGTGAAAGTCTCTCGCTGTGTGCTTCGAGCCAAGCATCAGTCATGAATGCATGCTTTTTAAGCAATGCATAGTTGTAACTTGTAGGAATGCTATTAAAGTCACCAGTCTATTAAGTAAGAGAGAAAGAATAAATTTCATACGATTCTGTATAATAGTCGATGGATATAATTACAGCAATAACTTGTCTTCCTTGGGCAGCAGATGCTCTCAAAAGGTTGGACAACTCCCAGGATTCGGTTACACGATGACCTTCGTATTCATCGACATCTCCGTACCCTGCATGAAGCTACGACACAACAGATTAAAGAAGGGTGTTTAATATATTCAATCATTTGAATGATGTGATATAAGAAAAACTGTAGAAATATTGGCTTACATGAGTAGTAAACACTTCGATGATCCCAATATCCGGATGATTTATACATGCTGATGCACATCCTTTGCCTACATAGTAATCACCATGGAATATTTTGAGTGGTCGACCTGCCAAGGTGTATCGAAAGTAGGAGGTCGAAACAATTGGGAACCGAGAAAGGATAGCCAAACCGCTACCGAGGGCACCACTACACAGACCCACACACAATTATTTATAATAATGTTCTTTCTTGTCCTTTATACGACAAGCTTGCTTCCGATATGTGTCTCTTTGTTCTTTTCTTATTGTAGAATACCTGTAATAATAATTGGAGAATGGCAAAACATTCTCGACTTTGGATTTCAAATATTCAAAATCTTCTAGCATCCAAATCTCTTGCAACGTAACAATGTCATGATTCTCATTACTCAATGCATCTGCAATTGCTCTTAATCGTGTCTTTCGCTGCTTAGCAATAAAATAAAGTCCCCTATTTTCGAGATGAGTTACTAGTCTATCTGAAAATGAAACAAGTATGAAATAAAGAAAGAGAAAGGATACTTTCAATAAAGTATATTACCAGCAGTTTAATGTCAAAACTGACAAATCGTTTATGCTCATGACAAGAATTATCTCTGCATAAACTCTAGACTATTTTTTTTTCTTTTTTTCTTTTCTTTTTTAAAATACCGAAAGGTATAAAAAGATATTTAGAGAGCCAGGTGGAGAGAAGAGTAGTGAGATGAGCTCGAATCGTTTCTGGACCGGTGTCTTTGGACCTCTTGTGTTCCTAGATGGTAATGTAAATCAAGCCCAATACGTGAACACTTTGACTCAGGACTTCTTCTCTTAGTTTCATAAAACAATTACGGAAAAATAACAGGAACTTTGTGTTCCAAGAAAACAATGTTAGTCTGCCATACTAGGTCATATTTGAGGTTGTGGAAATACAGTCATGAAATCCAGGGCTTTGGCTAGTAGCCAGCTCGAAGCCCGGATCTCAACCCCATTGAACATCTTTGGCGGGCTCTCGAGAAAAGTATAATTATTGATAGGGCAAATATCAACAACGTTTGTGATGTAAAAGTTGGAATGCAACGAGAGTATAAAATAATAGGTGTCGAACTTGGATTAACTTTGGCAGGTAGTATGCAACATCAATGCTAGGCTGTAATTGAGGCCAAATGAGGTCATACCAAGTAATGCTTATACATATATCTCAATAATAAACATACGTGTCATCCTATATTTGAAGTTTGAAAGTTTTATATATTATTACTGATAAGCAGCTGCATATTGAATATATGTCTTGCTTTTTCTCGTGTGTTTTTTTTTGCGTTGGAGGTTAAAACGTTTTTGACTGTGATTGTATGCATGTGTGTGTATTGCATGTATTATTATAACTAGGTTTCAAAGTTGAAAAGATATCTTTAATCTCAAGGTGCCTGATATGAAATTTTATCAAAACTACCATTATGTTTGAAATCAATTAATTGTGGGCAAAAATATAACGAAAGTATGCATCCCAAATTTCACTAATTGTGAAACCCAAGATAACACAAATGCAATATGTAGGAGTTTGGGAGACGAAGGATTCGAGGTAGATATGGCGGATAGAAGGTAGGAGCATTTCAATAGTTCTGGAGCTTCGAGAAATTGGGTGCTTCTATGGTGTAAATCATCCTATCTTATTTTCTAAGCAGGCCTAGATAAAGTTTTTGGCCGTTTTCTAATGGCCTACACAAAAATATCGCTGATCAATATCCCCAATTTGGCGGTTGAAAAGCAGGATGCGACCACGAAATCCTTTTATGTATTAGCTTCCATAAGATAGCGTATACCTTATGTGAAATAAGAGTGTTACAAAGACAGGGACATTTTGGTGGAGTGGTTAAGACTAACTGGTTAGTCTCACTGTCCATATCAGGAGGTCATAGTGTCAAATTGCTTTGGGTGTTAGCCTTCCAACCTGTGAAATATCGGGAACAGCCGAAAAAAATAAGACCTGCGAAGTGGTGTGTGGAGGTGGTGGGCAAGGATGCTAATGCTAGCTCCTCATATTAAGGTGGTGAGACCAAGAAAAGGAGGAAATATCGGGATTATGAGCCTCTCCGTGACCAAGTAAATCTATATGTGTGTGTGCATGTTGATGTGGGCAAGTGTCTAGTGTCCAACCACTTACATTGTGGTAGGAGTTGCACAAAAAAACCATGTTATATATATATATATATTATGTTTGAATCTCAAAGCCAATTATTCTTTCCAACTTCTTTTTCTTTCTCTCATGACCTTCTCCATGTCAACTCATGCATGTCTAGAAGATCTCGCCGAACTCGAAAAACTTAGACTTTTAGCCTGTAGACCAGCTAATATTGCAGCAATCGAGAATTTGATAGCAAAGTCTCGTCAGTTGTTGGAAGACACCAAAGACGATTTTGAGCCTGTGTCAACTCTTCCGGTTCAAACAGCATCTACTCCAATTGTTCAGCCAGTTGAAAAATCATTGGAGCTATCTATTAGCCCAAGAGTACCTTCCGCTCCTATAAGGGAGCCCATTGGACGTGCAAAGGTATAAATAATAACAGAATAAAAAGTTTCGCTCTAAACCAATTTTCAACTTTCTTTTGTACATTTTTTTAGGCAAAAACACAGACAATTTTCATTACTTCTGGATATGGTTGGACTCAATCAGACACCTATGTCACGTAAGAACCGTTTTTGTTTTTATTTTTATTTTTTTTAAAAAAATGATGTTCTTGTAATAGTATATTAAACAAGCCAAATTTATCAGAGTCTACCTGGAGATTTCTGATGCGCACCAGATTACACTTGACCAATGTGTTCTTGATGTCCAGCCAAAGAGCGTTCAGCTGGACATTGTAAGTCCTAAAATGGAAAAATTCTGGTGACATCCATTTCATTGTTCATCGTTGGGTCTTTTGTGTGTATGTGGCTGTAGCGCGAACACAAAGGTGCCAATTACAATTTCAGAATTGCTCGACTTCATGGCCAGATCGATCCCTCACAATGCAAGATCAAGGTATATATATATATATACATATTCATTTTTTTTCAAATGAATTTTCTTGACAGTACAAGTATTTAACTATGCCCTTTACAATTAAAGATCAAGGCTACCAAGATTGTTCTCTTTCTTCGAAAACAAGATTTCGGCAAGGAATGGACTGATTTACGCTTAAAGAACACACGCGATATGTACAACCAGCTACAGCGTGCAGAAGAAAAAGGCAAGTAGGACAAAATATATTTCTTTCCCAAATGACTCGTAGCTACACACACAAGAATCTTACCGCGCCGATTAATGAACATGTACTAGGAGACGGACCTACCGTGTACGGCGAGGCTATCCAGAACATGATGAAGACCATGTTTAGCGGCAGTGAACCGTTTGCAGGAAAACCCTCCTTTAAAAACAATCTTAATCCCTTTGAAGCCCCGGGTGATAATTGTACCAACCCCCAAGCCTGCAAACACAAATAGTATACCAATAGATAATCCATTTGACAGTTTCACTTTAATCACAATATTATATCCATCGATTTATTTATCCTAATTCAATCTTGGTCTTGGTCCTGGTCCTGGTCCTAATGTTAGTTTTGTTTGGGAAGAATCAGTGACAAGAGGGATGTAATATTAACTGGATCGGATGGTTGATTTGCGCTTCTTCAGCTTATAAAGCATTGCATATAGAGCCAGTAATAATATTGTAGGAGTAGTCTTTGTGTCCCTCTCAAGGGGTGGACATTATATTAGGGTGGACAGAATATATATTTTTCTGTTATTTTTAAACAACCTTATTTTGGCCACAAGATTTTTCAAGCGTAATCTATAGAGAACACAACTGACCACTGTATACACAATAAAGGATATTTATATATAATTGTAAAGTTCTTTGAATATATTGTCAATATAATTGATTTCAAATTTTGCATATATTATACGATATACTTAACTTTACTCTTACTCTCGAGAGTAAGATTAATGTCAATGTCAAAATCTCAATACATCATTACAAAGATGTCGAATATGCCAGAATGATTTATAACAAATAACCCTTTATTTATTTTTTTCAAGAGCCTCTATCTCATATTTTCTTATAGGCCAGTTTTCCAATATATTTATTTGGTGCCAAAAGGATTGACATAATAATAAGTAGCAGGAGTTTATTTGTCAAAGAACAAGCAAACCCACATGATTACGAATTACGCAAGTTGCAATTTTCTTGGTTACAGAACATCCACCAAACTGGGTCATTCCAACCCTGTTCACAACAAGGTTAACAAACACAACTCGAGTAACACACACATAAACATACACACAAAGTAACATATTCTACACTTTTCATTAAAGACCTCTTTCCTTTTTTTTGAATTCTTTGTTTATTGTTAATAGCTCAATAAGATTTATGGTACAATCATGATAAGGACATGATAACGGTTAGTTCTGAAATGAATATAATTGTAGTATGGATGGAGGGAGAAAAGATAGAGGGGGAAAAAGGGAAAAAAAACAATGTGGATGTTGTATGGATGGGTGTATTTTGTTGATTGATGAATATAATTTAACTTGATTTAATTTAATTTTCTTTTGCTTTTTTTTTACTTCTTGTCGGCGTAGGCAGCCTCGTGAGCCTTCTGGGCACGACCAGAGGGATCTTCGGGGCAGCCCCAATCAGCTCTGGGGATCCATCTGACGACACTGGCAGTGCAGGCTTCTTGAGGGAACCATTGCTCGAACAAGACGCGGTACATGTATGCCTCCTTAGTGGTGGGAGTGTCCTTGGACCAGCGAGCGCTGGCGCCGGCGAACTCTTCGTCAGATACCTTTGTCAAACTGGTCTCCTTGAGGGCATCGATCCAGCCGTAGCCAACACCATCGGAGAACTGCTCCTTCTGTCTCCACAAGATGTTGTGGGGCAAGTAAGGCTTGGCAGAGGGATCGTCAGAAGTATCGAATGCCTTGCGGAGGATGTACTTCTCAGCACGGCCCTCGGCACGGTTGGGCATCTTGTCCTCAGGACGGATGTTCATGGCAGTCTCGAGGAAAGCCTTGTCAAGGAAAGGAACACGAGCCTCAAGACCCCAGGCGAGGGTGGACTTGTTGGCACGGAGACAGTCAGATGTGTGGAGGTTCTTGACACGGGTAACGGTCTCGGCCTGGAAGGAGGCAGCATCAGGAGCCTGGTGGAAGTAGAGGTAACCACCAAAGATCTCATCAGCACCCTCACCAGAGAGAACCATCTTGACACCCATAGCCTTGACCTTGCGAGACAAGAGGTACATGGGGGTAGAGGCACGGATGGTAGTGACATCGTAGGTCTCGAGGTGGTAGATGACATCGCTCACGGCATCAAGGGCTTCCTGGATAGTGAAGGTGAATTCGTGATGAATGGTGTTGAGGTACTTGGCGACTTCGCGAGCAGCAACCAAATCGGGAGATCCGGGAAGACCGACAGAGAAGGAGTGGAGACGGGGCCAGAGAGCAGGGCCGCTCTCGTCGTAGCTGTCATCACCGTTCTCGGCGCTAACACCACCAGCAGCAATCTTCTCAGTCTCTCTGGCAGCAATGGCAGCAATCAAACTGGAGTCAAGACCACCAGACAAGAGGACACCGTAAGGAACCTCAGCCATGAGTCTCTTGCGGACAGCCTTCTCGAGGCTCTCTCTCAAGACAGAGTAATCGACAGGGTTGGTTGTCATGCGACCTTCGGGCCACCAGGTGGGGTTGAAGTAACGGGTGGTCTTGCCGGTCTCGGAATCGTAGATGTGGCCGGGAGGGAAGGCGAGGATCTTGTCGCAGTCCTCGTTGAGGGACTTGAGCTCAGATGCAAAGTAAGTGGTACCGGGCATCTTGGAGTTCCAGCCATAGTAAAGAGTGGTGATACCGATAGGGTCACGGGCAGCGATGACACGGTTGCGCTTGACGTCCAAGAGAACAAAGGCATACATACCATCGAGGTGGTGGACAAGTTCGGTGTCCTTCTCCTTGTACTAATAAAATGAGAGTAAAAAATTAATATGGTTTAATATAATACAATGAGACTGATGATTTAACAAATGTGGCTTACCATGTGCATAATGACTTCGCAGTCAGAGTGGGTCATGAAGGTGTGCTTGTCCTTAAGCTCATGTCTGAGCTGCTTGTGGTTGTAGATCTCACCGTTGACAGTGAGGACGATGTTCTGATCTTCGCTGATCAAAGGCTGGGCACCAGAATCTGTGGAACATGCATTAGACAAAAGAACACAAGAAACTCAAAATAATATAGCATTAGACTTACCGACACCAACGATAGCAAGACGCTCGTGGCAGAAGATGCTGTTGTTAGCGCAGAAGCAACCAGACCAATCGGGACCACGGTGTCTGACCCTATTTAAGAGAAGGTTTCGATGTTTAGTAATCAACCAGAGAGGTAAACAAAAGACAAGATTTAAAGAAAAAAGATCATGTTGCCAAACTCACTTCTTGGAAAGGTAGAGGGCACGCTGGCGGTAGGCTTCGAGGTCGCCCTGGTAGTTGTGAACGGCAAAGATTCCACACATTATTAGGGGAGAAGGAGAAAGGAAGTAATGAGTTGGAGAGTAGAAAAAAAAATGTTACAAGTTGGGTCTGGTTTTATAGGACCATGCAAAAGTTTTTTTTTTTCGGGTAAAGAGTTGGCGCCATCTGAAAACAAGACTGATTAGGTTTCATTGACCTTTGAAGAGCCTCTTTTTCATAAATGTTTTTTTTATTATCATTATTATTATTATTAAACTTTGACTTTGTATATGCCCACACACACACACAGTGTTAATTAATTCATTAACTGGGTGTTTTTAAAGACCTTCACCTATGTAAAAACATCAGTTACTGTTAAGTTTCTTGGCTTTATTATAGTGTGTATGGCTTTCTAAAACAATAAACAATAGGTAGGTTACTTGGTATTCCAGGTCAAACAATTCCACTATTCTTTGTGTCTGTGTTTTTAAGAAATGTAAATTAGTGGGGCAGAATCAAATGGCGACAACCGTGAAAGCTAAGCTTGCCCATAGTGACTCACCAGCTACTTTCCATAATGGGACTTTTTATATCGTAGAGTTCCCGGTGGGTGTCAATAGATTTGATTATCCGATGTATAGAGAAATTGGACCTTTGTGGCTGCAATCATTGGTCGATCATTTACAAGACTTGCTATCTCATATCTCTGCATTAAACACAGCCGAGTACCATAAAAAGAAAGGGGTTTTTATCTTTATCTATTTTTCTTTATCAGTAATAAAGTGTTGTACACTAAGATTACAGCAAAATCATTGTACAAAAAACTTACATGATAATCTTGGACCTAAAACACTAGGTTACCAATCTTTTACTTCTTTTTTGTTTTTCCACTCACCATCCTCTCTGTTTTCCTATCGGAGAAAGATGCTTGTTTCAATTCATTGGTTTGATGTGTTTTAAACATCAGTTGCGGGGTAAGGAAAAGATGAAGACGAAGACGAAGAAGAAGAAACCAATAAAGATCAAATAAATGGGCCTTGATTTTCAAGGTCTTTTTGATTCCATTGAATAGACAGGCCTTAATTTGTATTTATTTGTATTATAAATTATTTTATTTTATGTTTTATAATCTGTTTCTAATTACAAGAACAGCCTTTATTATTATTTTGAAGACTTTCATCATCTTTGATACCAAAACTAATATATACATATATACCTTTTCTATGTACTATAATGATAAATATTACTGTGATTTTAGTAATAAGGAACCTGAACTTCATTATAATTTATTTATTTTTTAAAAAAAAGGGGAAAGCAGCCGAAGCGGGTGTTACAGAACAAATGGAAGCTGTGGTAGAGTCTTTGAACTAGACGGAAATCGGATTCAAATACATTTTCCATGGTTATTTTTTGTTTTATTTTCTTCTTCTATTCTTCTATTCATTCATTTAGTTATATCCTTTCTCAATTGAAACGTTATATAGTGTACATTTATATCGAAAGTACTAAATGTATTGGTCGAATTGACATTTCAACTAAATAAATAAAAATACTAAGAAAAAGAAAGAGCGATTTATCATCAACTGCACAATAGCTGTCTTATGGAGTACCTCTGTATCGCTTCTATTTATATAATCACAAAGACATTCTTCAGCATCCCACTATCATTTGATGCTATGAATAATAATAACTTGTCGGCTTATTTTCCAATGGCCTGTCAATTGGCATTCTCAGGGTAAAACCATAGACTTATCAACCAAGAAATGAAAGGTGAGTAAAGAAAGAATGACAAATGACAAATACACAATACCCAATACACATACGCAAATTATTACTATTACTTTCAAGCCTCTATTGTCTTTAATTCACACCCTTTATTATTATTACTACTACTATTGCCATTCTTTTCTTTTTCTTTTCTTGTTTCATCTATACTCAAAACTCATCTATGCTTTACCCAGTCGTCACATTTGCCCTCGCTTGTCTTGTTCTTGCTGAGGCTGCACCGGCTCATCACAGCACTTTAGCATCGAGTGCATCTGCAGCATCTACACTAGTACCTGATGCCAATAGCCATACTGACACCTTAATTCCTTGGTCTACTATTGATAGTATTATCATAGAAGACATTCCTATTGTCCCTATGCAAGAGATAGATCCCGCAATTTTTGTCCCAAATCACGCCGTAGATCGTGTCTTGTACAGACACCAAAGAATCAACAAGATCCAAGGAACCCCCATTTCAGAGCCATCGCATCAAAGAGTTTCGGATTACATTACCAATCCAGAGATCATGGTACCCGTTCCAGAATACTTGATCGAAAAACGAGTTGGTACTGCTGAAATAAAATCTGCCGATTCACAAGAAAAACACAAAACTTCGATAAAAAGTATGGTCGCAGGTCTATTTGATGACATTCTTGAAGATGAAGAAGATGAACTTTTAGAGGAACTCGAAAAAGACCACGATCACACCAGGATTTTTGTGGGAATGGACGACAAGGGTAACAGGAATAGAGTCAGGGTACCAGTGCCAGACTTTTTTGATGAAGATGAAGATGAAGATCGCTATGAATATGAATACGAATACGAATATCGAGATCAAGATCAAAATGCAGACCAGGAAAGAGTCAAAGATCAAGACAAAGACTTTGGCAGATCATTTGTTAGAGTAAATGACGGAAGTTCAGCCAAGATCAATCAGTCAAAGACCAGCGGAAACGGCCATCGTGTGGAACACACAGTATATGTGTCTAATAAAGGTGGATCCAAAGCAGGTCAGGACACTGTATTATCCATGAATGATCGGGGACAGGTCATTAGAATGACAATCCCGCATGGCGATACTGTGCGTGATATAGTAAAAACATCGGATATGCCTTTGATAGATGTTATGGATGACATCAACGGCAATGTGCTTCTCTTCTAAGACTTTCTTTAATAATTGTTATTATAATAATAAAAACAGAGATTTATTTTATATATATATATATATATACATCTTTCCTAGGATATTATTATTTTTTTCTCACTAAGAAGAATGATCTTGTGCACTACTCTGTGCTTGTAACTAGTATTTTTATTTCTTTAATTTGACTGGTTATATTTCTGCTCAAAGTATTGAGTGCAAGACTCTTCTTCTTCCTTTTTGTGCCAATAAGATAAAGAAACTTTTAAATCGTTACACTGGTTAAAATTCTTTCACCTCGTAGAATATAAACAGCGCTATTAATGTGTACCCAATTAAAGAACAGGCGTGGGATATCTTTATTTTTTGTTTTTTCCTTCACTCTTCTCTTTGCTTAACCCAACGTGATGACGACCATGAAGAGTAAGGCGGTCGATCGCCCGGAATCTTCGACCGAACCAGCCAAGACAGAGCAAGAATTGAACCCAAAAACAACACGCTATGAATTTCTCGGTCCTTTGGGTGCTTTGGGAATGACTACTGTATTGCCTGTTCTAGTCCTATTCTTTGCTGTTGGTTGTGATAGCACCGGCTACCCTTCTAAACTCTTACTGCATGACCACAAGGCCTTCTTTGCAAAGATGATGACACCTGAATATCTCGGCCAGTTATACGACCCCATGGCTTTTGGCGTGTACGTTGCCTTTGTAGCCTTGTTGGCTATTTTCTCTCTTGTGCTTCCAGGTGATGTTTGGCCTGGATCACAGTTGAGAGACGGCACACACCTCAAATACAAAATGAATGGTAGGTTATTCACGAAAGAATAATAAGAGTAATTACAAGTCAAAGCAACCCCAAGAGGGAAAAGATCAAGGACACTAGCATTTATCTTTTATAATGAATTTTTTTTTAAAAAAAGGTTTCGCTTCTCTTCACACCACATTTTTCTGTGGCCTGTACTTTATCAAGGATCTCGGATTGAAACCTCTTCTTTTTGTGCATGACCATTGGGTTGGGCTGGTTGTGTCTTCAATCATCTTTAGCTACCTTGTTTCAATTTTTGTCTACTTTAAAAGCTTTAAGAAAGGAGCTTTGTTGGCTTTGGGTGGAAACACTGGGAATTTCATTTACGATGTAAGTTGGATCCCATTTAGTTAGTTTTTAAAATATAAATATGAAAGAAAGGATGTTTTATTTATCATTATTTACTTTTTTTTAAAAATAATAATAATAATAATTTTATATGTACTTTAGTTTATGATTGGAAGAGAGCTGAACCCTCGTATCGGCGAATTCGATATCAAGTTTTTTACAGAGTTGCGCCCTGGTATGATCGGGTGGGCAGTGATCAACCTGTCCTTTGCCGCAAAGCAGTACCTTGATCTTCACTACATCACGAAATCTATGGTATTGGTCCAGGTTTTCCAGATGTGGTATATTGTCGATTCTTTGTGGAACGAGGAAGCCGTCTTGACTACAATGGACATCACTACAGGTGAGAATTTGTTAATATTTATCAGCAAATGCATATATATAATCATGGTTTAAATTGTTCGACTTTGCGTGTGTGTGTAATTAGATGGCTTTGGCTTTATGCTTGCATTTGGTTTATACACATGGGTCCCATTCACATACTCTCTCCAGGCCCGCTATCTGGCCGACTTCCCTACCGATATTAGCTATTACACTGCTGCGGGTATTGTTGCTCTCAACTTGATTGGATACACCATATTTAGAAGTGCCAACTCCCAAAAGAATGCTTTCCGTATCAACCCAGTTGGACCATCTGTGAAGCGTAAGTTTCTAGTTGATACCATTTCAACATGATTATATATTAAATTTCTAGAAAAAAAAAGTCTAATGTATCAACTGTGTGTATATATACAAATTAAATTTACAGATCTCAAGTTTATTGAGACCAAGAGTGGCAGCAGACTTATTACTTCTGGATGGTGGGGGATGTCTCGCCACATTAATTACCTTGGTGACTGGCTCATGGCATTGTCTTGGTGCTTGCCTTGTTGCTTTGGATCCCCAATTCCTTACTTTTATGCATTTTACTTTGGAATCCTCTTGCTGCATCGTGAGAGAAGAGATGACCACAAATGCCGTACCAAGTATGGAGAAGACTGGGACAAGTATTGCAGCATTGTCAAGTATAGAATCATACCAGGTAGGTTGTCCGATCTTGCGAGTGTCTACTTTATCTATGTACTAATGATCTGCGCATTTTCTTTATTATTATTATTATTATTATATTTCAGGTGTCTACTAAGATCTCTTCAAAAGAGACGCTACAAAATTTATTCCTCATTAGTATTTATACATCTTTTTTTTTAAAGAAAAGAAAAATTAATTAATCAAATAATCAATTAATAAATAATAAATAATATTTATAAAGAGTAGTGACATATGAAGATGTATATATCGATATATAAGCCTAGCCTTGATATTTATATATTTCAAATGTAATTTACCAAATCATTATATTTAATAGTAAATGGATGAATAAATATAGGGGAACGGTACGGGCAAGCTGGATTTATGCTGACCGGACAAGCTAGAAAGTCAAAACTGAAAATGTATACAACGTCACTGAAAAATTGGTTTGCATGTTACACGCATGTTTTTTGGGGGAGGAGATCAGATAAATTATTCTTCAGATTGCCAATAAAATCATTGCCCTTTTTTTTTACTACATCATCAGCGCATAATTTTTTTGACATTTAACATGAGCAACATCAACAACATCAAAAACACCAATGAGCTTGTCATTGTTAGCGAGTCGTCGAAGAAGTACGATGCTGCCTTGACTGAGTTCAACTCAATATTTCTTGTTGGAAGAGAATTCTCTTCGGTTGTAGCTGTTAGAGAAGCTGCTAGGGCATATGGCGCCAAACATAACATTGCTCTCACCACTGCGTATTCATCAAGCTCTCGCATTAAGCTAATCTGTAAGCACTCTGGTTAATACAGAGACACCAGAAAGGCCGAGAAAGCTGCTCAAGTATCGGTTAATGGAGAAAGCCCTCTTCCCGGATGGGAAAGAAAGCGCGAGAAGGATACACAAAAGCACGATTGTCCATGATTTCTGTATGCCTCCACCAAGAAAGGAGAAAATCTTGCTGTGCACTCCCGTGAGGCACAGCATAATAATCCAATCGAAGAAGACCGCAGGGCTTACGCCATGCACCGTAAACTGTCACCCGAGGCGATGGATATCGTATCTAAGCACCTGGAGGAGAACGATGATGTATCCACTATCTTTAATAACCTAAAGAGAAGTGGATACACCAATATTATTCGCCAGGACATTGCCAATATTAAGAAACATTTTGGAAAGTCTGGTGAGGGTAGAGAGATGTTCGAATTCATCGCCACATCAAAGATCTCGACTTCCACGTGAGATATACCGTTGGTAATACTGAAGACAACAACGTCAACATGGTCTTCTTTGTCCACAAAGACGCAATTGAGGAAACAAGAAGAATGCCCGAGACTGTCATAATCGACGCAACATACAAGACAAATAGTCATAGGATGACATTTGTCAACATTATTGGAGCTAGTAATGTGACCAGTAATGTGACTGGAACCCCACGTACTACGTTAAAGTCCTTCCCAATTGCTGGTGCTTGGGTAGAACACGAGACAGTTGACAAGTATCTCTGGGTACTTCTCTGTCTGCGGGATACAGTATGGTCTGACATTGAAGATGACAACAACAACAACAACAACAACAACAACAACAACAACAACAACAACAACAACAACCCTCTTCTTTCAAGTGTATTCATCACTGACAACGAGCAGGCATTGAGAAATTCAATTACTCATGCTTTCCCTGAGTCGAAACAAATTCTGTGCTATAAGCACATAAAAGACAACTTCAGAAAACAGCTTTTGCTAGTAATGAAAGAAGATGAAAACGGAGAAAAGAGAAGTGTCTTGGAGAAGTTGTCTGGCTACCTAGACAGAATTGCTTTGGAGTGCGTGACTGAGGAAGATATGAAGAAAGAAATAGACGGATACCTTAGTTTTGCAAAAGAAAATTGTGTAGACAAAGGAAAGAGTGCCAACAATTTCCTGGAAAGGTATATATAGAACTTTTATATTAAAAAAAGAGTATGTTAAATATAACAGATTGTTTTTTATATTATTTTCAGAAAAATGAAAGATAAAGAAAACTGGGTAAACATTTATGTTTACAAATACCCTCATTTTGGGAATCGCACATCCAATCGTGCAGAGAGTGCCCATGCTTCTCTTAAACATTCTCTTGGAACTTCCTCCGGAAAACTTAATACTGTTACTCTCAAAGTAAATAAGTGGTATGAAGAGTTGGTAAGCTTACTTTACATTATTTTATGTATTTATTGTTTAAGCTCTGACATTAATTCTTTCAATAATGCATTTTTAAATTTTATAGATTGCTTATCATAAGCATAGACTAATGGTCGAGTGTCTTGGAGAGAGCACAACAATTGTGTTTGACAAAACCAATGCTGCCAGACTAGATGACATTCGTCTTAAAATTGGTCGGTATGCAATGGATCAAATTAAACTACAACTGTCAAAATCTATTATACCCGAAAAAAAAAACACAGAGTGAAAATGCCTCATCACACACAACTACTTGCTTCCGTGCTATCACCAACTTGCCAAATTTGATATCATTCCTATTTCCTGTATCCCAAGGCGCTGGAGAAGAGAATACTTGAAAGGAGAAGGTAATATAAGAAGTTTAGCTTTTAAATGTATGATATGCTTATATATTTTTGCTATTACATATAGACCATACAAAAATCAAAAATGCAGTATCAATTCCCGAAGACATCAATACCATAACAACAATAACCCCTGAACTTGCCCACGATCTTCTGCAACTCTGTGAAGGTTTCAACAACTCACAGAGTAAACAACTACAAATTGATATTCAACTATCAATCAAAAAAATGGTAACTCAAATCAACCAGCAGTAACTCGAGGACCTCGACAGTCCAAAAATAGTGGAAGCAACCAAGGGTCGACCCAAAAGCACAAAGCGCAAGATGATTGCATTAGAGCACTGCATCGAAAACGAAAAAGAAAAAGCTACAAAAAAATAAAACCGAAAAAGAACAAAAAAGTAAGTCGTCTTTTAAAGCACATTAGATAGCTTGTTAACAGAGTCAATTAAGCTTATACTTCGACTTAGGCGTATCGGAGTATATAGTTTTCTTATATCGACTTCAACTTCCTTTTTTGATAAGCCTAAGCTCTACTTCGACTTAATCTAGTCGAATAGCGAGAACCTTATCCTACAAATTTATGAAGACATATATAATAGTTAACTTTCGATGCTTCTTGCGTAAAATCTATTAAAGACCCTTAGATAACGTATATTAAAATAACAGTGTGAAATATTAATTAATTCTCTCGAAAAGTCATTATGTTTGTCATGTAATAAAATAATAACATAACATTCCAAGTCTTGGGTATAAAACTCATAATAAATCAACTTTTTTCTATTTCATACATCAACTTTTTTTTACAAATCACAATCTTTATTACTGTCATACATTTATAAATATCTAACCAACTATGGTACCAAATAAATCAAACAGAACTACAAGAAGAAACAGAAAGAACTTGGTCATTCACCAGTACATACCGTCACCTCCAAGTACAAAAGATCAAGAAGGTGAGAAATTTGTCCCTACGGTCAGCTCGTCGGGTTCTCTAGGTAGCGTAACATACTACAAAAAAACTAGTACTACTTCAAGAGGATCATACTTAGTTAAAAAGGTTATAGTGTAATTTTTAAAGGTAAAATAAAGTTCAAAAAGACATAAAATCGATGTTTAATCTACTTTATATATTATTGATGGTATTGAAATACGCATAAGGCAGCTCTAATAAAAGTAACCTCTTTACTGTAGATATAATTCATCAATACACTCAAAAAGAGCACGGAAAAGCTCAATAACAACAGAGAACACTTATACTTTATAAATCTTCTGACATTAATCTGACAAATTAATGTATATTTAAACTATAAATTTCTAATAATATCCAAATAATTTATGAAAAAAGTGGACAAATAATTGCCACAATCATAGCCTAGTCCTAAGTCGATGAAATAATTCCGGCGGCGAAAATAAACGACTGCTAATTTTGGCAGGAAGAAGTTCGACTCTATTAACAAGCTATCTAATATCAGTAGGTATGACTGTTTCTGGTATAAGCTCAGATCCAAGGTACAGAGTTCATAGGGCTTGTTTGACCCTCTAGTTGATTTTTCTTTAATCAAGCAAGTAGTTCTCTTTATTCGGCAATCATGGTGGTTTCCTGGGTTGACGACGAGACTTTCATTTTTAAAATGTTTCTCTAGAGCCAAAATATGATAGAGATATTCTAAACTTGGTAAATGCTAGATGGTGTTCAAAAATCTGCCATTTCTTTCCAAAATAAAGCAGCTTGTTTCAAATACTCGTAGATTTTTTTCTACAGTGGTATCGTTATTTGGAATTATATTTTTGAATGAACGCCTCATTAGAAAATATATCATGTTTATTTTACCAAGGAACACAAGTATAATAAGACAACTCTCAAGTGTACTATAATAGTAACAAAAAAACATTATCAATAGCATTTTCAAAGACAAATGTAAGATCAAAATTTATTGTTCAAAGATTTTTATAAGGGGAATATAAGTTAAGTTAAATTAAATTAAGTATACTAAGATATTCCAGGCCATGCTAGTCCAGTCGAGTCCAGTCGGTTCCAGTCAAGTCCAGTTGGTTTTTTTTTTGGTCCATTTGATTTTTCTTTTGATCTTTTTTTTTTGTCCGTTTTTTTTTGTCCAGTCAATATAAGCTAAGAGTGATAGGAGGAGGAGGATTTTTGTATTGAAAAATAATAAAGGGGATAATTTGGACTTTTTGATTTTGATTTTTTTTTTTTTGATTATTTTTTTTACTTCTTTTTTTTTGTCCAGCCAATTTCACAGAATATTAATAAGAGGATGGGTTTTGATATTGAAAAGAATAAGAGAAGGGGGTTTTGGTATTGCTCTTTTCGCTCTTTCTGTTTTTTTTGAGCTTCTTTTTTTGAGCATTTTTTTTTTGTTTTTTGTTTTTGATCAAAGACTTCATTTGCTTTGTATGTATATATGTAAAAAGGGATTTCATACCTTGTCCTGATCCAGAGTCTTGTTCCAGTTCGCAGCTTTTCTTCAATCCAGGGCCAGGTTCCAATGCAGAGTTCTTTCGGTTTGTTCATCTTTTTTTTGTTTTGTTTTTTGTTCTTTTTTTTTTATTCTTTTTTGTTTTTTTTTGTTTTTTTTGTTTTTTTTTGCTTTTTTTTGTTTTTTTTTTGTTTTTGTTTTTTGTTTTTTTTGAGAGAGAGGAGGGCTTAGTATATGCCTGTGTGATTTTTGGACAGGACTTAGTATAGGCCTCAGGGTCGGATTTCTTTTGATCCTTTTGGAGTGGAGGACTTAATATGTGCCTGATCATTTCTGATAGGTTTTGGTCTACGCCTCGGTTTTTGGATTTGATCCTTTTGGAGAGAAGGACTTAGTATATGCCCGTTTTTTTTTACAGGACTTAGTATAGGCCTCGGATTTTGTTTTTGGTTTTTGGTTTTTCTTTTGGAACTTGCTTTTGGACTTTTGCATTGGACCCCTTCTTGGAAATCGACTTGGCCTTGAGACTTGGAGGTACAACCCAGATTTTGGACTTTGGTAGAAATGCGCCTCTATTTTTGTATGTATGTATATAGGTATGTATATAAGTGTGTATATGTGTGTTTGTATGTCTATGACTATGACTATGACTATATGTATGTGTGTGTGTATGTGTGTGTATATGTGTATAAGAAAGAAATAGAAAAATAGAAATTGTGTGTGTTTGTGTGTGTTTGTGTGTGTATGTATTTGTCTACTTCTCTAATTGTGTACTTCTCTATTTGTTTGTATATGTTTGCGTGCTAGGACTAGTACTAGAACAGTACTTGGACAGTGTTTGGACTTTTGGACTTTGACTTGGACAAGACTTGGACAAGACTTGGAATTGGAATTGGAATTGGACTTGGACATAGCAATGGACCTTGGCTTGACTATTTTGGAGATTGTACTAGTGTCTATGGGCTTTGATCTGAGATAGAGAGATAATTGTGAGCACAATTTTTTCTGGTCAATATTGTTCTGGTTGTTTTTCTTTTTTTTTGTATCTTTTCATTTTCTTTTTATATATTTTTTTCTCTTTTTCTTCTTTTCTTTTTTGACTATCTATCTTGATTTGGCTTTGAATCTTGACAGTGACCTTGAGGGTCTCTGAAAAGCCATTTTTTCTCTGGTGCGCATTTGGAGCCTGTGTTGTAGTAATACAAAAAATGATTAGTCTATGTCTTGAGATATTTCACCCTTTTCCCCGACACTTACATTAGCCTTTCTTGTGGGCCGGATTGATGTTTTATCTGGCACATACTGTAGCCTTTCTTGTGGGGCAGTTTGCCCTTTTTGCTGGCACATACTGTGACCTTTCTTGTAGGTCGGTTTGCCCTTTTCTTCTGGCGCATACTTTGGCCTTTCTTATGGGCCGGTGTGACCTTTTTCGAGGCGCCCATGTTGGGCTTCTGGTGAGCCTTATCGGCTTTTGACGATGTGTCTTGAGGAGACGACATAGCCGACAATTTTGCGGCAGAAATGGAACCATCGGTTTCCCCGGCAGAAGCAACAGGAAGCAACAGGAAGCAAATGTCTGACCAGTGGGATAAATGTCTCCTACCAGTGAGATAAATGGACCCGCCAGTGGAAGGAAAATGGGCGGATGACAACTGACAACCGGCAACCGGCGGCTATGTAAAAAGGTCCACTGGCGAGAGATGACAGGTTCACTGGTAGGAGGAAAGGGCCTACCAGTGGGAAGCAACAAACCCACTGGCAGAAAAGTCCCACTGGCGGAAGCAACAGACTAACAAAAAAAAAGCAACAAGCAACAGTACCTTTCAAATAACATGGACCGCCGTGGAAGGCATAGGGAAGGAACAAGCAACGGGAGAGAACAAGCAACGGGAACTAACCCAAAAAAGATGGTACCAGCCGCGCCCACCAGAAGAGACGACAGAAAGCAACCAGTAATACACAGGAATACGGACAACGGGCTCACACGCTACACGCGCGCTTGTGGACTTGCTCGATAGACCATGTTTGACCCGTGGCTCTACTCCATCGGGCCCCTTTGAAAGAAAGAAACAAAAAGAGAGAGCGGTCGGTCGTAAGAGTCCAAAATCGGCTCAACAAGCTTAACAAAATAATATTGCCAAGACTTTATGAACGTCTTTTGAACTCTTACAGTCGCCTACTCCATAGGCTTTGATTAATTAGTATTCAAAGTTGCATAGCACATAACGTAAAAAAATTATATACTTATCTTAAAGTGATCTGGCTAGCCGTTCATAAGAAAAGAATCATGGCTATCGGAAGACCCTCTTGGCTTCTGTGTATAAACGATGACCGGCCGGACATAAACCCATATATTACCAGAAGCTCTCCATCGTCTCCACCAGTAAACACGGCCAGTACAAAGAAAAAGGGAAAAAAGGAAAACCAAAGACGCGAAAAATTTTCTCTAGTTATAAAAACAAAAATGGGGATATGATGACGCCTCCCTCACTTTAGTCCAATAAAATTCATTGAAAGTATACATCAATCAAAAGATTGGGGGAGATAGGGGGAGGAGGATGGATGGATGGATGGATGCATCCTGTGTGGTGTTGGTCACGTTGATCATTTGTTTCCGTCACTACAAATACTTTTCAGAGAAAGTACCTGATTATAATATTGTATATACACAAGCTGAAAAATGAAAACAGAAAGCCTTTTTAAAATATAGCACTGGTCTTGCTTTTCAACTCTTACACTCAGTACCTATATGCTTACTTTTTGCAGTGCTATGTTGTAGTATCCTTTAAATGTATCTACTGTTTCATAAAGGCCAGGCCTTGAAAGAGTTTTTTCGGAAGGATTAAGACCGTCCTGATATAAAAGATAGGGGGGAATCATGCAAATAAACAGGCCAAGTCCAAACAAGGAAACCAAATATATATAAATTTATACAGGTATGTATCACAAGTCTCATATTTTCTCTCGCTCTCTTTGCTTCCTTTCAAGGGTTACCAAGTTACTTATGAAGCTAATAAAACAAACACGCCAAGACAAGAGGTGTTTGGTAAAGAATATAAGACATACAAGACATAAAAAATGGCTATAGTTATTTGGCTTATTATTTATAAAAAAAATCGAAGGATTTTGATAGTGTGCTTCTACTAATCAAACAAGTCTAAGAGTACGCCTAATCGTAGCACTTTCACGTGAGTTGATAAACGCCTTTATAAAAAAATATATTTCTCTTAAGTTAAAGAGTACTTTATGCTGCTACTCTCGAATTGACTCTTTTATATATTCAGTATATAAGGACTCTCTCTCTCTCTCTCTCTCTCTCTCTATCTTACTAGGCTTCTTTTATTTACTCTATATGTATTAAATTGATGTACTCTAGGCAATAGGCAGCACTATAGATTTTGTATTGAATAATGCAATTTATTTCTGTAATAAAAAGATATATATATATATATATATATGCACTTTTAATAAGAATGTATATCATACATATAGTATAACAATATTATTTGAAATCTTCAAATCTCTTATAGATACATTTATATATTATATTGTGTGTTATGTATGAGGTAAAAATAAGATATAAAATAAAGCAAGTGCAGACGAGAGTACGGTGAGACTTTGTTTTATTAGAAGAAGTGAAAGAATCAGAAAAAAGATGCTGTTCTATTGCTATTAGTATTGTGCGTTTATATAGACATTGTATTTAGCTTAGTGATGATATGATGATATCATGTAATGTCTGTTTCTCTACCATTATCTTCTATGATTTAGTTCTTATGTTTTTAGTGTTATTGACTAGAGTCTTCGTATTTGTCTTAGTATGTTCTTTACGTAATTTCCTTGTATAAGGGAAGATATATCTTTTAGTATCGTTACTAGTTGTCGGTAACTCAATGTACGTATTTATTGAGTGTCTGTACTTTTAATTTAAATCTACGATTATGTTGGATACAACACTGTGCAGCTTATTCTTTATAACTTACAAAATAAAATTTAAAGTCGAGTGCTTTAATATATTATGTCTTTTACAAATGTAATTCTAGGCAGACAGGCAAGTAATTTTTATTTTGTGCATATATAAAAGGCAAGTGGTCATCTTTTATTTATTCTTCTTTAAAGAAAAGAGGTTGGGTATAAAATTGAATAATGCTTTTGCGACAACACTTTATAATTTTTGCTAACAGTATTAGCTTTTTGTAAATATTGTATTAATATTGGCGATTCTAAATGTTACTAGCCGTATCTTACGTGAATAAAAATGTTGTGACAATGAGCTTTAGTCTTTCGGATTTTAAGCTTGCAGAGACTTGGGAGTTATATTACTATCGACTTACAGCTTTTATTTGAATACTTTAAAGCATGTTTTTTTAATATATAAAGAAACGTCACTGCTTATGTTCCGAAGTTAATCACATTTTTTTTTGCTTTGCAAGCTGTAACCACATATAGAAGTATTTCTCATCTTATTTTTTTTGTAGAGTTGACAAATTATTAAAGCTTACAGAGTCTCTTTCTTGCCAAATTGCTATACAAAAACAAAGAATTGACAATCACAAGAACCTATTTACTTATGCGACTATAATAATTATAGGCTTTGATATTCACAGTCTACTTGTGCAAAATCCATATCTGTGAGTCTCTCTTATGTATTTACTGACTGGCCTATTAGCTTGGCATTTGATCTGATAAACAATACTCTTTTTGAAAATAAAAGAAAGCCTTTCATTGAATTCTATCCTCATTTCTGTGGGCTTGAGATATTCTGCTCAGCTTATAGTTCTTTTAGCATTTCATAATCGGTTTTCTTTTTCTCAAAAGTCTATGGATCCTATATTGTGTCCAATATAGTACTCTTTTACAGAGGTGCTCTACTATTTATTTGCTCTGACCAATAAAAGTCTTTCTTTTATTCTGAACTTTGCACACTTGCACCAGGCTGAATACTGCTTACAATTATTTCGCTTGAAAGTAAACTTTTTCATTTTTTTGGAGATTCCATAGAAGAAATTTATACTATTCATTCTAAAACCGTTTAAATTTTCTGTTTCGAGAAAAATAAAGAGAATAAAGAGGATAGGATTTACGACTGTTTATATATGATGCTTTATTTCAAAAGAAGAGAAAAAAAAAGTAATATAATTCAATTTCTTTTACACAGTACCAGCTTCTGGTATCTATATGTTCTCTAAATTATATTTCAGTATCTTTCAAATAATAATTATTACTAAACACATTTAAGGAGTTTTATTTTGCTGGAAATATCTTTGGGTACGTCGACACTCTATTCATACCAGCTAGAGATTTTGAACAAGAAAGAGTATCTATACTATTGTTAATATCTGAATTTTTCGACTCAAGTACTCAGATTTTTTTTTGATTTATAAGTAAACTAATGTGTAGTCTTTAAATAAAGTATAACTATAGTAAGGTAAATATGTAGCTGAGATAGCACTATATAGTATATGTACGATGTGCGATTGCGAATTCCATTTTATGATAAAATATATAGTAATAATAAACTACTTGTATAATAATTTAGGTATTAGTAATTAGAGTGAATATAGATCTGCTAACTGGAATTACTAATTGTACATTAGTTTTTCCGTTGGTTTTTATCTCAGGCTCAGCAGTAATTCGTACTCATTTATAACGGTGGTCAATTATTGCTTACAATTTTGGCTACAAAAAATAGTGCTGTTTATAAATATTATCTCCAGAGCCTTATCACTTTCTTTATATTTGCTTTGGCGACTTAATACATCATTTTCACTTTTCAACTCTTCAAATTGACAACTCTTCTTTTCAATCCCAATCACAAACTCGTACGCGCCAAAGATCTAGTCTATTTTCTCTCTTCTCTTTGCTGCTATAATTATCCTTTATCGCATCCTACTGTAGACCTCATCCCAGACTTCTATGCTCTTGATAGTATTCATTCGGATCATTATACATCTCTCCGTATTTTATCAGTCAAGCTTGCCTTTCTTCTTATATTCACCGCTTTTCTACATTTGTTATTTCTTGCTTATAATGATTTATCTTAATCCTATGTGTACCGGCGTATCTTATTAATAGATATAATAGTACCGAAAGTCGCACTGGTTGTTAAGCCATCAGGTATATCATATTATCTAGTTACCAGCCTTTACATATATGTACCCTGTAAGAAATTGTATTATTTTATAAAAACTACCCTTATTTACATGTCAAATCCAGTTGGTCACTCTTTGTAATCACAAATAGAAATATAGTCACCCCATATATGCCAACAGCATCTCCAGCTAGCTGTCTAAACTCTTCTATCTGTTCACTCCGAAACGACCTACACCAACACTTTGTTTAATCGACTCTGGGTTGACCTTTCGTTGTTGTGCCTAATTGGAAAATATGGGAAAAATAAGAAACTGGCCCTACTTGGGCACACTTAAAAAAACAATAATCACGGATAAGAACTACACTGGCCAATGCACATTTATTTCTGCTCCCAAATCAAGTCAATACTTTGTGGTCGTTGTATTTTTTTCTCTCGTCTTATTTACTCTTTTTTGTATAATTTTTGTACCAACATTCCCAAGTATCTGCACGTATGAGATCCAAGAGACTAAAACTCATCGTCAAAATGTTTTTACTCGAATAAAATACAGCTAGTAATGTTTATGAGCTAATATTGTTAGCAAAAATTATAAAGTGTTGTCGCAAAAGCATTATTCAATTTTATACCCAACCTCTTTTCTTTAAAGAAGAATAAATAAAAGATGACCACTTGCCTTTTATATATGCACAAAATAAAAATTACTTGCCTGTCTGCCTAGAATTACATTTGTAAAAGACATAATATATTAAAGCACTCGACTTTAAATTTTATTTTGTAAGTTATAAAGAATAAGCTGCACAGTGTTGTATCCAACATAATCGTAGATTTAAATTAAAAGTACAGACACTCAATAAATACGTACATTGAGTTACCGACAACTAGTAACGATACTAAAAGATATATCTTCCC